ATTTGCCACATTGTCGCCCGCTCACCCAGTTTGTGGAGATCCTCTTGGAGCATTGACATTTGCTCATCTCTTGCCTTGAAACCTCATGGTCCGGGGGTTGCCATTTGCAATTTGACAGCTCACAGTTGTTATATTTTATAAATATACCTTGGACCTGCCTGAAAGCAACCATATTTGGGAAAAATAGTTTAAATTAGTGCCATGTTGTGATATGATTTTCTACCCAGTACACATGTTGCTGGGTTATTAAGATAACTGTGTTCAAGACTCACTTCACCACTAAATTTTGTAAACATCAGTACAACCGAGACATAAATGTTTTACTGTTTGTAATAAATTTATGTTCTTACACCAATTTGCATTCTTTTGTAAGGTTTCTTCCTTTCCAGTCTTTAACATAATTAGCACATTCTATTGTACTAAGACATAATTGTGCCACCCACACATAATGGCCACAGATGTTAGGCTGACTGGCCTGTAATTTGTTTTTAATTTGTTTTAAATTTCAGTTTACAAACACAAAGCTAAAACAGACTACTAGACAATCATCTGCAATCATCTTCAACTACAATCATCTGCAATATCTAGATCATACAGTAAACATAAACTACAATAATCTATGTCATATAATTGTCAAACAATTATCAAACCAAATACTTATTTAGAACTTATATATGCTGCTTTTTCACTTCTGTTTAAATATCTTTATTCTATTATTCTTTCTTTTTTATCATTTTCTGTTTTAACTTACTGGCCTGTAATTTCCTGGTTCCCCTCTGAATCCTTTTTAAAAAATTGGTGTCACATTTGCTATTCTTCAGTCTTCTGGTACAAGCAGCTGAATTTAATGATAGGTTACATATGTGGGTTAGTAAATCAACTATCTCACATCTCAGTTCCTTAAGAAGTCTCAGGTGTATGCCATCAGGGCCTGGAGACTTATTGGTTTTTAATTTCCCCAACAGGTCCAGTACTTCATCTCTGGTCACCTCACTTTGCTTCAGTTTTTCAGGCTCCCCTCCTGAAAATAGGGGCTGTGGCATGGGTACATGCCCCACACTTTCCACAGTGAACACAGAAGCAAAAACGTCATTGAGCTTCTCTGCCATCTCCCCATCTTCCTTTAGCAATCCCTTTATTCCTTAGTCACCCAAAGGCCCCACTGCTTCTCTGGTTGGTTTCCTGCTCCAGATATATTTTTTAAAAAATTATTGTTTGTCTTGATGCTTTTGGCAACATGCTCCTCAAAATCTCTTCTTGTATGCCTAATTGTTGACTTACATTTCTTTTGCCAGAGCCTATGGTCTCTCCTGTTTAATTCATTGGGGGAGACCTTCCACTTTTTAAAAGAAGACTCTACTTTTTATACCTTTCTTGACTTTGCATTATTAACCACACAGTCCTTCTTTTAGACTTGGCAGTGCCTTTCCTAACCTGTGGAATCCATTCTATTTGGGCTTCAGTTAGTGTGGTTTTGAATAGTTTTCAGGCATCCTCTAGGGATTTGACTCTCTTGTGTCTTCATTTCAGCTTCATTTTTACTATTCCCCTCATTTTTGTAAAATTCCCCCTTTAGAAATCAAATGTTATCATTTTGGACTTTAGGGGTAATTTTCCATTGACCTGAATGCTGAACTTTATAGCACTGTAGTCACTGTTCCTGATTGGCGTAACAACCTCTACATCTCTTACCAGGTCTAGAGACCTGCTCAGAACCAAGTCCAAGATCACCACCCCTCTGGTTGGTTCTGTGGTCAACTGTTCCAGTGCACAGTCATTTATGATGTCTAGGAATCTCATTTCTACAGCATGATTTGAGCACATGTTTACCCAGTCAATGTGAGGGTAGTTGAAGTCTCCCAGCATAATAACATTATCTGCTTTAGTCACCTCTCTTTTCTCCTTTTCCATCTCAATAGCCTAGAGGATATGGTGTCTTATGTTTCTGTTAAAAAATGTTATGCCAGCAAATAATCAAAGATGAGATTTTGAAAAGCATTTTGGCAATCCCTTTGATAGCATTAAGATTTCAGGCCTCAGTGTCTTATGAAATACTGAAATGCAGGCAGAATGAAACTGCCCATACTGTTGTGGATCAAGATGGGTAGCTGTGTTAGTCTGTCTGTAACAATAGAAAAGAGTAAGAGTCCAGTAGGCACCTTAAAAACTAACAAAACTTGTGGTAGGTATGAGCTTTCGTGAGTCACTGCTCATGATCTGAAGAAGTGAGCAGTGACTCACGAAAGCTCATACCCTATCACAAATTTTGTTATTTTTTAAGGTACCTACTGGATTCTTACTCTTTTCTTCTCATACTGTTGTGGTGAAAGAAACAAGGCCTTCTTCTGTTTACAGCATTAATATTTGCCAGGCAGCCAAGTCGATCGCATGCTTCATAGATTGGCTGCGAGGGTCAGCCTTGCTCGTTCCTTGTCTTTACACATGGCTAAACATGTTGTGTTAGTGCACAAAAAATTGTTTGTGTCGTACACAGCATGATTGTGTGACAAATTACTGTTGAAAATGTTGGTCCTTTCCCCCCCGTGCCATGCTTTGTATATGGAACATAAGGCACATCCCCTTTTCTTCAGAAATCTTGCTGTCAGGACCAGTGTTAACTCTAAGCTGAGTTAGTGTGAACTAGCTCACAGTTTTTTTAGCCTCCGGCTCACACATTTTTGTCTTAGCTCAGGAGGGATGGCTCTAGAGCAAACTAGTTTATGCTGTAGCCAAATCGCTCACTCACAACTTTCATGCCAGTAGCTCACAAAGCAGAATTTTTGCTCACAAGACTCTAGAGCTTAGAGGGAGCGTTGGTCAGGACTCCTGTATTCAAATAAGGTTTAACATGTGGAGCTGTCTTGCACTGAGCCAGACCTTTGGTCTAGTAAGGTCAGCATTATCTACACTGACAGGCAAGGGCTCACCAGGGTCTCATGCAAAGGTCTTTCACATCACCGTCTACCTGGTCTTTTCACTGGAGATGCCAGGGATTGAACCTGGGACCTTACGTGTTTGTAGTAGATGTTCTGCCACTGACCCATCGCCCCTGTCTAAGTGTTATTGGGACGCTTTCTCCACACTTACCCAGGCCTGTGTGCAAACCATAGAATTCAGTGCTCTGTGAGATTATGCTTTCATTTTTTTAAAGACAATTTTGAAATAAAGGTTTTATAAAATATAGCAGCCTGCATAACCCTGTCTAGTCCAACCTCGTCAGAGCTTGGAAGCTAAGCAGGGTTTGCCATGGTTAATATTTGGATGGAAGGCTACCAAGCAAGACTGGGTTTGCTGTGCAGAGGAAACCAATGGCAAATGACATTTGCTCATGTCTTGCCTTGAAACCTCATGGTCCGGGGGTTGCCATTTGCAATTTGACAGCTCGCAGTTGTTATATTTTATAAATATACCTTGGACCTGCCTGAAAGCAACCATATTTGGGAAAAATAGTTTAAATTAGTGCCATGTTGTAATATGATTTTCTACCCAGTACACATGTTGCAGGGAGCGGTGGCGCAGGCAGTTAAACGCCTGCACTGTAACATCACCTGAGCAGCCACTATGGCTGTTCGAGTACCACCGCGGTCGAGGTGAGCTCTCGACCTTCGTCCCAGCTCCCGCCTACCCAGCGGTCTCGAAAGCAACCTAATTGCAAGTAGGTAAATGGGTACCCACCCTTAGAGGGGTGGGGGGCACCCTGTGTGGTTGGCTGAAGATGGCGGAGATAGCGGAGACGGCGGCAATGATGGCGGCGGCGATCCTGGCGTGGACGGCATTGGTGGTGCGGCGAGCAAGGCGGCGGCGAGCAAGGCGGCGGCGAGCAAGGCAAGGTGCGCGTTTGAGCGATCCCTGGCGGCGGAGAAGGACCCTGTAAGCCGCTCTGAGACCCTAGCCATGGGACAAGAGCGGGATATCAAGTCTAATGTAAATAAATAAAATAAATAAAATTGCTGGGTTATTGCGATAACTGTGTTCAGGACTCACTTCACCACTAAATTTTGTAAACAATTCTTGCAGCCGTAGTTAAAAAAACAATGTTGATTACCCTGTTATATTGTTTTGATTGGGACGGGTTGTATTTTTCATATGAGAGTGTGTGTGTGTGTGCACGTGTGCACGTGTGTGTGTGTGCACCTGGAAATCATGGCAGTGTCTGGTGACTGACCCCTATTGGAGGCCTGGAGGATATTCAGAGAGGTGGCTGAATAAAGCCTGCCCCCGCCTCCCCACTGCTGGTATCCCAAGGAGGTCTCCCATCCCAAGTACTTGCCAGAGTCGGCCCTGCTTAGCTTCTGAGATCTGATGAGATCGGGCTGACCTGGGCTATCCACGTCAGGGTGCATAGGCGCAATTTTTCAAAATATTGAAAGGTTCTTTCTCTCCTTTCACCCCAATCTGCCTACATGCTAGTTTGGTTTTTACAGCTTTTAAAAACTGATGCTGCTTTTGTCAGCGCTGCATAATGTACTTTTGTATTGCTTTTGTGTTTACTGTAAGCCACCGTGAATGCCCTCATCCAATTGTGGTGGAAAAGTGGCACATGCGTTTGCAAAATAAACACACCCAGTTTGAATGCTTCTTAGACCCAGTCTAGTTCTGTAACCCTTCCAAGCAGGGATTTCATCTATTCTCAATGCCCTGTTATGTACGCAAGTGCCGCCAAGTCACAACCAACTTATGGTGACTCCAGCAAAGGGCTCTCAAGGCAAGTGAGAAGGAGACGTGGTCTGCCATTGCCTTCCTCTGCCCAGTCTTCCTTGGTGGTCTTTCATCCGAGTACTGACCCTGCTTATCTTCCGAGATAAGACGAGATTAGGTTGTACTGAGCCACCTTCCCTCCCCAATGTCCTATTGGTGGTAGATAAATGTTCAAGGGATGAATGAAACCAGGTGATGAGTGAAAGTGCTCGTGGTAGGAATTTGAAAATGCACTTAGGATAATTGGTGAAACATACCATGCTCTGAAGAGTAACTCTGCCTTTTCTTGTTATGTTTCACAGCTCAGGATCCACATGCTGTATATTTGGGACAAGCGGTGAATGATCATGGATGTTTTCACGCAGATCGGGACGAAGAATCTCTCTTCTGCCAACATGTCCATGGGCAGATTCGGGTACAACTTCACTAGCGATTCTCCATCAATGTCCATCAGTAAGCTCTTCCCCGCCTTGTTACAGTGCTTTGGCATAATCCTTTGTGGATATATCGCCGGCCGAGCCAACATAATCACGTCAACTCAGGCTAAAGGACTAGGAAACTTTGTCTCTCGCTTTGCTCTCCCTGCCTTGTTGTTCAAAAACATGGTCATCCTGAATTTTTCCCATGTGAATTGGTCCTTCCTATACAGCATCCTGATTGCCAAAGCATCGGTATTCTTCTTAGTCTTCATCCTAACGTTGTTGGTAGCCACTCCAGCGAGGCGGTTTAGCAAAGCTGGGCTGTTTCCCATTTTTGCCACTCAGAGCAATGACTTTGCACTAGGATATCCTATAGGTAAGAAGCCATTTTTTTAAAGAAATGTATTCTTGGGGTTTTTTTGTCATTTACTTTGTGACGTGTTTGTGCCTGGTATGCATATGCACCCTTTATGTACACAGCAAGCGTACTGTTCTGTCTGCTTATGAAATATCTACTGCTTGAATCTGAGAAAGGAATACATTACATTATACTGAAATCTTACAGGTAGCTTGAAATAAATTTGTACAAATAAGACCTCAGTTAACTGGTGCTCTCCAGTGCTTATGGCTTCAGTTGGGCTTCCCTGGCTTATTCCAAGATGTTGCAATGTCAGCGTAGTATCTTCACGACACTATCTGACAGTTTATCCTAGAATTGCAGTTGTATATTGTTTGGTGACAAGTGTGTTCTCATGTTGAAATCTGCTCTAATGTGTCACCTTTGGTTCCCTTTATCTTTTCCTTGGCTTGCCTCTTCTTTCTTCTTTATTTCTCTGTCTGTTCCACCCAGTTGTTTAAATGTATATAGATAGATGCTAACCCAGCCTAAGGAACTGTGGGACTGACTAAAATCCTTCTTTTGTCTATGTCTGATAGTGGCTGAAAGCAATTCAAAACTAACAAACTATTTCTCTTTTGAGGGAAAACTATCAGGTAGGTATCAGATCTAGGACTTAGCAGGTGAACAGGCAACAGGAATTGTATAACTTTGTATAAATATAAACAATAAATAGTTTGTCACAAACAAGTAGCTTTTTAAGATGGGTAGCCATGTTAGTCTGTCTGTAGCAGTAGAAAAGAGCAGGAGTCCAGTAGCACCTTAAAGACTAACAAAATGTGTGGCAGGTCACTGCTCACTTCTTCAGATAGCTGTCTAGTTATAACTGAGGAGAGTTAAAACTGAGGAGAGAGATATCTTGGCAGTCTCTGCTTAAAAAACAAGCATAAGGTTCTTTGTCTCAAAGATACTTAAGTTGGTGAGGCAGGGACATTCACACAAGTTCCAGTCTCTCTTCTTAACCACTTGATAGGGATCACTCCCCTTTACTAGGAGCTGTTTCCCTCAGGGAAGGGCCACTTGTCCCACTTCCCTAATTTTAGTGCCTGCTTATTACTTTGCCACCAGGAGTTAACTCAACTTATGGCAACCCCACATGAAGCTGCCTTATACTGATTTATTTATTAGTTAAATTTATATCCCACCCTTCCCGAAGCCGGCTCCGGGTGGGTGACATCAGAGTGCATGAATAATCAAAACCAAATTAATACAGTTAATTCTTAAAAACAGCTAAAGCCATTAAAAGATGGCGAAATAAGCATAGCAGTTCAAACCTCCCATAAGCCAGACTGATGGTAGCTGGAGTCACACCAAGCTCACATAGTACCAGAACCCTGCATGGGGCAGATGGTCAGAACAGCTTCTATGCAGGGAGGCCAATTAGTTGGGTGTCCAGCGCCTCAAACAAAAGCCTGGAGGAACATGCCCTGATCTCAAGTGGGAGCATGTTCCACCAGGTAGGGGCCAGGACAGAAAAGGCCCTGTCCCTGATTGAGACTAAGTGGACATCCTTTGGGCTCGGGATAACCAGTAGACATTGATCAGCAGGGGGTATACAGACCACAGGTCCATTGAGCTCATACTGGAAGTGGCTTTCCAGGGCCTAAGGCAGAGGTCTTTCACATCTCCTACTACCTGATCCTTACAGAAGATGCAGGGGATTGAACCGGGGACCTTCTTCATGCCAAGCAGATGCTCTACCACTGAACCATGGCCTTTCCCCCGATGATAAATTAACATAACGTAAGAACATAAGAGACGCCAATGTTGGATCAGGCCAAAGGCCCATCCCGTCCAACACTCTGTATCACACAGTGGCCAGAAATACCAGGTGCCATCAGGAGGTCCACCAGTGGGGCCAGGACATTAGAAGCCCTCCCACTGTTGACCCCCCCCCCCAAACCAGCCTGTCATTTTTCAGCACTTGTGCACAATCCTTTAATACACACAGCCCCAAGTTTAGGTCAAACAACGCTTTTTGAAATAAAGAGGAACTTCAAAGAACCTTTGTTGAAAGTATTGAAAACTTTGCTTTTGAGTTTCTACCAGTTCACTTGGATGGTACGCCTGTGGTTTCTAAGGCAGCTCTGTTTCTGATGTCCATGGGCAAGGGCAAATAATGGTTAATCTGTTTTATGAGAAGGTCACAGTCCTCAACTGGGAGAGGTAAGCTGAGACTCTCTGGTGCAAAGTAAAAAGAACATACTGACTGGGTTAATCTGGGTGGTTTCTGGAGGGCATCATTAATAGGGCGTAGTAAAGCTTCTGTTGCGTACTCTTTAAATACAGCTGATAGCATAAATGCTGTGAGTAACTCCTGTTAAGCTGAGTGGGCAAACTGGCAAACAAAATGAAATGTTTGCCTTTGTGGAGTAAAGTACTGAGTAAAGAACCCTATTAAAGCTGCTTTTGCCTTTTCAAGAGCTAAGAAGTACTCTTCCTTCTCTTGGCATCAGTGTTCCCTCTAAGCGGAGTTAGTGTGAGCTAACTCACCGTTTCTTAGCCTCCGGCTCACACGTTTTTGTCTTAGCTCAGGAAAGATGGCTCCAGAGCAAACTAATTTCAGCAGAAGCCAAATCGCTCGCTCACAACTTCAATGCCAGTAGCTCACAAAGTAGAATTTTTGCTCACAAGACTCCAAAGTTTCGAGGGAACATTGCTTGGCATGTACTCAATTGATCTATGTACCTTGGGTAGCAAGACTTCCCTGCTTCCCCATCTGCTATGGTCCACTGACTCCTGCCCGTGAAATTTTGTTCCCTGACAGCCAGTGGACTCCCAGGAACAGGAAGGGGACAAAGTGGAGACCTGCATTTTTTTTGGGGGGGGGGTGTCAGCAAAAGCTGCTACCCTCCCTTCTGAAAACTTCAGTTTCCTTAAGCCTTTGGAGCTATGTGGTTGGATGCATGACAGTATTTTGAAAAGAGTTATCCTATAACTTTTGATAAGAGAGTACCTCGCCTGTTGCCTCTCCTTCCTCACCAGTTTCCCAGCAACGTTATTTATGTGTATTGGCTTTGGGAGCATGCAAACTGTGTAAGTGGATGATACACAGACCTTTCATTTAGCAAGCTGTGGGTTCTTTTTCTGACTACAGAGTTCCTGTGCTTCCCTCCCCCCCCACAGGATTTATTTTGCCAAAAAGAAATTATCTGTGATTTAAAAAAAAAAAATATGTACCTGGAAATCCTGCAAATGTTGGATTGGTAGGATTCAGCATGTTGCTGTTGACTTTTATAGCTTGGGCTCAGAGTATCTTAACAGAGCATCTTCCACATATGTACCTTTGTACTTTGTGTTCAACAGAGGAAACTGCTTCATCTCTGTGGGAGTATAGAGGGCAGAGCCCTTTTGATGGGGGTGTTACGAGGGTGGAATTCTGCCTACACCTGGGCCTGTTCACTTTTTAAACAGTTGTCAACAATATCTACTATTTAATATTGGGTTGGGATTTTTAAAAAATGTATAATTTTAATGTGCTTGCATTGGATATTATATATTTAATGGACCTGCCTTAAGGACCTGTAATAAAAATACAGCATAGAAGCTTTACAAAAAATAGTGATCTGTATCCTGTCACTCTGCTTAGCAAAGTTTGAAGCCTTCTTCCAACAGGAATAACTGTTTCACTGACTCTTAAAGTCTGGAAGGCAGGAACGTGCCAACCATGTTCCCAGATTCTTTCTATATACACAGACCAGGGATCACTCCTCTTTTAAGAGCTCTCTCCCTTTTCATTTGGCAGGGATTACCTCTCTTAAGCAATTTCCCTTTCTGGCTGTCATGGGGATCCTCTCTGATCCTCTTACTCCTTTTTGCCTCCTTCCCAGTCCACAGTCAGTGCTTAACTGTCTCTTCTTCAACTGTCAGTTCCCAACTGTCATTTCTTAACTAACTCTCTCCACAGGATTCCCTTTGAACAGCCTGTGACTGAAAGGTTCTCAGACTCTGTTAGGCATTAACCCTTGACAGTCCGTCACAGCCAGTCATACCCTACAGCCAAACCTACTTCACAGGGATAAGAACATAAGAGAAGCCATGTTGAATCAGGCCAATGGCCCATCCAGTCCAACACTCTGTGTCACATAGTGGCCAAAACCCAAGTGCCATCAGGAAGTCCAGCAGCTGGGCCAGAACTCCAGAAGCACTGTTGTCCCCCCCCCCCAGCACCAAGAATACAGAGCATCACTGCCCCAGAAAGAGTTTTCCATCCATACCTTGTGGCTAATAGCCTCTGATGGACCTCTGCTCCATATGTTTATCCAGTCCCCTCTTGAAGCTGTTTGTGGTTGTAGCTACCACCAACGTGGCAGGAAAATCCAAATGTTAATTACTCTTTGGGTGAAAAAGTACTTCTTTTTATCTGTTCTAAACCTGCTACTCGTTAATTTCATTGAGTGCCCACGACGAGTTCTTGTATTGTAAGAAAGGGAGAAAAGTACCTCTTTCTCTACCATCTCTGTCCCATATTTCTGAGGATAAGACAGAGCAGAGGAGAACAGTGTTAAGCTGCTTTGGGGCCCCATTTTGGAGAAAGGCAGGATATAAATGCAAGTAAATAAAACTCCATAACTGTAGCATGGCCTTGACCTGGACAGCCCTGTCTTAGCCTGATCTCGTCAGGTCTCAGAAGCTAAGCAAGGTCGGCCCTGGTTAGTATTTGGATGGGGGACCACCAAGGAATACCAGGGTCACAGTGGCAGAGGCAGGCTAGTGGCCAACCACCTCTGTAAGTCTCTTGCCTTGAAAACCCTGCAGGGTCACCATGAGGCAGCAAACTGTGTCTTATGTCACCATAAACACAAACTTATGTCACCCTAAGTCAGCTATGACCTGACAGCAAAACAAACCAAAAAACAACAGGCCTGATGGGCCAGTACCCCCTAAATGGTCTGGGAGCAAGCTCAGTTGTCATCTGTACCATTTTCTCATCACCCCAGGTGTCTCAAGGTTAGTGGGCTGGAATTAACCAAGAGACCCTGAGTTGCTGACTCTTCTTTTATACACGTAATCCTCCAGACATTTAAAGCTGACATACAAGCTGAAAGGGGAAAAAAATCTCCTTAATTGTTTCTGCATGGGTTTGGTGATTAAATTGCACTTTCTGCTCTGGGGCAGTCCCTTGTGCTGGAACTGGGCTTATTGGAGTACCTTATCTCTAGCTAGCAGGCTCAGTCTGTCTCTCTGTTTCTTAGCAGATACTGCATCTCGCGTGCTTGGTTCATCTTCTGTACTGCCTGTTTTGGTCACTTTATGTCCTTGAAACAGAACCTCACTGGCCTTTTTGTTAATAGCATCTGTTTCGACTCCTCCAGTAGCATAAGGAGTGGTCTTAGTAGTTGGTCATAGCAGCAAAATACCAAGAAAAATAAATGATTGGGTTCCACCTTTATAATTACAGGTGGGTAAAATTAATAGGGCAGAAGTTGGTGGCCTCATGCTTGGAGCACATAAAATGTAACGCCAGGTATGGGAGATATGAACTTTATGAAGGACACGGGCAAACCCAATTAACGATATTATTTTTTTACTGAAAATACAGACATACTTTAAACGTTAACACTCTTACAGTATTTCCTTTAAGTATTTCCCAGATACCACCCTCTTCCTTCCACCGCCCATTGCTCATTAGCACTGGGACAGTATACACAGACATAATGTACAGCCTCAGTCATCTGGCAATAAAGGTAAAGACTCACAGGCCAGATAAGAGCCCTGGGTGGGTCAGTTCCAGCCCACGGGCTGTATGTTTGACACCCCTGTGTCTGGCATGGATGAAAGAATAGCTGGCTGGGAACAGTGGTACCCACTCTCGCACGCTTTGAAGAAGGTTAGCATTTGAGTCTGCACCAGTGATCTCATTGAAGTTGCCATTGATGTGGCACACCGAGTGACAGACACAGTGTGATAGATACCTTCTGTGTCTCCAGAGCAACTATTTATTTTGGGATGTGTCTAGCAGGGAAGGCTGTGGGCCAAGTTGCTCATTTGCAATGCAGTACTCTCACAGAGGAGCTGCGGTGGCTCAAGTGGTTAAGACGCTGAACTGCAGGCTGTGGAAGGTCGGTACTTCAGCAGTTCGAGACCTGAGTTGCCACATGACGGAGTGAGCTCCTGTCTCTAGTTCCAGCTCCTGCCAACCTAGCAGTTCGAAAGCAAGAAATTGCAAATAGATAAATAGGTACCACTTCAGTGGGAAGGTAACAGTGTTCCGTGCGCCTTGGTGTTTAGTCATGCCGGCCACATGACCACGGAAACGTCTTCAGACAGTGCTGGCTCTTCGGCTTTGAAACGGAGATGAGCACCTCAATCCTAGAGTCAGATTTGACTGGCTTTCGAGTAAGGGAACCTTTACCTTTACTCTCACAGAAATAAGTAATGCTTCTGTGACTCTGAAATGTACAATATCTGTACAGCATTGGACTAGTTCATGGGACCCATCTAATGGAGCAAAAAAACAACACACCAAACATGAATCTGTTTCATTTATCTAAATATTTCTGTCCTGCCCGCTTAAAGAAAAATCACCCAAAGTGTCTTACAAATCTATAAATTGTAAAAAAGCAATATCATATATTAAGCAACCTATGCAATAAAACACATTAACAAGTTGGGGGAGGGGGAGTCACCATCAAATAAGATGTTATTATGATGAGTGAATGAGACAGAATCACCTGATACCTAAAAGATGCTAAAGTAGGCTTGAGGAAAGTTTGACAAGAGAGGGAATCCATAGTTGGTGCATTGTTATAGAAAAACCCTTCTTCTCAGTAGCTGTTAATCCGTTCTCTGAAAGACCTTTGATGTGGACCTTAACTGGTGGACAGGTTTCTGTAGGAGCAAGCAGTCATCCAGATACCTTGGTAGGGTTGTCAGGTCCCTTCGTCTTGCTGATGGGGGGGATCTGGGGGGTGGTGTTCTGGGAGTGGGTGGGGACATCACCCGGAAGTGATGTAATCACATTGGGGGAGATGCTCTGGTTTTGGGGCAAAACTCCATGGCAAAATTGGGGTCAAATCATAGAGTTTTGCCCAAAAATCAGAGTGTCGCCATGCATTGTGATGATATCACTTCCACGTGACGTCAGCGTGTCGGGGACATCGCATGGCAACGTTGCTGTTTAGAGGTGGGGTTTTCCCTGCTGACCGCTGGCTGGCGGTGGTCAAAAGCCCCCAAAACTAGGGGATTCCCTGCCCGGACATGGGGAATGGCTACCCTGTACCTTGAGCTCAGGCCGTGTATGGCTGTCAAACTAGCCCTTTATGGGAAAGTCATAGTACTTGACTGGGAAAAGTACGCTGAGTTTCTGAATGTTATAATGTAAAAAAAATAGTGATTAGTCATGGACAAAGGTAGAACTCGCTAAGACTTGCAGGGCAGATCTCATTTCCCCCTTCCCCCACTGTTTCCTGTTTCCCCTCCCTAGAAGCACCTTTTTCCTACAATAGCTTGTGACATAGGGGGTGACATCATCACGTTGGGCACGACGAGGCTCTTCAGGGGCAGGACTCCCCCAGCTAGCCAGCAGCAGATCGCCCCCCCGAAAGTGGTAGAACCCCTGAGTCTTTTGTTGAGTAGCAATGCATATGCTCTGAGCAAAGGCATTACAGGGAAGATATAGCTGGTGCATGAGTTAGGGAGAGGAGACCTTTCAGATATGTGGAACTTTAAAGGTAAGCAGCATTACTTGGAATTGAACCCAGAAGCAGGTAGTGAATCGGTGTTTATTTATTTGCCTTCAACTTGCAGCTGACTTATGGTGACCCTGTAGGGTTTTCAAGGCAAGAGACGTTCAGAGGTGGTTTGCCATTGCCTGGCTGTGTGTCAGAACCTCAGTATTCCTTGGAGGTCTCCTTTCCAAATATTAAGCCTACACTGCTTAACTTCTAAGATCTGATGAGATTGGGCTAGCCTGGAGTATCCGGGTCGGGCTGTGTTGTGATAAAGAGATAAACAACAGGTTACAGTAGCTGTAAGACTTCCATGTTGCGTACCGGCTGAAGCTGCCAAGTCACCTTTAAGGGCAGCCCACGTAGAATGCATTTCAGTAATCTGTTCCCACATCTAACATGGAGGAGGGTTCCTCTGGGTAAATGATGCCTGTTCTCTCTGTGACACTCCCTGTGCTCACAGTTATGCACCATGGCACATTGGTGACTGTACTGTGGACATTCCTTTTTGAAGTCTCCTAAAAGCAAAACTGAAACAAGTTCTGATACTGTGTAAGATGATAATTCTTTTCTCTTTTTTTGCTGTCAAGTCACATCTGATTTATGGAGTCCTCTGGTGGAATTTTCCAGGCAAGAGGCATTCAGAGGTGGTTTGCCATTGCCTGCCTCCACATCACAACCCTAGTATTCTTTGGTGGTCTCCCATCTAAATATTGACCAAGGCTGACCCTGCTTAGCTTCCACGATCTGATGAGATGGGGCAAGCCTGGGCTATCCAGGTTGCAGGGCTCTTTTTGTAGCAGGAACTCCTTTGCATATTAGGCGACACCCCCCCTAATGTAGCCAATCCTCCAAGAGCTTACAGTAGCCCCTGTAAGAAGAGCTCTGTAAGCTCTGGGAGGATTGGCTACATTAGGGGGCGTGTCACCTAATATGCAAAGGAGTTCCTGCTACAAAAAGAGCCCTGCCTGATGTCAGGGTGATGCTAATTCTACCAGCAGATTTAACTCAATTTCATCAGTAGTTAATATTATTCAATGGAATTCATTGCTAGACTATGGCCTATTAATTATTATGGCCATGAGAGGTGAAAAGCCATAACTGCTTGTATGTTAAAGTGTACGAGGGAGACACAACTGGAAAGCCGTAGAACCCATGACTCTCTGTAATGTGGAAGTCATTGCATACATGTGTATGCACTCAGTGCACTCTTTGAACAAGATTTTAATTTCCTAATTCAGATGGCTTGCATAATAAGAATTCTCCATGTACCATGGGAGGTACATGGCTTCCACAAGCAAATGAAAACTATTTGGATCCCGTGCTGTTTAATTAAGACTTTATATTGCAAAATATAGACATGTTACTGTGTAATCACTTTTATGAAAATCCTTGTTAATGGCAGTTTTGTCTGTTTCTTTTAAACTTCCCCCCCCCTAGTTGAAGCTTTATATCAGACCACGTATCCAGAATATCTCCAGTACATTTACCTGGTCGCGCCGATATCTCTTATGATGCTAAATCCCTTAGGATTTATCTTCTGTGAAATCCAGAAATCCAGGGACACTCAGACTGCTTCTCTCAGCAAGATCAAGATACTGGGGCTTGGACTTCTTCGAGTGTTGCAGAACCCCATTGTATTTATGGTCTTCATAGGAATTGCCTCAAATTTCCTTCTTGCCCAAAAGGTTCCGGAATATCTGGAAAACTTCCTTGATGGACTCGGGAGTTCATTTTCTGGCTCAGCACTTTTTTATTTGGGGCTCACCATGGTGGGCCAAATAAAGAAACTAACAAAGGGCTCTTTTGTTGCACTGATTCTTCTTATTACAGCTAAACTGTAAGTTTTATTTCCATTCATTATTATTGTATTTTGGGGGTATATTGGGGTCAGGAAGAAATTTTCCTCCAGGCCATATTGGCCCAGGGATCCTGGAGGTTTTTTGTCTTCCTTTGGGCATAGAGCAGGGGTCACTGGGTATGTGTGGGGGGGAGGTAGCTGTGAATTTCCTGTATTGTGCAGGGGGTTGGACTAGATGGTGTTTCTATGTTTATATTTTGGGGGACAGTGTTCAAAATTGTACACAAGTCTTAAATTTTCTGACATGGGGTTATATCAGCATGAATTTAAAAATAATTTGGGAGTTATTTTCCCCTAGAATTGTGTTTTGTTTTGTTTTGGCTGATCTACTGTGTTTGCAACTTTGTACCCAGTTATGCATGTCCAATAGGCACTCTCATAAACACTGAGCAAGGCACTTTCAGCACACTTTGCAACTGGATTTACTGAGTGAAACGGGAAAATCTGCTTGCAAACGATCACTAAAGTGCATTGGAAGTGGCTTGAAATTGCATTATTTGGCATGTGTGAAAGTACCATATATGTCAATGGCTTGTATCCTTTGTTAGTGGAGCACAACACTGCAGCCCCAAATGCCTCCCCCAATGCTGCTCATGGGGAATGGGGTCCTCCTGAGAAGCACATGGGGGGGGGGAGATCTGCAGCAGACGGAATTTGTGAAAACTGTCCCCCCACTTCCACTTGCAGAAATGTTAGGCATACTCCAATCCAACATGAGTAGGAAGACTCTTGATTATTATTATTATTACAAGGGGTGGGACACACATGAGTAGCAGGAGGAGGTAAGTTCCCCCCCATCCCGCCAGTTTCTCCCCCGTCTCCTCCACCCCCCCTCCACACACCCCCCGCTCGATCTCCCTCCCTTGCCTTCCCCCCCAAGCGGCGGCGGCGACGAGGGAGTTCGCAGAGCGTTCCCTGCACATGCGCAGGGGACGCTCTGTCACTTTTGGGGGGATTTAGGTATCCCCCCAATATTTTTCCCGGGTTTTTAGATTTTTGTGCACACCTGGGGACTGCCCCAAGTGTGCACAAAAATCTCCCCCCCCAGGTGCCCCCGATGCGCGGATTTAGGTATTAGTATACAGATTATTACTTTGTGCTGGACCTGCATATATGTCTGTGTTTTGTCTTCACTGTTGCGAGGTCCCAAGTATGGACTTCATACATGCCAAAGTTCCCTTAGCGAGAACTTGGCGAGAACTCTTGGCGAGAACCTTAGCAAGAACTAGGTGATGCCCCAGGTGATGTCCAGCAGTCTTCCACCTTTTTGCCCATGTTAGGATTTTAGATTGGTAGGTACTGAAATACAAGTTGCTGACAATCAGAAGTTGGCAACAACTATAAGCATTCCTCATCTGTATACTATTAGTTCCCCATGGCCCCATCAGTGGATAGCTAAATCCTCAGATCAGGGCCACATAGACACTAAAAGAGATCTTCCTTCAGAATTGGGGCACTTCCCAGGTTTGCAGAAAAATCTGATTAAAAAAAAATACAGGGTGTTGTTTTTTTAAGTCCCCTGACAAGTAAAGTAGCGTTCTCTGCACATGCACCAGCAGCTGCGCAACCCGGAAGCCCCTCTGGGTCTGGTGATGGCCACCATGTAGGCCGGTAGTCATGTGGGGCATGCTGCTGGCAGCAGGGAACCCTGGAGTCATACTGGGCCTGCTACTGGCAGCGACGTAGTCCCTGAATCATGCTAGGCTGAGCGTGGCAGCATCGTAGCCTGGGAGCTGCATAGGGCAACCCAGGAGTTGCACTGGGCCTGCTGCCACCAGCAGTGCAGCCCCTGAGTCTGAGGCAGCTCCTGGACCTAGGAGAAAGTGGGGGGATCCCACCCCATGACTATTGTGGGCAGTGTTCCCTCTAAGCTGAGTTACTGTGAGCTAGCTCACATTTTTTTAGCCTCCAGCTCACACATTTTTGTCTTAGCTCAGGAAGGAGGGCTCCAGAGCAAACTAATTTATGCAGTAGCTGAATCACTCGCTCACAACTTTAATGCCAGGAGCTCACAAAGTAGAATTTTTGCTCACAAGACTCCACAGCTTAGAGGGAGCATTGATTGTGGGTCCATACTTGTTTATTTCTGATACTCCTGAAAGTTCATCACCCTTGAACGGGGCCGCTTTTATTTATACAGCTGTGCAATAAGTATCTTTGGCTATGCCATTTGAATCGTGGGTGAGTGGAAGAAGATATTCAGTTCATTTAGAGAACATAAGTCAATATTGACAAATGTTTCTCTTTGTTTGCACCGCTGGTGTGTGTGTTCAGTATGTCTGCTGTATATTCAGTGAACATCGTAGCTTTTGCAAGGGGGATGTGCATTTGCAAATGTGTAAGTTCAGGAATTCCGCACGGGGGGTGGGGGGGGATTCTTCGATCCCTAACTAGCTTCCAGGTTTGCATTTTCAGTCATAAAACTCTTACCAAATGTTAGCGTAAATCACATGAACACAGTGGATGTGCTAACAAACATATCTGCAGTACGAAGCATGAAACAGGTTTGGATGTTTTGAATACTATAATTGCTAATCAGAGTAGGAGAAAGGACTGGGTTTGAGTAGATTGCGAATTAAGTATTGTCGACACCCAATACTGACTTAGCACAAGAAGAGAGGTGGAATTTATTATCAGATGTTTCTGGTACTCTGATTTGCACATGTAGTTGGGTTCATTAATACCTTGCAAAACCTAAGAACCAAGCCACATCCCTTTGTGAGTCTGCTTAATTTCTTCCTCTGCCAAATATTACATAGCAGTGCTTTCACACCCACACCCATTCAGAACACTTGAGTGCCAGTGAAATCACTGCACTTAAGGCTGCTGAGCTTTGCATTGAATTGTGGCCCAAGAATATTCAAATATCACACCAGGTTAAAAAGTTCTCTTCCCAGACTTCCTTTGCTGTTTTATTCAAGGACTCCTTTATTGAACTTGGCTTCAGGTTGCAGGCTGCAGACTGTTGGGCTTTGCACCCCAGTAATCTGTGTTTCCCTTTCCCCTTCTTTCTTTCAGACTGTTGATGCCACTTCTCTGCAGGGAAATGGTGGAGTTATTGGACAAAAGCAACAGCTTAGTCAACCACACCAGCTTAGCAAACTATGCATTTCTTTATGGGGTCTTTCCAGCTGCTCCTGGCGTGGCTATATTTGCAACGCAGTTTAATATGGAAGTAGAAATTGTATGTGTCTGAGCCCTGTAACTCAGGGCACAAATGTAGGATTGAAGTATCCACTATGAAAAAGAAGCAGTAGCAGTTTTAAACCGGGTCTTAATTCAGACTGTTCGATGGTATCTAAACAGTGGGAGTGGAAATTAAGGTTTGTGTAGGGAGGGAATCTTGATAACAGCTGGGGTTTAAACTTGCTCCCCCCCCCCAAACTTTTTTGTTTCAAAAGGATTTCCATTATTTGCTGCTGCTTCTTTTTCCTTAGGAGAATGACAAGGTCATTGATTGAACTAAAAAGGAGAAAGAGGAAATGGCTATTAGAACTGATCTCCAGGTGACAGAGATCAGTTCACCTGGAGCAGGGGGGGACAAACTTGCTTAATGTAAGAGCCACACAGAATAAATATGACATGTTTGAGAGCCACAGGACATGAACAAATATTACATACATTTTATAATATGCAAATTTGCTTTTTATTAACATTAAATGAGACTTCCACAAATAAAAACAAAAGGGGTAAAAACAGATATTGATAGTGATATTTTATTTGTCCAATGATATTTATTTGTTTGCTAATGGCATTTATTTGTCTAAGAGAGAGAGAGAGATGGACAGAAAGAATGAAAGGTGGAAAGAAACAGAAAGAGAGAGAGAGAAACAAAGAAAGCAAATTAATGGGGGAGGTAGGGGAAAGGAAGGGAAAAAGAGAGAAAGAAAGCAAATAGATGGAGGAGGGGTGAGGAAGGGGAAAGAGAAAGAAACAGAAATGAAAGAAAGCGAATAGATGGTGGGAGGGAGGAAGGAAGGAAGGGGAAAGAGAGAGAGAGAGGTGGAAAGAAAGCTACTTTAACTTTAAATGTGTTCTCCGAACCCTACACCCCCATGCTAGCCAGCTTGATTTTGAGAAAACATTTAAAGTTAAAGTTACTTTCTTTCTCTGCTCCCCCACCCAAGCCTACCCAGGGAGGGGAATACTGGCTGGAGAAGAGAAGACCCATCAGGGAGGCATGCCTCACCTTAGCTTCCCCAGCTGCCCTGCCGGGAGCCACACAATATATGTGAAAGAGCCACATGCGGTTCCCGAGCCGCAGTGTGGCCACCTCTGACTTGGAGAAAATGGCCACTTTGAAAGGGGGACTTTATGCCATTATACCCTATTGATGTCCCTCCTCTTCCCAAACCCCCCTCCCCTGCCCGCATGTTAGCAAGTTTTTTTGTGTCTTAGAAACAAAACATTGATTCAAAAGAGTACTAGAAATGAAGCCATTTGTGAAGCAGTTCGGTACCACGAAGTTTGAGTACAAATATTATAAAAATAAAAGCAAATCAATTTCACTTAAAAACATAGGCCTTGAATTTAGCCTTTAGACTGAAAGTCACCTGAATAAATAGCTCTCAGTATACAATATATACTAAAAATGCGTTTCTCAAAGTTGATGACATATAAACAAGACCACAGTAAACCTGACTCAATGAGTATTTGTGACCACTGAAGATGGCCCCGGGGGCAGAAATGCATTTGGTCTTCTTTACTGTGGCTGTAGTGTGGACTGTCAACTTAGAGATACTCATTGTGTCAGGTTTACTATGGTCTTGTTTGTATATCATCAACTTTAAGAAACTCATTTTTAGTATATGTTGTATATTGAGGACTACTTTATCCGGTAACTTTCAGTCTAAAGGCTGAATTCAAGGCCTGTGTTTTAACATTTGTATTTTAAGTGCACTGTATAATAAATTGATTTATTTTGTCTAATTCATTTTTATATCTTTTGTGCTCAATTTTTGTGGTACCTAATTCAATTTTGGGGTTTGGTGCCCCTCCTTTTTTTTTGATGTGCTATCAGCTAAGCCACACAGAGAAAATCTTATCTTTAAAACCTTTAAAAAAATATTTTCAACCAACAACAACCTAGAACAGATCGTTTCAGTCTTTTGGCAGGCTCTCTAGGTACCCTGCACTGGCTGGGTGAGCGACTGGTAGTTCACAGTCTATCTGATGGAAACCCCAGCCATGGGTGCCCCAATTATTTAGTCCTCTCAGGTTTTTTAAAAGTATTAATTGCATGCAGATTATTTCTTCTGCTTCATACCTTTTCTCAGGCTCTTCTCATACCTGATTAATGGGCTACTTCTTCTTTTACAATTTTGGCAGGGGAGATTTTTTGTGGTTGAAACCAGCATTCAACAGTGGGCGTACATAGCATCAAGGATTTTGTGATGCTTGTGTTTCTAAAAGATTAGTTCCTTTGTCAAGAAAATGTAGTGTTCTAAGACCTTTTTGAGTATAAGGACCCCTCCTACATAATTATAGTTGTACTATTTGATTGAGAAAATACATCATGGCTAAAAGATCAAAATGACAATGTTGAATGCACATACGGAATTGCCGACCCTTTGGAATACCTCTGTGGGGGGCCCCGGGGTCCTTGGCCCCCACATTGAGAACCACTGCCCTCAGAGGTCTCAAGGAAACAAAACTATCATGGACAATTTCAGTAACTAGTGATTTTTAAAATGTGCCTGTCATATTGTTTTCTGATTGCAGATAACGTCTGGAATGGTAATTAGCACTTTTGTCTCTGCTCCCATCATGTATGTTTCTGCTTGGCTGCTGACTATTCCATCTATGGAGCCAAAGAAACTGGCATCTGCAATCCAAAATGTTAGCTTTGATATTAGTATTGTCAGTCTTGTTTCTTTGGTAAGTATCAAACTATCAAAACTGCATCATTGTTCGGAAAAAAGTATATCTGGTGTGAATTGATGGTTAATATTGTGGCCAGTTGTTAGGACATAGGCAGCATGTTAGAAACTGGTACAATCATGTAATCTAGCTTAATGAGTTGAAAGAATAGCTATAAAATTAATGTGTGTCTGTCCAGTAATGGAAAATGGAACTGTTGCCTTGAACAGGGGTTCCCACACATGGTGCCTGCCACTGGGTTTCCTGCAACTCATTTGGATTGTGTCTGGGTGTTGGGGAGAGTATGTGGGTGAGGACTGTCTATGCCGCTCTCTTACCACGTGCATGACTGTCAGGAAGCTGTGTCTGGATGCAGCATCCCGTAATTTCTTGCGTGCACAATAAAATAAGGGGTGCCTTGACACTATTAGCCACCCTCTCTCCATCTTCATTCTCCTGACATCTGGTATGGTTGATTGCTTTAATGTGAAGAAGTTTGAGGCTTCAAACAAAGGCATATCAGGCTGGGTACTTTATTAAAAATATTCATGTGCACTAACCAGAGCCAACGCTGCTTAGCTTCTGAGATCCGATGAGATTGGGCCAGCTGGGTCAGGGCATGCATGAACATAGAAAGTTTGAAAACTGCTGAAATAAGAACTGCTGAAAAGAGAAAAGGTGAAGAAAGCCATGACTTTATCTGTGTTTCAGGTGTGGTCCCTTGCTGTCATTCTTCTGAGTAAAAAATACAAACAGCTTCCTCACATGCTTACAACTAACTTACTAATTGCTCAGGTAAGTACTCTATAGAATCCAAACAGTTCTGTCTTCAGAGTATTTCCTGAATAAACAATTGCTTAGAAACTCATTGAGAACAGAAAGTATTAGTTTTAAGAATGTGTTTAGATGTGTTAGTATTTATTTTGGGTTTTTTAAAAAAAAAAACAACATTTAGGCCCTGTTCATACGGGGCAGTTTGGGCCGGGAGTGGGCCGGATTGGAAGTGCAGCAAACGGGCGCGATCCCACGCCAACATCTGGCTGGCGTTGCGCTCCCGTCTCCGATCCGGCCCTTCCCCCGTTGACGCACTTCAAAATTGAACCACCTACCTTCGGTGGTTCATCCGTTTGCCCCGCATCACCCTGGCTGTGGGATCGGCGGCACGTCTTGCCGCCGGCTCATCCCCGGCCCCTAGCCGAACTGTGCATGCGTGAGCATGCGCAGTTCGGCAGCCTCCCCCTCCCGATCCTCCCTTCCTCCCCGGCATGTGATCGTGGCGGGGAGCAACAGCGCGCGGTGCACGGGATCCGTGGGATCCTGCCCGTGTGTCTCTTTTTTGATGCAGCTCTTTTTAGCCACGCTTTGCCGGGTGTTTTCCCTGCCATGTGGCAGGGGCCATAGTAGCCACCATTCTTCCATATGGTGTTCAAGGTGGCTTACAATATTGATAAAAAATATAAAAGACATAAAAACCTGGGGTGGAAATACAATATTTCTCTTTGCCTAAGCAGAGGTTGTTTTTACTGTTTGTTTTCTTTATGGTACTTTACATTTAAACTACACTAGATGTCCGTAAATTACATGAATCATTAGAAAAATGTTGATCAATTAGAAAAATGCCCCGCTTAATGAGGTCTAGGGGCATTCCTCCTTTCCTGTCACTGATAATGGAATTCTTCTTTTGAGCTGGCCAGAAATTATACACATCACATGTGTGCAATATCTGAAAACAAGGGAGTTGTGTTTCATCAGATTTATTATTTCAGTTACATGCAAACTCTTGTACATCAGTTGAGTTAAGTGCATGTTTTCATAAATGATTTGTATGACTGAAGCTTATCTATTGGGATTTTTTTAAATGGGCTGCCAACCTGGAAAGAAATAAAACAACTAATTTTTAACCTTTTTTTCAGTGTGTTGCCTGCATCGGAATGGTGATGTGGAACTTCACTATTGAGGAAAGAAGTATCACTGTGCAAATACTTGTGTTCGTTTTCCTGTATAGTGCACTTTATAGTGCTTTTTTGTGGACAGGTAAGTGGGGGAAAGTACTTGTTTCTATAAGGCAAAAGTAAGCTTTTCTTTGTCGGTCGAATTTAAATAAGCTAGCCGCCTAGCATAGCAAATCCTCATATGGGGATTCTGCAATTTGCTCCCCTTAATTACGCTTCCCTGGGAATTTTCCTTCCCAGCATTTTTTCCATGCCAAGCCACCCCTTCTGTGGTCTTCCTACCCAAGAGCACCTGGATTCCTTGCCTGACTCAGGGTCAAACCAGATGTGAAGTCTATTCCCTGACATGACTTATAATTGCACAGGGGAACAACCATTCCCATGCGCTTCAGGGCCGTATTCAGCTTGGGGGAGTAGACTCTCGAAACCTCTGTCAGGGCGGGGCTTATCTGCCTCACTTATCCCCTGATGTTAATTGGGCAGGGAGCCCCAACCCATCTTGCAGCAGGTGTCCCATCTAGTTTGGCCCTCATGCATACAGTAAGATAGACTTGTTGCTTATGTTAAAAGGTTTGGCAATTGCTAACACAGAGGTCCCCGGCCTTTTTGAGCCTGCAAGCACCTTTGAAATGCTGGCACGAGTCAGCTAGACTTGTTGCTTATGTTAAAAGGTTTGGCAATTGCTAACACAGAGGTCCCCGGCCTTTTTGAGCCTGCAAGCACCTTTGAAATGCTGGCACGGAATGGTGGGCACAGCCAGAAAACGTCTGCCATGAGAGGCAGAGCCATCCACAAAATGGCTGCCACAGCGTACCTTCATAGAATTGTAGAATCATAGAGCTGGAAGGGACCTCCAGGGTCATCTAGTCCAACCCTTCAGTCACACAGTGAAGATCCTTGTGCTGTGGTGGCAGCTGCTGCCAAATCAGCATTTTTAAAAAGTCACACGGCCAATCAAAACTCCAGTGGCCAATCATAACCCTTCCAGGGCAAAAGGCCCGCCTGGCCCCAGCCACGATCTAAAATATTTAGTGGGTGCCAAGAAAGGTGTCGGTGGGTGCCGTGGCACACTTCGGCATCACCTTTGTGGTCCCCTGCTCTAGCACTTTCCTGCTTGCAGGCGGCGAATCTGCTTCCCGAAAAGCAACAAACCACGTGTCTCTCTTGTGTCTCCCCCTGACCCCTCTCCCAGGTCTCTTGTCCCTGTCTCTGCTGCTTTTGAAAAAAAGAGAAGCCATCAAGGTTCCTGTTGGAGTTACCATGGTAGTTGGCTGGGGGTAAGTGAGCAGAGGTTCATTTTCGAGAGCAATCTAGTGGGAATCACAGCCCAGTTGTGTGTATGATTTGAGCTTGCATTTCCTTGTTGCAGAATCCCAGCAATTCTCATTGGAATCATGTTACTAGCTGGTGAACGAAATAAAGATGTCATTGACTCTGCGTTTTTTTATGGGAAACTCCAGGTACGGATAATCCTTCTCTTCACATCTCTTGAGCTGTCTTTTGCCCAGGACAGTGGTTGCAAATCTCTTTATGCCGTTGCTCTTCTGAAAAGAAAATGTGTTGCGCAACGGGGTGGTTTTTACCCATGATTGTTTATATGCTGCTGCCCCTTTAAGACTGAACCGTGTGGCATTCTGGGAGAAATGGAGACGGCAGTTAAGAGATGGCAGTTAGCAGACTTCAGTGTTCAAACGATTTGGGTTCTGAAAGCGTTTTAGTTTATGTTTGGTGTTTTCTTAGGAAATAAAACAATCAACATCTTATACATTTCCTGCCTTTTCCCTGGCTATAGTAAAACATTTTGCTGAGGGACGATTTGGGTTCTGAAAGCGTTTTAGTTCATGTTTGGTGTGTTCTTAGGAAATAAAAAAAATCAACATCTTATACATTTCCTGCCTTTCCCCTGGCTATAGTAAAACATTTTGCTGAGGATCTCTGGAAAGGGAAGACCATAGGGAAGACCACCCCCATGGATATCTATGCAGTTGACTTGTTTGTTGTGTCTGTTTCCTGGAGGTAGCACTTCAGCTTGAGGAGAGACTGCATTTTCCCAGGAGTCTAGTCTCGATGTTTTATTATTCAGGAAAATAATTCTTTCCCTGATCAATGGGTCCATTCCTATTGCAAGGGCTGAGTCGAGTGTGATTACTGGAGGGTCACTGGACATAAGCACTTCAGCTTGAGGAGAAACTGCATTTTCCCAGTAGTCTAGTCCCGATGTTTTATTATTCAGGAAAATAATTATTTCCCTGATCAATGGGTCCATTCCTACTGCAAGGGCTGAGTAGAGTGTGATTACTGGAGGGTCACTGGACATTGCTGGATATTACCTGGATAGCCCAGGTTAGCTTGATCTTGTCAAATCTTGGAAGTTCTACAGGGCAGCTGTGATTACTATTTGGTTGGTAGATCAGCGAGGAAGCCCAGGGGCCTGATGCAGAGGCAGTCGACGGCAAACCACCTCTGAACGTCTCTTTCCTGGAAGACCCTACAGGGTCGCTGTAAACCCGCTGTGATTTGATAGCAAAAAAAAGTGGTTACTAGTGGCAAGGGATAACAACTCCTTCTGATGCATGCCTGGATATGTCTCAGTCGGTTTTAAAAAGGAAATTGCACCAATGGCAGATCAGCCAAGAGAAGCAAGAAACAGAGGAACAGAACCTAGCGGGAAGAGAGCATACGTAGCCGAGACGTCTTCAGCAGAAAAGCAAAACAAAAGGGCTAGCAAAAATCAAATCAGACAAGGACCCTGAATACATTCTGTATTATCCAACATAAAAAGTATAGCAGAAGCAAGAGGTGTTTTTTTTCACCCAGTGTCAGGCTGCAATGCTTTTTTTATTGATTAGTGCACACTCTTGGGTTTTTTTAAGTGGGTTGCCATACCAAGTAAATTTGGACTTAACGGGTTACCATACCAAAAAGCTTGGAACCACTGTCCTAGAAAAAAGCAATATTACTTCCCCCCCAAAATACGTGCATGTTCTTCAGATAGAATGCCTCTGCCTTCCTTTTTCCTTTTTTCTTTTTGCAGATGATTGGCACGGCAGTAATTGTATTCATCAGCATATTGATCTCAGGTGTGTCACTCATGTGCATGAACAGAGCTGGCCCAGAGGCCAACTGTGAAGTCCTGACCCAACAGTCCCACTTGAGTGGATCAGAGGAACCCGAAAGGGATATAAATGAGCAATCCCCGTCTTCAACCCGTGTTTCTCAATCATTGGCAAACTCTTCCATAGGAAAAGGTATGGTGAATACTGGCATAAAATAAAGAAAAAAAGGGGGGGGGAACTCAACCCAAAATATACTGAAAATGCTAGAAGGGTCAAGCTACAACTGATAAAATATTATCAAAATAAATATTTATTAAGTGATATACACAATAATAAATGTGTATTTATTGCAGCTGCAAAAATGAATATCAAGCTGAATTAAAAGTCAGGGCAAACTTTACATAAGCTGTAATAATTTCCCGAACACAGTTGATGAACATGTCAAATGACCAACATGAGACTGTTATGCAAAGATCTCCTAATTAGTTCAGGGAATTAGCTTAAGGAGACAGCGCATAAACCATCAATGTTTATGGTGATTTTTCCTTGAAGAAAACTCTCAAAATGAACCGGTCAGATGTACAACTGGTAAAGTTTTTTAAAGAGAACTCTCAAAATGAACTGGTCAGATGTACAACTGGTAAAGTTTTTTATTTAAAAGAAATAGAGCAAAACACAAACACAAAACACACTGGCAACACACAAGCTAGCTAAGAGGAAAATAAAGGGAGGAGAGGGAGAAACCAGTTCGGGGAAGGCAATAGTTACCAATCTTGAAGAGTGAGGTTCACAGTGGCAGCAAAACAACCAGCGTTTCACAGAGAGGAGGAGGAGGCCCACACACAGGTGGGGGTGTGAAGTATGGCACTGAGAACACACACTGCCTGCTGGCTAGGTGCACTTGATATAGGAAAAATGTTCCCTGGAGCTATGCTGACATGCAAGGGGTGGGTGATAGAGGGTACTTGGGAGGCAGATCCGAACTGGTGGGCTGGACAGCAAGGCTAAAAATGTCACAAACCACACAGACTGGAGAGGGTGGGAACTCTCCTTTGACTCTCATATTCCTGGTTGCCACTGAAAATCCCTTGCTCCTGTGATCCTGGATTTAACAGACCCCAAACTGGGATCAAGGGATTTCCAGTGGCAGCAAGGGAAATGAATCTGGCCTAACAGAAAGTAAATTGAATTTACTACTGTTTATGTGTAAACGTATCCACGTGCATGCATAATTCACTATCTAAAGCAGGGTTTGCCAACATGGCACCCGCTAAGTGTTTGTAGGAAGTGGGTGGGGCCAGGTAAGGCTTTTGCCCAGCAAGGTGTCTGATTGGCTGTGCAGAGTTTTTTAAACATTGGTTTGACAGCAACTGCCACCTCAGATCAAAGATCTGCACTGTGTGACTGAAGTGAAGCGGCGGCGATCACCTTGTGGCTGGCTCCGCTTCATGCAGCAGCCATTTTGTCGCTATGCCCACCATGCTGTGTCAGAATTCCAAGTGTGCCTGCAGGCTCAAAAATGTAGAGGGCCCCTGGTTTAAAACTCCCCTTTCCTCACCCTGTGCTGCCATAGTGAAAGGATGACACGCCTTCTCAAGAGATGCTGTCTTCTCGTCATCACAGGGGTGTCAACTCATTTTATTTTCCTCTGCAGGGTGCTGTGCGTGCCAAAAGCAGTATGGAGAGTTGTGCTCTTCTGAAGGAGAGCTGGCATCTACCTCTAGTGCCAATGATAACTGCAGTCCATCTATTGAGACAGGTAAATTACGCTTGCAGTCTGGTATGCCATTCAGATCTACAAAAAGTACAAATGCAATTTAAAATTTTAATTTTTGCCAAATGGGTGTTCGCTACAAAGATGGGGATTGGGCATTCTGGTTGCTCAGATCGCCATAAGTCTCCTTTATCCCTCCTACATGGTTGAGTGTGGTGTCATGAGTGGGGGGTTTCCCCCCAGTGTACATTCTTTCCACCTACCCACATGGCTTGTGTACTGCTACTACTATTATTGGAAAACAGTGTTGCAAAATCAGTGTTATCCAGTCTTATTTTCCAGTAAGTGGTGAGTAACTAATGGGAAAGGTGATTTTAATGGTGGGAAGTATCATAACCTATCATCACAAACAACCTGTTTTATCAGCATTAACAACCAAGCTTTTTGCTTGTTGTTGTTCAGTCGCACAGTCGAATCTGACTCTTCACGACCCCAAGGACCACATCATGCCAGGCCCTCCTGTCTTCCGTTGTGCTCTGGAATTTGCTTAATTTCTTGTTCATTGCATCGATAACACTGTCTAACCATCTCATCCTTTGCCATCCCCTTCTTCTTTTTCCTTCAATCTTCCCCAGCATCCGGGTCTTCTCCAGTGAGTGCTCCCTTCTCATTTGGTGGCCAAAGTATTTGAGCTTCAGTTTCATTATCTGGCCTGCCAGGGAACATTCAGGGTTGATTTCTTTGAGGATTGACTGATTTGTTCTTCTTGCAGTCCAAGGGACTCTCAAGAGTCTTCTCCAGCACCATAATTCAAAAGAATCTATTATCTGGCACTCAGCCTTCCTTATAGTCCAACTCTTGCTTTTTGCTAACTTGACATAAAGGAGATATGTATTTTGGGACAGTTGGAAAGGGAAGGTATCACTCTGCTAAACCTTTGGGCTCCCAGTACAACCCAGGGGAGTGTGTGGATGTGTTTACATTGCTCTCTTTTCCATCTTATGGGAATATTTCAGCAGTCTACAAAGCTTTACTTAGGTGCTGAACTTCCTTATAGGTAAGCAAGCAGAGCAGCATATTCTGTAGTCCATATTGAGTGGGTGGCCACAGACATTTATCACTGGACACCAAGTTGGGGTTAGCAGGTGCAACTTCTTGTAAACAGCCACCTCCTCTCTATTAGGGATTGTGCAAAACCAAAAGAGTAAATTAATTCCTAGGGCAAATGCCTTTTATTGGTATGTATGAACTTCTTTCTGCCACCTAGTGGTGGGATCTGAGAACACTGTCTCTAATGTATAGAACATAAGAACATAAGAGATGCCAGTGTTGGATCAGGCCAAAGGCCCATCCAGTCCAACACTCTGTATCCCACAGTGGCCAGAAATACCAGTGCCATCAGGAGGTCCACCAGTGGGGCCAGGACATTAGAAGCCCTCCCACTGTTGACCCCCCCCAAGCACCAAGAAGACAGAGCATCACTTGCCCCAGAGCCCCTATCTATACCTTGTGGCTAATAGCCACTGATGGACCTCTGCTCCATATGCTTATCTAGTTCCCTTTTGAAGCCGTCCATGCCTGTAGCTGCCACCACTTCCTGTGGCAGTGAATTCCATGTGTTAATCACTCTTTGGGTGAAGAAGTACTTCCTATAGCAAGTTTCCTAGCAAGTTGTAGTTTGACTATTAGGGACTTGGTATAGGGAACAGCCATAACTGGGATAGCCCACCCTAGCCAGATCCCATAAGATCTTGAAAGCTAATCAAGATCAGCCCTGGTCAGTATTTGGATGGGAGACCACTAAGGAAGTCCAGGGTCACAATGCAGAGGCAGGCCATGGCAAACCACCTCTGAACATCTCTTGCCTTGAAAACCCTACGGGGTCGTCATAAGTCAGCTACAACTTGACAACACACACACACACACATATATATACACATATACACAGAGAACAAAGTTTGAGTCCAGTGGCACCTTTAAGACCAACAAAGTTTTATTCAAAGTATAAACTTTTGTGTGCAAGCACACTTCATCAGAGACAATGGAATGAAATATCCTCAAGTCCCACTTACAGGAAAAAAGAGGGTGGGGGGCAGCCATTAGGAAGGGCCAGTCAGACTCACAGCCAAGACGCATAAGTGGGGCTGAAGTTGAATACACACACACACACACACACACATAGGAAAGAAGCCACAAAATGTTCACATTTTCTGCTCAACGAGGCTAGACAGAGTGCAACAAACATGGTAGGTGGGGTGTTTGTATGGGTAGGAACGGAAGCTGAATTGTATGCCTGTTCTACAGAACTGCTTTAATATGACTGTTGAGCTTTGCCTAGTGGTTAACCTCCACTGAGCCATGAACTTATAAATTGGGTGGCAATTTGTGTTTCCTAAACCGGGACAGAACGATAGCTTGTCTTAAAATTCCCTCTTGATAAGAGCTGCTCAAACCATGTTTTATTGCAGCACTTTGCATTGATATGAGGTTATTCTGGCTACTGGTGAGAACACACAGGATCTTGCATTAGATATAGGAGGAGCTAGATAATATTTTCTAACTGTTCATGAGTTGTGTCCTGCCCCGTGCTTGAGAGCTTTTCTGCTCTTGCGGTCGGAGGCAGGATGTGGGAGGATCTTGCATTAGATATAGGAGGAGCCAGAGAATATTTTCTAACTGTTCGTGAGTTGTGTCCTGCCCCGTGCTTGGGAGTTTGTCTGCTCTTGCGGTCGGAGGCAGGATGTGGAAACCAGTGAATTTTTGAGCCTGTTTGGCCTCCATTCATGGCTGGTAGGCTACCTTTGGCTTGATGGGTCTTAACGACATCCTGCAAAATGATTTCTTCTTGCCATCCCACAGGTCCCGGCGAGGGATCCACCGATTTTAGGGGCTTCTCCCCGCCGTGGACCAGATGGGTGGTGGGGGAAACCCCACGCGAAACAGGGATGTCGCCATGCTACATCCCCAATGTGATGGTGTCACCTGGAAGTGATATCATTGCATCGGGGAGGTTGTGTGGGGGGACACTCTGGTACTTGGGCAAACTCTGTGGTTTGGGGGCAAATCCCTCCACTGGAGCAATGAGAGGACCTGCAGCCCTGGTTTAAAAAGACAACATGCCTTACCTGCAGACTAAAGGAAAACTAGCTGGAGAGGCACACCTTTGGTCTGCAATTAAAGTGACTCAAGTTAAAAACTGGTGAAACTTCATGTCTTTTTGTATGTGTGTGCACGCGCGCGATGTCCCATTGTTTCCTCTATTGTGAGTGGGTAAAAAAATTTACATTCTCTGGGAGGCCTGTGTTCAGATCCTTGTGTGACCTTGGAAGAGTCCCATGCCCTCTCTCTTTCTCAGTCTAACCCTCTTCACTGGGTTGTTACGAGGATAAAACAGAGAACGGAGAACTATTGACACATTGGAGGAATGAGGATCTCGGCTCAGTGGCAGAGCAGCTGCTTGGCATACAGAAGACCCCGGGTTCAGTCTCCAGCATCTCCAGTTAAAAAGGATCAAGTCGTAGGTGGGATGTGAAAGACTTCTGCCTGAGACCCCGGAGAGCTGCTACCAGTCCAGAGTAGGCAGTATTGAGCTTGACAGACCAGCGGCTTGACTTGATTATGAAGTAGCTTCATGGGTTCGGGAAGCCTGACTTCCTCTTTTGCACTTCCTGTCTTTCAGCAAATCAGTGCTTGAGTCCGTGCAGTTCTCAGAGCTGCATTTTGGCACAGGAAGAGCAGCTTCTGCAGGTTGGGGACAAACAGCTGGCCAGACACGTGCTGCTGTGCCTCCTGCTCATCGTAGGCCTCTTTGCCGTAAATATTTCATTGTTTTTTCTTCTCATCACTCAGCTCCTCGGTTTGTGCAATAATCTGAGGAAACCATGTTGCCATCACGGGAAAGTCCTGCACAAACAGACAAATTTTGTTTAAACGGCTCATGGAACTGACATATATGATAGTTGCTTGCATATTTGGCAGTGCTTGGATTTTGTGCCCCCATCTTTAAAAAAGTGCAGCATCGCTTAGAGTAAGGGTCTCCAACCTGTTCGAGCCTGTGGATACCTTTGGAATTCTGACACAAGGTGGGGGGGGGACCACAAAATGGCTGCTGCAGCAGGTGGAGGAAACCATAAAACAGCTGCTGCAGGAGGCACAACCACGTACACATCCAGAGGAAGTACAAGTGCAGGGGAGAAGAGGGGTAGTTTTAAAAATACACTGGGAAAGAGGAGGGAGAGAAAGAAGAATAAACCCAATACTAGGGGTGGCAGCTGCTGCTGAAGCAACGTTATTTTAATCTGCACAGCCAATTATAACTTTAGTGGTCAATCAGAAGCTGTGCTGGGCAGAAACCCCACCCAGCCTCTCTCCCACTTTCTGAAAATATTTTGCAGGTGCCAGGGAAAGTGTCAGGGGCCACCATGGTGCCTGTGGGCGCCATGTTTGGGTAGGGTTGTCAGGTCTTACCTGACCTTTAGCGGGGGGTTCCTGGGTCTGGCATTATCGCCACAATGACATCACCCAGAAGAGATCTCATCACCCTGGGCACGTCACACTTTGATGCTTTACCATTTTGGCCAAAAACTCTATGGTAATCTATATACAACGTGCCCCGTGTGATGACGTCACTTTCAGGTGACATCATCGTGCCGACAACGTCAACCCGGGAGGTGGCTGTTTGGGGATGGGGTTTCCCCCAACAGCCAGCTGGCCAGTGGCAGATTGGCATTCCTAAAATGGGGGGAACCCCCACCCCAGGGTCTCACAACCCTATGCTGGGGACCTGTGTCTTAAAGAGTGGGATCCCCAAGTGCCAAGTCATTATCATGTACCAAGCAAGCCAAGGCGAATCCCGGCCTGTTTACATTTCTTGCCAATTGCTGTCCTGGCCTCCTCTAATGGCATACTGCCACCTCCTTAATCAAATGCTTTAAGATGGCCTTGACAGAGCTGCCTCTGTGGGGAGGGAAGTCTCTTTAGGCTGTGACAAAGGTGAGTTGATCCATTTCCTGTCCACCCTTTACCCACTGGCTTCCATGCTGGTGCTGAGGATGGTTTCTAATACAAATCTTTTGCAGAACGCTGGCAAGACCATGGCCAGGCTTCGGTTACTGCACTTCCCTCGTAAAGTTATTGTGCCCCCGTCATGACATTTTGGCACAATATAGGCTTTGATTGTTTGAGACTTAACTGACTCTGGCTTGGTGTATTAGGTGTGCCAGGGAATTATAGCTTATCTGTGTGCTTCGCTGCCCCATTGTGCAGTGATGGCAACTAACTCAAGTGCTCTGGTTTTAAAAGAGGGCTACGAAAATTCATGGAGGATAGACCCATCAAATGGCTATTAGCCACAACGACTAAATAGAACCTCTGAATTATACTGCTGGTGGACAGGGGGCAACAACAAGAGCTGCCTTTGGCCTCTTTGTCCAGCTGGTAGTCCTTCCGAGAGTTTCCATGGGAAACAAGTTGCTGAACTTGAGGGATGGTTAGTCTGATTCAGCACAGCTGTTCTTATGTTCAGTATGTATGTTTAAATCTAACTTCCTCAGTTTAACAGTGTTGTGGTCGCAGTTATGACTGCGAGTCATAACTGTTTCGTCGAAGGCTTTCATGGGTGGAGTTCGTTAGTTGTTCATTAGTTGCACAACCCAGAAAATCTACAGCAACATAACAATGTTACTAAATAATTGGCACCATAGAGATAAATGTGCTGTCTTCTGTTTGGACGTATTTTCCTTTGTTAAGCAAATGTACCCTGCCCCCCCTCCCCTGCAAGTCTCAAAGTGTAAATTTCGCAATGTGAATGTTGTGGTGTGTGTTTTTCTTTTCACAGAATCTTTCCAGTTGTTTGTGGTGGTTATTCAACCAAGAACCTGGAAGACTCTACGTGGAACTGCAGTTCTTCTGTGCCGTATTTAATTTTGGTCAGGTATTTATGCCCAAAACGAACACGCTGATCCTGTGCACACACTTCCTTGGGAGCAAGGCCCATTGAACTCTCTGGGACTTGCTTTCAGGTAAACGTGCATAAGGTCAGCACGTGTGTATTTTGCTTTGCTTCTTTGCTTGTCTTGATCTTGAGGAAAGCTCCGTGGCCGATGCTGGATTCTCCCAGTCTCACTTACCTGCACTGATAGATTACCCAGCTTCCACCTCTACCCCACTCCCCAGCAAAAGCTTCCCTAGTAATAGATTGATTGATTGATTTAGAAAATGGGTCTGCCACTGTCGAGAACCTGGTTGAGGAAATCCAAAAACAACATCCATGACAAAAATATCGAGTCAGTAAAGATATGATTGCAAAATCATTTACTGTAGTAATTCTGTAGAAAATCCTCTTCTATTATCGCTCACACGCAACGAATGCTGCACAATGTAAACAATTTGTTTCACAATAATTGCTTTATCTGAGCGTGTAGCAATCACAGTTCTTGTCACTAGAAGGAAGAGAATACACATTCAATTATAAATATAGCTTAAAAATATCATAATAAGCCATTACACTCAAAACTGTCACTTACATTACTACTTATCAGCTCTTGAAGAAAACATTCCAAGTTGACTCTCTAAGAACAGAACCCAAGGTCTTCACAATGTATTAGCTGGATTCTAGAAGCCAAACATAAAGTCTTCACTGCTAATTGCTACCAGCCACAGTCTGCCTATGCAAACAGGATTTAAAGTGCTAGTGTGTCCATGAATGTTTTTTTCTATTTATAAAAACCCAACTGTAAAATGCCATCTATATTATTACTTTCACATATTAACCGTCTATATAAACATCAAAACCTTTCTTATCCTAAAAGTAAATACTCAGTGTCAAGCCTTAGCAGCCGTGACTGGACATTATAACCATGTTTAAAGTGACAGGGTGTGATTTTCAAAAAAACCACTCTGTGGGGGCAATACCAGACGTTGTTTTTGGATTTCCACTTCCTCCCATGATCTCTCATTTTTGGCTTCTACAAGAACTTGGTTGAGGCAGCTCACAGCCAAAACATCAGTAAAGCAAGCCTACCTGATAAAAACTAGCCAAGCCAAGTGTGCATTTAATTCTATGTATTTTGTTAAGATCTCTCATCTGGGTAGGAGATAGATGGTTCTGGATCCTCAAAAGAATATCATCGGAGTCTGCAAATTTGAATTGATTTACGGTATCTCAGTGTTTATTACCTCGAGAAGTAAGTTAATACTTAGATAACGTAAATCAGTTCAAATACAAAATGTCCGTAGTTATTTTTTTAAATCTCTAATTTACTTATTAAGGCATGGTGGTGATGGTGAAAATGTGGAACTTGAAGCAGAGCTGCTGTTAAGGGGCGTGGCAGTATTTTCCCCACCCTGAGGGTTCTTTTGCTGTCTTTAATATGAACATAATTATAAAATTAGCATTTCCTTTATCGTGCTTTATTAATTGTAGTTGATTCGGAGTCTGTGTCTCTGTGATATTTTCTGAACTTGCCCACAGTACTACAATATGCTGCATTCTCTGTATGTCTCTTTTTCTCTTCAAGAGTTACTATCTAATGAAATTAGAAAAGGAGGAGGGATAATGTGTCTTCCTTTTTTGGCTTTGAGACCACACAGACTTTCCTGAGAATTGACACTTGGTCCTTTTTTCCATTCACCATTTTTTCCATTCACCATGTTAAAAAAGAAAGCCTATTCAGATTAGGTACCTGCTGTCTTTACAGCTCATGATAATCTCTCATCTGTCCTCCAAATTAGCTTAGTTCTGGGATTTTTATGAACTGCTGATCTCCTCTCTCTCCCCCCCCCCTCTTCTTTTCCAGGGATTCATTTCTTTTGGAATATTTGGCTTAGACAAGCATTTAATTATTCTTCCATTCAAACGAAGGTAATTTTCAGATTTTTTCCCCCATCATATTTATTTATTTATTTATTTGAACTTTTACCCCGCCCTCCCATCCAAAGCCAGCTCAGGGTGGCTTACAAAAACAGATAATCACATTAAAAACATAAGTTACGATTAAAACAATTCTAAAACCGTAATAAAGTGCTACTGATCGTTGTTATCCATAAATGGTAGCAGCCATCATTCACAGTTCTCAGCTCGCCGTCAGCTCACAGTATTCGTTTCGGTTGTTTCCGCAGTACTTGTTGTTCTTTAGGCTGTTGATGGCAGTTTCCGGAATCCAGGGCCCTCTCCCATTCAACCATCCGATGCTCTTCATTGGTGGTGGCGGCGGCTCCCAAAAGCCTGGTGGAATAGCTCCGTTTTACAGGCCCTGCAGAACTGTAAAAGGTCCCGCAGGGCCCTGATCTCCTCTGGGAGCTCATTCCACCAGGTCGGGGCCACCACCGAGAAAGCCCTGGTCCTGGTCATCAACAGCCTAGCCTGCTTAACACCTGGGAGGGCCAGCCAGTTCTGAGCCCCTGACCACAGTGCTCTCTGGGGGACATATGGGGAAAGGCGGTCCCTCAGGTATGTAGGTCCCTGACCATGTAGGCGGGCTTTAAAGGTAAGAACCAGCACCTTGAAACGAATCCTGTATGCTATCGGCAGCCACTGCAATGCTTTCAACACAGGCTGTATGTGCTCCCATCTAGAAAACCCCATCAGAAGCCTGGCCGTGGTGTTTTGCACCAGCTGCACCTTCCGGATTTGAGACAAGGGCAGCCCCATGTAGAGAGCATTACAGTAGTCTAATCTCGAGGTGACTATTGCATGGATCACTGTCGCCAGGTCGTTGTGTTCGAGGAAGGGAACCAACTGCCTGATCAGCCGAAGGTGGTAAAAGGCTGATTTGGCAATGGCTGCTCCCTGGACCTCCATACTTAAGGAGGCATCCAGGAGCACTTCCGAACTCCTGACCTCCAGTGCTGGCACCAATTGTGCCCCATCAAAGGTTGGGAGTGGGATCCCTAACCCCGGTCCGCTCCAACCCAGCCAGTGATGTACCAGTGGTGGTACATTATGGTTTCGGTAATATTTTCATATACTAAGTCATATAATTTATATAACTTATACTCTCAACCTTTTGGGATCGGTGAAGCTGAGACAACAACTGGCTCAAAGTGCCACCGTGAGCTATATTTGGCAGACCATATTTAAAACCCAACAAGAGCCTTCAGCTCTGGAATCAGCAGAAAACAATGTAAGACAGTGGTCTTGACTCCAACCATCAGCTGGGGTCATGAAATCCCACCTGCTGGATCATAAACCTTTGGAAGGAGCTGGTGCTAGTATGCGTACCTAAAATGCAAAGGCACTGGGGCTCCTGCTTCTCTTTTCATGCATCCTAAGATAAAAAGAGCAAGAGTCCAGTAGCACCTTAAAGACGAACAAAATACGTGTCAGGGTAGGAGCCTTCGTGAGTCACTGCTTCGTGAGTCACTTCGTGAGTCTTCAGATACCTGAGGAAGTGAGCAGTGACTCACGAAATCTCCTACCTTGCCACATATCTTGTTCGTCTTTAAGGTGCTACTGGACTCTTGTTCTTTTCTACTGCTACAGACAAATGCAGCTACCCATCTTGCTCTGTCTTAAGGTGAGTTGGTGAAGTCACTCAGTAGATCCATAAGGTTCTTTTCTGGCTTTGACTCTATGATAAAATTCCTAGTATATTTCCTTTTCCAGGCTCTCTTGGGCTGCTGCCCATGAGCCTGTCCCCCACTTCCATGAGGGTCATACCTCTGCCCCCCCCTTTCCTGTCACATGGCTTCCAAGCATGTGCTTGCAGCTCAGCATTCATCATGCTCAGTGGATCTTGTGTTTGGAAGGGTTGAAGACCACCATCTTAAGATCTCATCTGAAATTTGACAGGAGTCCACATTCCTGAGAGCATCAACTCCTTTCAAATGAGAATGTACTGATAAGAGTGTTTTGTCTTGCTTTGCGGCTATTACATCGGTGGGAGAACTTCCTTGCTGTCTTTGAAAAAGGATTTGCCCAAAACTGACTCCGGCCGGCCCTGCTAAGAAATAATTATGTCTCAAAAGTCCTGACAGTTTGGGTATTCGATTATCAATAGAATATCATTGACAGAAGTACTTAAGGCTTTTCCTGTTCTTCCTGCTCTTTCAGTCATTATGTTATTGCTGTGTATTTTGTTTCTAATTGTTTTTCAGGTTTGAGTTCCTCTGGGGTAACAGAGAAGCAGGGGAAAGAAGGGATTCCTCCATACCTGAGGAAATCCGGATGACGTGCCAACAGTTTGTTCATTACCACAAAGATTTGTGTGTCAGGAGTATTGTCCAGGACAGAAGGTGGGGCACTGGGAGAGGGCTGTTGTTAAGCTTGGGCTGGGGGTGTGGTTTGTGTTAATGCAGGTTAGCTAACCCATAACCTGTTGCGGTAAATGCTTCCAAATCACACTAAATAGAAATATAAAAGGAACCAGACTTCTTAGGCTTGGATCCCACAGTAAATATCCATTTCCATCAGCGGGATGGAACTTCCTCACCTCTCCCCTGCTGGAGCCCAAAACGGTGCTCTTGGAGACAGGGGACCCCCCCCCCCGGAAGACCATGAGGGGCAAATCAGAGGTTTGTGGCAGGAGCAGGGAGCCAGTGAAAATCTCCACCACCTCCTTCTGTTATCAGAAATTGACTGTGAAATCCCAGCCTTTGCTGTATTTGGTATTAAAACAAAACTATGGGAAATCATTTTCAAGACTTTGCTTTTACATGTATTTGAGTGAGCTACAAGCTAATATTATAGCCTTTATAAAAGTTGTGAAGATTAAATGGCAACATCAGGTGGTGCTGATCACTAACACCAGCAGGGGAGGAAGATTATTAAGTTTCTTGCCTGGCTTGTTCATAAACTCAGCGACTCTCAGGCTTAAGGCGGTGGTTAGTTGTTTTCAGTCGTGCTACTCGGTTGCAGATTTCCTTGCATCTTGAGATCTTTCCACAGCTAGAAGTCCTAGTCCATCATTTGGTTTGTTTGCAGAAACAGTGTGGTGCCAAATTGAAAACTGCATCCTCAAAGTGTTCTTATTTAGAGTAAAAGGGCATTATGAAATCCTTTTTATAAAAGGAACCAGACTTCTTAGGCTTGGATCCCACAGTAAATATCCATTTCCATCAGCGGGATGGAACTTCCTCACCTCTCCCCTGCTGGAGCCCAAAACGGTGCTCTTGGAGACAGGGGACCCCCCCCCCCGGAAGTCCATGAGTGGCAAATCAGAGGTTTGTGGCAGGAGCAGGGAGCCAGTGAAAATCTCCACCACCTCCTTCTGTTAGCAGAAATTGACTGTGAAATCCCAGGCTTTGCTGTATTTGGTATTAAAGCAAAACTATGGGAAATAATTTTCAAGACTTTGCTTTTGAATGAATTTGAGTGAGCTACAAGCTAATATTATAGCCTTTATAAAAGTTGTGAAGATTAAATGGTAACATCAGGTGGTGCTGATCACTAACACCAGCAGGGGAGGAAGATTATTAAGTTTCTTGCCTGGCTTGTTCATAAACTCAGCAACTCTCAAGCTTAAGGCGGTGGTTAGTTGTTTTCAGTCATGCTACTCGGTTGCCTATTTCCTTGCATCTTGAGATCTTTCCACAGCTAGAAGTCCTAGTTCATCATTTGGTTTGTTTGCAGAAACAGTGTGGTGCCAAATTGAAAACTGCATCCTCAAAGTGTTCTTATTTAGAGTAAAAGGGCATTATGAAATCCTTTTGGTCCCCCCTCCCCCATTTTTAACTGTTGACCTGTTTAGAGTCAACGTTTGGATTTAGAACAAGGTTCACTTGGACCCCTGCAGCCCCCTACATGTCCCATGACGTTTTATCCAATGATCTCCCCTGACCCCATCATCAGCTTTTTGAGATCTCATGGGGCTGCTAGGAGAATGCAAAGAGTGGAAAAATCTGTGTCCTCCTACATGTGGTCTGTCAGGTCCAGCCCGTCAGGTTATATGGGCATAGCCAATTTCTTTGCCTTTTACATGTCTGGCTGTTTTGGGGTATGTGTTTCAATTTCTGGGGAGTTCCATGAGACCTCACTGTTCTCGAGCAAAAGAATTTCTTCACAAGTTACAAGCCGAATAGATAGAAGTTAATGACAAATCAGATTTAAAAGCGTAAGCGAAGAGTAAATATTGTCCAATATCTGCTCTAACGGTTTGAAATTAAGTATTATTGACTGTCTACGTTGTAACTTTTCCCTTGTTTCCATATGATGATAAAATGTATGCATTCCCTTGACCCCCTTCTCATCTGTTCGTCATTCTTAAGTTTCTCTTTTCTTCTTGGTTTAATGTCCTGTATCAGGCTGCTTCTGCCGTGTTGGTCTAATATTTTGTTGACTTTCCCCTTCAGTAATCCATACTAACATTATCTCACATTTCGCGGCTTATTTTAACACAAATGCCGAGGGACTCCTTGGTATCTTTTGCTGAGGTGTGTGTGTGTGTGTGTCTCTCTCACTGGCTTGACTTGTTCTGGAATGCTTTGCTCTGGCTTCCTGTTAAGAGTTTGTGTACATATCTAAGTGTTGTCAAGTTGCAACTCTTATGGCAACCCCAGCAAGGGGCTTTTTCAAGGCAAGTGAGAAGCAGAGGTGGTCTGCCATTCCCTTCCTCCGTAGAGTCTTCCTTGCTGGTCCCCCATCCAGGTACTGACCCTGCTTAGTTTCTGAGATCTGCGGAGACTGGGCTGCAGCAGGTTGCCTTCCCTTAGTGAACTTCAGGAGATCGGGCTGGATTGAGCTAATTTTTTGTGTGTGCACCAGGTCCCCACTTTCATGGCCAGTTCCATTTCACCAGTGTCTCCCCCCCCCCATTTCCATGGCAAACCTCACTACTACCCCAGCTATTCTCCAGGGTGCCCTAGGAGCAGCATTTCGGGGTGCATTTTAGGCAAGGGATAGGCAGGGAAGGTGCACATCGATGGATCGTGGAAGTCCTTCTGTCTGCAGAAATTTCACACCGGATCCAACCATAGCTTTTTACAGCTGTGGGTTAACTGTTTGGTTGTCTGGCTGCAATAGTGGAACTGGCGCTTCATCTTTCTCAGTGTCATTCTCAGTACCCTACAAATAAATGAAAAATTAAGGGGAGAAGCGACTGTAATTACTGTTCTTCTAAAGTAGCGGGACTGTCAACTTTCATACATTAAAGGAGAGTTGCAGAACTGCATTTAAAAGCTGTCTGTTCAGCCAGTTATTCTTAAAATATTTATTTTCCAGTCTCCAGAATGCCCATGGCCACACTTCACATGAAGGGGTGTATTAGTGAAAGGATCGTTACTGCATGACAGTGCCACGCCAGCTTTCAGCATCAGCATGTCGATGCCAGTTCTGTACACTCCCAGCCTATAGGCAGTGCATGTAATTTTGCTAGTGTAAATCAGAAGGAGCTTTTAGATTTGCTCCCACTGCATGCAGCACAACCACAGGGAAAAGTAGTATGGAGGCCTCAGTATGGAAGCCACTGTTTCAGTGATCCCTCCAGATCATTGTGCTAGTGGATGATGGAAATGAATAACAGGAACATAAGTTCAGGGGCTTGGGGGGCACTAAATCATTGCTTTCTAGTGGTGCGTGTCTTAGCAGAGCCCTGCATAATCACATTGGTTACCTCTTAGTTTCTTAGAACCCGAGTCCTAGTTGCTTATCTCTCTCTTAGGCCTTTTTCGGTGTAGGGTGGAGGTCTTATCTTAGCCCATATGATTGTGAATGTGAGATCAGGGGTTGGTTCCTAGCCACTAATCCAGCTAACAAAGTGTCATCTTACATGTGCTCTAACTTTAGCAGACATGCATGCGTTTTGATTGTGCTTTATTGGGGGGAAAGGTAATCGCGTTTGCAACAAAAAATAATATTTAATGGCTAATAAATTCTCTTTTTAATGTTCTTTTAACTATCATGCTGTCTTTCCTTGTTTTCCTCCCTTTCCCCCCGCTCATCAAGCAGTGCTGGTACGAGATTTACAGAACATGTGGGTGAATCATTCCTTTGACATACAGGTGTGGAGTAAAGATGGCCACCGGCGTCTTCTTTGGCTGTGACCTGGTGAACTGGCTCGTCGAAGTCGGCCTTGCCTTAGACCGTGGGGAAGCTGTGGTGTACGGAGACAGACTGGCGAAAGGCGGCATCATCCAGCACATTACCAATGAATTTGAGTTTCGGGATGAGCCGTTACACTATCGTTTTGTTCCCAGAAGATCTGTGGCAAGAGAGAGCCACGGAAATGGGGAGATCCTTCGAAGCTTAGCCTGACAGGGTTTTCCAGAACACTCTGCTCTGACACTTTTATGTGGCACAGCTGTTCAGTTCTCAGCCCTTATATTGTTCTATTTGTCTCCCACTCAAAGAGACTTATATTTAACACTTATTTAATGCTGACATGCAGTAGGTCACTTCAGGGAATTATTTTAACTCGTATAAATTCAAAAAATAGGATATGTTTGGTTCTTTTTTAAAAAAAAATGTGGACAGGAGTCACTGTAGTAACCAATCCAGTTTTCTGTTCCTGACTGTGCATAATCTACTTCTGAGGAAAACTGTTCTCTCCTGGGTGGTTGGGGTTTTTCCTCCCGTTTGTGCTCTTTGTATCACGTGACGCACTGACAAAAAAAGAACCGGCTAAGGTTGGCTCTTGAAAAGCTCTTCTTGGCTTGTGCTGTCCCTTTTTCCTTTTTGAAGGCAAAGCCTCCATTTAAGCTGACACTGTGAGTGTTTGGGAGGATTAGAACTGAGAAAGAAACAGATGAGTTTTGCTCTTTGGGGTCTTGTCTGAGCAAGCCAGTCCTTTAAAGACCTCAGAAGCAAGCTGCGATCCTGTACCCTGTCAGTTGTTTTACTACTGAAGTCTGTGGGGTGTAAACCAGCCTAAGGGTAAGCAGGATTGCCACCAAAACATTAATTTTTTTAGCGTGTTCCTTCTGTTCTAAATTGCTCTCAGAGGAGCAGTTGGCATAGAACTACTGAACAATGAATTCATTTTCACAAGCCTCAAAGTACTCATCAGACTGGCTTTAGTCGATGTCTGTGAGGTTGTGGCTAATTTGCATGTCTTAAATTAGACCAAAAGCCTTTATTAAAAATGAATATAACCAAATACTTGAATTAGGTTTGATCCCCCCCCATATGCAACCTGAAGAACACAACAATGTATCTTTATTCTTGGAATAAGGGTTTGGGGTGTGGGGGGAAACCTTTATTTTCATGGGCTTCTTAATAGTTAAGATTCAGTCAAGTGCCAGTAACAACCCCCCCCCCCCAGTTAGGTTCTACTGGGTTTTTTTTATGCCCACGTGTTTTTTCTGGCCCGTCTATCTTGTCCCTTTTCTCACTGTGAGCTGGCGAAGAACTCTAGAGAATGGAATGGCATTTATTGATCTTTTTTAAAAGGAAGAGGAATGTAAACTTTCCATATAATTACTAATTGCTAGTGTAACTGGAATAATCTGAAATGAATTTGTAACAGGACTTCGTTAGATCTGCATTGGTTATCTTCCTCTAACAACCCTTCATTTTTGGCTGTTGGGGTGGTGTAGTTAATTTTGGTAGGGGTATGGATGTATTTCAAAGACAGGCTTCTTAAACTTTCGGCTGTGGTCCCGTAGTAGTAGGAGTTAGTCCTAACAGCCTCAAGTACAATCAGTAGCCACAATTGATGTACATCAATATGCATGAAAGATGTGACCTGGAAAACCACTTACTTTTGCAGTCAAATGTGTAACTAGTACATCGATGTCATACATGAAGAGTTTGCTGACAAAGTTTCTTCTGTCTTGTACGCAAACTTTAATGAAGAAAATTGTGTTTAAAGTAAAGTGTGGTTTCACCTGATCTGCAGCTGAAAATGGAGGTGCAGCTGTTATATTTTGGAAGCCAATCATGTTTCTGTCTATTTTGCAAAGAATTATGGAGAAATCCATTTTGGAAGTAGTTTGTCATTCTACGCTCTCTGCATTTCAGTTTCTCAATAAATAGATTGTTTTATCTTGTAAGTCCAAATATTCCTTTACAAAGTTGGGGGGGGGGACACAATTTCTTGGTGTCAGGCAGTCATTAAGAAGAGAAGAAGAGATTGGATTTATACCCCGCCCTTCACTACCCAAAGGTGTCTCAGAGCGGCTTACAAACTCCTTTCCCTTCCCCTCCCCACAACAGATACCCTGTGAGGTAGGTGGGGCTGAGAGAGCTCTGGCAGAAACTGCTCTTTTTCAAGAACAGCTCTTATCAGAGCTACAGCTTGCCCAAGGCCATCCAGCCAGGTGCAAGTGGAGGAGTGGAGAATCAAACCCGGTTCTCCCAGATTAGAGTCCGCACACCAAACTGGTTCATCATTATTTGTTATTAACATCATTATTTGTACTTGGTATTGTATTTCACCTAATAGTCACTGCCAGAGTTTGAACCAACTTTCTCTGGTTTGTGAACTGAGGTTTTGTGCATGGATTGTTAATGCTCTTATGTAATATGCAGTGTGTTACTTGACCCACTGTTAATTTAAATTCTCCTTGGCACTTGGTTTCATAGGTTATATTCTTGAGAGGATAAAACAATAATATAGGAAGTAGACCTCCCATGTTTGGTTTTGAAAAATAAGACTTTTTACAGAATTTCTAAATCTCAAGAGCACTCACTCATTTGCATTACTGTTCATTCAGCCAACATCATGAACAGGAAATACACCTAAAATACTAATGAGGTTTTGAGGTCTGCCAAGCTAGTACTATCAAACCTTTTGTGGCCTCCAAATTCATTTGTTGTTCTTTGTCACTTAGAAACTGCAAAACATTGGCCTCCATAGAAACAAAAACTGCTTCCAGCTCATTTCTAACATCTGAAAACCAAGGGCGTTCAAAAAGAATATGATCAATTGTGGCAAAGGTCAAGAGCGAGAGTGGTAAAGACTATTTTTCTGGGGAAGGGAGTTCAAAACTTGGAGTTACAGCTGAGAAAGCTCTATCATACATACCCACCAGTCGGTCTTTGCATGAACATGGCTAGACAGGAAAGGGGTAGTTGATCTTGGCTGACTGGGGATGGAGGCCAGTCTCTCAAGCAGTCTGGTCCTCAGCCTTGAATCAACTCAATAACACAACTCAACCAGACTGGTGGCATGGGATCTATCTGGTCCTCAGCCTTGAATCAACTCAACCAGACTGGTGGCATGGGATCTCTATGGCCAAATTAAAACTTTTTGTCAAAGTATTTTGTAACAGTCTGAAATTTCGAGATATTCCTTGCACATGTGTGTTACTGCAGACTCATCTGGATGACACTGAGGCTGTATAGTTGAGGCTCCATCCGCACTATCAGCTCCACTGCTGCTGGTGATCCAGTCTGAATTGGTATAACAGATCATGGCATGTCCTTGAAACCTGCTTCTCAAGCAACAGGGCTGTATCCAGAAATATCCTAGACCGCAAACATGATATTTCAGGACAGTGGAGCTCCATTTAGAACATGTCATAATCCTAAACCCAGTTTGGCTCTACATCCATCTCATTCTCTCCAATCACCAATCTAGGCTTTTTCTCCACTAGCTCCCAGCAATCAGAAACTTAAAGACTATTTGCATTTGTACCATCTCCGGGGGTTTTGTGTAGATGGAAAAGTATCTCGGGAACTAAGATTGACCCGTGCGGCATCCAATAGTCTGGGGGATGAAGGATAATAGTGGTAGTATCTCACCACCTCTTGAAACCAATGACCAAATTTGCAGTGTGCCACTCCCCAGCTCCCATTCCAGTTGGACAAAACCGAATAATACCACAGTCAACGTTTCTTCTGGATCCCCCACTAGGTTTTGTAACAGGGACAACATGCTCCACCTGTTTGGTTATCCTCCCTCATGGACTTTGCTGGGCAGCTATGTTAATCAAAGACAGACTGAACAGTTTCTAGATGATCATACTTGTATAGCTGGAAACACTTGCCATTGAATCACCACTGTGTGCTGCCATCTTGCTAAAAAAAAAGACACAAGCAAGAAGATCCCTTCCCAGTAAACTCCTAACTGAATTTAAGATTGAATTAACCAAGATGTGGCAAGAACCACAAGCACAGCTGGTGGGCCTTCTCTGTCCAGTAATTCTCTCCACATACTCAGGCAGCAGAGACTGGAAAGTGTCCCTAAGAAAAGGAAAAGCAGAAGCCACCAAAACAGCCATTGTTGGAATGGTAATTAATGTGGAGTCCAATCAGATTGATTTTAAAGCTTGCATTAGAAAACATTTTTGCCAAGTGCTTACTGAATTGACTGGAGTGATCTCCTGATGGATCCACCAGCTCCCCCACGGACCCAATGTGTAGTCATTCTTGTACCACACAGACCAACCTTGTTGAGTGACAGAGAGTGGGGGCTACTGGCATCACTAAAGTGAAATTTCTTTGGCCCAGAATAGGTTACAACACAGACCAAGGCTTTGGTACATTTTCATCCACTGGTGTTTTAGCCCGTATGCTTGCAGCTTCCTTGTTCCCAGCTCCACAGTTGGTAAAAGAAGTTGTATAGACTGAAAACGACCACATGAAGCCATGCTGTCCAGCAATTTTTACTATCTTTTATTCCTGTATCATCACACAAAATTCATCATTCTTCTTTGGCATCACATGGCACAGTCCTCTACAGAACAATACTCCTCCAGAAAACTCTACCAGCATTCACATGCAAGGGTGAAATTGCCCACATACAAACCACTGCAGAAATGTATCTTTTCATTTTGCGTAATTTTGGTAGTGTTAATACTTTTTCACTTTACAGCTTCTCATTGATTTGAGTACCCATTCCCCAACAGATCACTCTATAAAGAGAAACAATGTACAAAACCCAACATAAACCAGCAGGCCCCATACAAGTGAAGAAAAGTAAAACAAAACAATTCTGTTCAATTAAACGTTTACAGAAGCCCAATTCCTTTCAACTAAAATAGTTCATTAATTGATCTGGTTCCTGTTTAGCATCCTACCATCAAGTTTTAGGCCACAATCCACCTCACAGATAAAAGCAGCCAAGGGCTCCGATCATACCACCGAGGAACTGCGGGCGGGAAGCGAGGCTGTTTGCCCTGGGGCGAACTGACGCGCATTTACGCGATCAGACTTCCGCCCGCCCCGCAGTTCCCTATGCTACTGACATTTTCCTGGTGGTTTTTTGGGCCGCTCCTGCGGCGCAATGAGACACCCCGCCAACGACTCCGTTTGCCTGCCGTAGCTTCCGCTCCATATGATCGCAGCCAAGGACTATCTTAACTTGTGTTCAATGACAGGCAAGCTTAAAGCAGACGGCAATAATCACACCAAAAACCAACTGAAAGCCATGGGCTTTTATTCATGCCTGTTCTCTGTCATGTCTTTCAACGGGTCTGAGATGCAACCAACTTTTGCTGTACCGGTACATGACTGCAACAAATGTCACATTGACATACTTGCATAAAAAGTCTTGCTTTTTTCCTAAAGGAAACTGTCATTAAACCTTTATACAGCATCAAAACGTTATTTATATTCAGTGCTTTAGATTTGTAGGTCTTTGAAGAGGCACGTTCTCAAAAATGCCTAAACGATCATTAAAAACGGTACTGTCAGAGTGATAAAAGCACAATATTGCATAGTGTCTTCCACAGCAGATATGGAGTTCTGCTCATAATGGCAGCTTTCTCAGAACACCAAAGAAAGCGATACTGGAAGGTAACTGATGGAGGAACAGTACACATGTTCCAGGCATTTTTTCCCCTTTTTTTGTGCCAGGAAGACATTTTTATAATGGTAGACTTGCCAACTTACTATCTTACTGCAGTTTCACAGTATGTGTATTTTTATATATCTGCAATACTGCTCACCGAGAAATGGACTCATGGCATTCGAATATTTTTCCTGTGTAATGCACATTACTGGAAAAATTAGCCAGTAACCAATTATCAATATAAGCTATTTTAATAGTACTACCCTCATTTGTTTTACATTATTACTTACATTTAAAAAAACATTCTTTACATACAGTCAGATTTTTCAGACTGACATTACAGCATTCATACTTCTATTTTTATTCCATGTAATAATATATAACCACATTATATTAGGGCCTCTGAAATATATTATTTCTATTAAAAACTTAAAAGTTCTGCATTGCAATATCTAGGTGTCTAATGCTAAAATCAGGAGTGAGCCACAAGCTCACCTACACCCTGCATTCCCATGCAACTTCTTCCTGCCATCCACAAGGTTAGTGATTATACTACCATGGCCCTAAAACCATGTAGTGTTCAAATTCTAGTTAACAGCAAACCCTGGCTTTGTGTTAACCATGGTTAAAGACACTGGGAAACAATACAATCAGAAATTCTATGTCTACACCACTCGCTAGAAACCTATTTGTGTTATAAACTTTACTTTGTTTAACACTTCAAGCTGAGCTCTATGTACAGACAAGAAGTGATCACAGCAGATAGAAGCGCAGTGAAAATCGCCATCATTAGATGGCCAAAATGTTGGTTTAGAGTGGTACTCATAACTAACAGATCTATGTCCCAAGCCTAATAGTATTAATAGTTGCCACATTTTACAATCCAATCTGTGCTCAACAAGGGCTATTTAGCCAGAATTGGCAAAGTGCAAACAAACCTAATCTGGGAAGTGATTGTTCATCCTGATAACTGAGTAAGTGCAAACAGTACCAAATTCTACAATGGCAGATTTTTAATCCTTAGGCATATATTCACAGATTTCTTCTTCTACACACTTTGAGAAAAGGTTAACTGCTTGGTCAACATCAAGGTGTCCGCTCTGTAAAATATGCTCCATTTCATCAGTCTTCTCTTTCTCTAGATTTCGAATCTGTTTCAGCAGTGCATTGCCCTCGTCCTACATAGAGACGTTTCAAAATTAAATTAAGAATGTAATACATTCTTCAACATTACATGAACAAATTACCTTTAACATCTCAGGGCTGGATCCAGCAATGAGTGAGCGGAAGGGAAAATTTCCTAATGGACCAATGCAAATGTAAATGTGTAGATAGTTCACATGATTCCATTTAATCGAGTTTTGAAATTGTATCAAAAGAAATACCTTGTACTATGTCTTGCACACAAAGAAAAGATGGCAGAGGTGCAGTCTTTCTCGGTTAGCGCATGCAGACAGTGAGAAGTCGTTTTAGTGCTTCTCCAAGGACTGTGTTGCCCACAATGAACTCTTCCATAGGATCCAACCCGTAATCTTGCACCTTTAAAAAGTTCCATACCAAGAACCACTCACAGCTCCTAATTGTGTTAGGATTTTACATTCTTTTCTGAGCTGGATTACTTGAATACTTATTATTGTTCTGGTATGTTCCTAATGACAAACTAATAAATTGTGTTCCGAATCACAAACTAATAAAACTGTGAAATCACCTGGCAGTTTTGACTCGGAGCCAGAATTGCCTATAATAATCGTTACCCTGATGTTGTATTCAATATCCCATTGAACATTAAAATGAATACCAGTGTCCTGCACAAAAAGAAAAGCAAGTGGGGTGTAGTGGTCAGAGTGTCAGACTAGGGTTTCGGAGAGCCTGGTATGAATCCCCATTCATGCCATGGAAGTCCACTGGGTGACCCTAGGCCAATCTCTCTCTCAGCCTAACCTACAGCACAGAGGATAAAACAGAACAAGGAAGAACAAGCCACTTGGGTCCCCACTAGAGAGGAAAGTGCGGTACAAATAAGCGAGAATAGCAACCATTATATGGAAGCTTTAATGGGCTGGATGAGGGCTGGTCAACTGAAGCTCAATCTAGGTAACACGGAGGTGCAACTAAATGATAAGGCAAGTAGGCTGGTAGGCAGCCTGTTCTGGATCAGATTGTTCTCCCTCTAAGGAGCAGGTTTCACAGCCACAGGCGCTGCTCAATTCAGGCTTACTGACGGGGTGCAGGTCCCTGTAGCACACAGTGCCTTTTACACAGTGCTCTATCTGCATCCATCCTTGGGAGGTGTGGCTGGACCATAGCTAGCTGTGCTCTAATCATTTCTAGGAGGGAGGACTGTCATGTGCTGTATGTGGTGCTGCCTTTGAAGACTAGCCAGAATCTTCAAGTGGTCCATAATACAGCAGGCTAGGCTGCTAGCAGTTAGGAGCTTTAAGGATCACTTGCTAGTTCTTAAGGATATTAATCAGCTGTTAGTTAGCGAAAAAGTCCCACCCAGTCCAGGACCACAGTATGTTCTCTCGTACAAACTCCCACCGATTAAGACTGTCTTCTGAGGTTCTACTTGGTGTGCTACCCCAGGGAGAGAGGCTAGGTGGGTGAGTACCATGGACATCTCTGTGTGGGCACCAAAACAGTAGGATTACTTCCACGGAGAAGCTCACCTGATGCCAAACTGACATTCTCTCACTCTATCAATATGGCTTTTAGATAAATTGTCTCTCTCCCCTCCAACGTTTACATTATATTTTATACATCTGTATTTGTGGTGATTGTTCAAAAGACTTTACATTTGTTTTCTGGTGAAATCTCTATTCTGATAGTGTCCTAGTAGTTTTTATCTGCTTGTCTTAGTTTCATTATACCGTTGCAGTCTCTTATATGTTGGGTTGGATCCCAGCGGTGGCTCAAAGGTTAAGATGCTGAGCTGCAGACTGCAGACGGGGTGCTGCGTGACAGAGTGAGCTCCCGTCTCTGGCCCCAGCTCCTGCCAACCTAGCAGTTCAAGAGCAAGAAACTGCAAGTAGATAAATAGGTACCGCTTCGGTGGGAAGGTAACAGCGTTCCGTGCGCCTTGGCATTTAGTCATGCCGGCCACATGACCACGGAGAAGTCTTTGGACAGCACTGGCTCTTCGGCTTGGAAACGGAGATGAGCACCACCCCCTAGAGTCGGATCCTACTAGCTTTCGAACAAGGGAAGCCTTTACCTTTACTTAAATCCCATGTCCTATGTGGCTTTCAACCATGCAGGTCCCGTGATCCCCAGCATAGCTTTTTAGGTGATCAAAGCGGACTTCCCTCCTCCCTTTTCAACCAGTGGAAAAACTGGTTGACTCCAACCCATGATGTCTTCTATTACTTTGACTTAATGTTTTAAGCTATTTATATAGCAATTGTGTGATATAAATATTCCAAATAAGCAAATACCCTTGGCAAGAAATCTACATTTTTAAATAAGACATGGCTTATCTTGGGATATCCTCTTTTGGCCAGCACCAGGTTTTCTCAGCACACAATGTAAAAACAGCAACAGTGGAACCTATATGAATTAAAGGGAATATGAGCTGCCCATGCTCTGTATCTGTGTAGACATTCACTCCATTTCCTGGAGTGAATGAGAAGGCAAGAGAAAGGAGTGGGGGCAGGAAAAAGGCAGGGAATGCTGCCAGACAGACCCATGGTCTTGCTTCGGTTCCTATCCTATGTTCATGTACCTTCTTGCCCTGCAAATGATTATCTATGAACCAGTGCCAAAGAGAGGACAGCATATCTACAGCTGTATAACTGTTGTCGTCTTACTGCATGGCACTCTGTTGGCGCAAGGCCATGCAACTAACGTTCTTTGGCCTTCAAGGAGAACTGAAGAATTATTTGGCTTGGCCCAAGCAAAGGAAAAAGATACTTCACATTATATCATCTTGACCTTTCATAAGTACCTCTGGGCATGTAACACTATGCTGAGCCGCAAGGTGAAGTACTAAATTACACTAGGATTACTCAAGCAGAGCAACTTGTTCAAATTCTTTCCCTAAACTTTGCTTTATATCAACACCCTTCATCCTATTCAGATCTCTCTTAGATCCACCCACCTTGGAAGCTTCCATCAAGAGGGCTGCGCTTTCATGGTTTTTGTAGAGTTCATGTCTCCTGTCTGGCTTAGTCTGAAAACGTGGCTTCTTTTTAACTGGATCCTCCGGACCAAACACTGGGGAACTGGTTTTTAGCAGCTGAGTAATGTTTGGCACAAAAACGAAAGGTTTAAAGACAGATCTGTAAAGTAAAATGTAAACACAAAATAAAATGAAAATCAGTAGCTGTGCCAAGTTGATCAATGGACACTGCATGTTTTCCCCACTACTTTCCGTAAGGAGAGCTTTCAAGTATTTCCTAACCCACCTATATTATTTTTATCTAGATAGTCAAAACAGATGCCATACACATACTAACTCCTCAAGCTAGTAATTTTTAACCATATCTAATGATTACTGTATATGGGACTGCTTTTGAAGACCACTGGATTCAGAATATGGCTGCCAGGATATTGACCAGAGCCAACTAGCCTATTTCATCCCTTGGCATACAAGTTGTTTCTTGATGCAATTCAAATTGTTAATTTTAACACTCACCACACATTACAGAAGCCACATGTTTTCTGTAAACTTAGTTTCTCTTTTTTGGCTCTGTAAGATAGGTGGAGAGGAGTGAGGATTCACAATATGCTTGCCTAAAGCAGCTAACAAGTGAAGGAAGGCTATCCTTCCAATTGGCTAGGAAATTGCTTGCGAAGCCACAGCCAAAAATCTGATACATCAAAACAGTAAAATGTCAAGTGAAGCATGTTTTTAGCAGCAAATGTAGAGAAATACAGAGGTCACATACAGATATTTTAAAAAATCTTAAATACCATTCTTTTAACAGAAGAGTAGGTTTTTATACCCTGCTTTTCTCTATCCTAAGGAGTCTCAAAGCGGCTTACAATTGCCTTCCCTTCCTCTCTCCACAACAGGCACCTTGTGAGGTAGGCAGGGCTGAGAGAACTGTGACTGGCCCAAGGTCACCCAGCAGACTTCATGTGGAGGAGTGAGGAATTAAACCTAGGTCTCCAGATTAGAGTCCACTGCTCTTAACCACTGCACCATACTGGGTCTCCAAAAATAAGAACTCTAGCAGGCAAATAGTGTCAGCGCGAGGAAACTTTATAACAACAAGTCGCCTCAATATCTCTAACTACCATATAAACCACTGGTAATTAGACAGTAATTAAAATGATGGCAACATCAGCTGGCTTAACAGTACTATAAACAAAAAGCCAGATGCAGCCCCAGGTGCAAGTCACACAGTTACAAAGGATAAGGCAGACACAAGGTTGTGTGGTGTGTAATCAGAACTAAAAAGCTCTAAATGGGTTGGGAGTTGGGACCTGCATATATGAGGGACTGCCTGCTCCCGTGCAATCCTGAAAACTCCTTAAGATCATCCTCCAAGGCCCTGTTTTGGATACCCACTCCATTTCAGAGACTGCGTGAGTATGAACAAGGATACGTCCAGAGGTTAGATCGGGGACAGGGCTCATTCTCTGGTGGTGGTGCCCTGTCGCAAAATTCCTCCCCAGCTTTATCATCTATTAGGCAGCAAACAAAACTTATTATTTTGAGGCACCAAGTGAAAATGGTCTTACTGTTATTTATCTGAATGCTAAAAATCCTCCTTATTTGCTTGAAGTGGTAAAGGCAGGGTATAAGCTGTTTTTAAAAACCCACAAAAATATACTTGTAAGAGTTGTCTAATCTATTAATGGGAACAGTCATTACTGGGGAGTTAAGTTCCACTGTTATGGCTCAGGTCCGGAATTCCTGTTACATTTTGGAGTCTGTTTAAAAGAGTTAAAGGTCGACAGGGAGTAGGCAAGTTGCACCAAGAAACGTTGTGTTGCTAGGATTTAATTCCTGAGACAAATTATTTTGTACATCACCTGTCAGGGTCTGGGGTTCCGGTAAAGAAATGAATGCAAGGGAGGCTGGGGTCCTGTGGGAGTATGGAGACCATGCTCCCAGTGGTCATAAAGCCGCCTTCCATGTTAATGCCGCTCTCCTTGTCCCGAAGGATACTCATCATTGTCTCAGCGGTTATCCTGCCTATGAGAAGAAAACACCGCATGCAACTGAACAGTGCCTCTCATCAAGCCACATACCTGCCTAGCAACAATTAAGGGAAAGGGTAAAAGGGAAACTGATACACTTTCCACAAAGAGGGGGGGGGGAGTACAAAGGAGGGCAACCAAGAGGATTAAGGCATTGGAGTACCGTTCCAGTGAGGAAAGGCTGGAGAGTTTTAGTTGTTTAACATACTTGTGTAAGCCGCCCTGAGCCTGCGTGGCAGGTAGGCAGGGATACAAACTGAATGAATAAATCAGTAAACAAATAAATAGAATCTTGGACTTTTCAGTCTAGAAAAAAGACAGCATAAGGGGAGACATGACAGCGGTTTACAAAACCTATGCACGGGGTGCAGTAAGTGGATAGAAGACGAACCTGCCTTATACAGAATTAGACCATCAGTTTCAGGTAGAGGTCTTTCACATCATCTACTTTCTGGGGTTTTTTAACTGGAGATGCCAGGGATTCAAACTGGGACCTTCTGTATGCCAAGCAGATGTGCTCTACAGCCCCTCCTTCTAGCGGGAAAAAGGGTAGGATTAAACAAGCCGATAAAAGTTGGGGAAGGGATTTCTCCAGAAGAAGGGAAAGAACAGAGCTCAAGAGGGAGTCGCTGAGAGGAAAATGAAAACTCAGAGAGAAAACAGACTGAGAGCTAGGAAAGAGATGGTTATGGCCAGGCCACTGCAGAGTCGAAGAAGGTGGACTTCACCCCAATGACTTGAAATAACCAGCCAAATCTTTAGAGACAGGCCTCTCGTCTGTATGAATGAATCACTGTCTCTGCCCTTGTCAAATGCTTAGCGTGTTCCAGACTTGATGCTTTATTTTTAAAAATGGTTTCCCTGGGGCTTCATCTAAAAAACCTAGTGACCATCTTAAATTAATCATCTCAATGTTAAAAACAAATCCTCTGCCGCCAAACTTTTCGAAGATTTAAAAACAATTGACAGTAAAATCTTCAGAGATTAGTGCGTGTTCCAATAATGATTCCCTCAAGATCTGTTTTAAAATATATATATATAAGCTTAAGAAGCATCAGGCTGCTAATTTGAACACCTGGTGCGCCTTAAAAATGTTGAGGTAAGTACCTGAAAATGGGGATTTAGATAAAGACACTGATAGAGCCTCCACAATGCCATCACACTAGACAGGTATTAAAAAGTGTTCAGTATTCAGAACCTGAAATCTCCCCCCAAATGAATGCAGCATTTGCATGATCACAGGGGGTATTATAGCTATGAGTAATCCACTGGAGAGCGCAAAATAACTGCTGCAATTGGGAGTAGCAGGCCTCCAGCAGAACAAATATTGAAACAGAAGGGTGCAATGTGATTTGGGCTTAATTTTATTCTTGGAGGCATACAGGGCTATAACTGCCATTCCAATAGTAAACTATCAATGCTAAGTTAATGGCTGCTGTAAGAATCACAGGAGTTAGCAGGGCTCAGAAGAGAACGCTATGCTCCTCCGGAGTCTGTACTGCTACAGCCTTCTTCTAAAGCTGGGGTCCTCAACTGCTAGGTTAGCTCCCCTGAATAGATACAGACTGTAGGCAGCTAGCAAAATATGTGGCACGATATGAGCTTTCGTGTCACTGCTCACTTCTTCATCGAGGGGAAGGATGCCTTCATTCCTGATCCACCCAGATTTGTTTGGGGTGGCCTTCACTGATCCAAGAGGCAGAATAAAGAGCCAAAGCCACAAACAATCCGAGCTTGTCGGACCCAGTCTTTGGGTGTGATTCAGTAAGCGCTGCTCTTATATCCCAGTAGCATCACTACATGCTATCATACATAACCAGGAGGAGTATTGAGATAAGAAGCTGGCCACAAACCTGTGCTTGGGAGTAAAACAGTGAGGAAGAGACAAAAAGAGAAGACAAGACATTGAGAAAGATACTGTAGGGATAAAGAGGGTTTTGTCCAATGCTTATTTTATTTGGAAGAGCATGTCTTGTAGGGGTAGCTGAGGGGGATTTCCCTGATTTCCCCTTCCACCGAAGACCACCACATCATACCCAGCATTATCCCTGCCCCTCTCCCCCAATCCAGGAGGCAGCATTTTAAGGGCTAGGATGAGCTGCGGTAGGAGGGGGGAGGGTACAGATAAAAATCCCGAGCAGTCCAGCAGTTAAAAGATGGTGGAAATTGGACCTGGGAAGGTGGACCTCACATTTCTGTGGACCTAACTTCATTCAATTCAAAGGGGAATAATAGCGAGTAAACTTTGCGGGTTAAATACTGATAAATTAGAACATAAGAACATAAGAACATAAGAGATGCCAATGTTGGATCAGGCCAAAGGCCCATCCAGTCCAACACTCTGTATCCCACAGTGGCCAGAAATACCAGTGCCATCAGGAGGTCCACCAGTGGGGCCAGGACATTAGAAGCCCTCCCACTGTTGACCCCCCCCAAGCACCAAGATGACAGAGCATCACTTGCCCCAGAGTCCCTATCTATACCTTGTGGCTAATAGCCACTGATGGACCTCTGCTCCATATGCTTATCTAATTCCCTCTTGAAGCCGTCCATGCTTGTAGCCGCCACCACTTCCTGTGGCAGTGAATTCCAAGTGTTAATCACTCTTTGGGTGAAGAAGTACTTCCTCTTATCCGTTCTAACCCGACCGCTCAGCAATTTCATGGAGTGCCCACGAGTTCTTGTATTGTGAGAAAGGGAGAAAAGTACCTCTTTCTCTACCTGCTCTTTAGCAGGGCTCAAAAGAGAACGCTATGCTCCTCCGGAGTCTGTACTGCTACAGCCTTCTTCTAAAGCCGGGGTCCTCAACTGCTAGGTGAGCTCCCTTGAACAGATACAAACTGTAGGCAGCTGGCAAAATATGTGGCACGACATGAGCTTTCGTGTCACTGCTCACTGCTTCATCGAGGGGAAGGATATGCCTTCATTCCTGATTCACCCAGAGTTGTTTGGGGTGGCCTTCAAGAGGCAGAATAAAGAGCCAAAGCCACAAACAATCCGAGCTTGTCGGACCCAGTCTTTGGGTGTGATTCAGTAAGCGCTGCTCTTATATCCCAGTAGCATCACTACATGCTATCATACATAACCAGGAGGAGTATTGAGATAAGAAGCTGGCCACAAACCTGTGCTTGGGAGTAAAACAGTGAGGAAGAGACAAAAAGAGAAGACAAGACATTGAGAAAGATACTGTAGGGATAAAGAGGGTTTTGTCCAATGCTTATTTTATTTGGAAGAGCATGTCTTGTAGGGGTAGCTGAGGGGGATTTCCCTGATTTCCCCTTCCACCGAAGACCACCACATCATACCCAGCATTATCCCTGCCCCTCTCCCCCAATCCAGGAGGCAGCATTTTAAGGGCTAGGATGAGCTGCGGTAGGAGAGGAGAGGGTACAGACAAAGATCCCGAGCAGTCCAGCAATTAAAAGATGGTGGAAATTGGATCTGGGAAGGTGGACCTCAAATTTCTGTGGACCTAACTTCATTCAATTCAAAGGGGAATAATAGCGAGTAAACTTTGCGGGTTAAATACTGATAAATTGGTGACCATGTCCTTATGCCAGGTTCATATTTACATTCTGACGTCACAGAGTCTTCTCACAGAGACTTCACCCACATAGTCTGGTGAAGAGACCCATGTCAGAAACTGCCTCCCCCCCTACCTTGAAACCTGCATCACTTCCAACACAGAATTGGAGGACTGAAAAATAACTTCCGCCTCATGTGCAAGTTTCACATGGAGGCTATGTGAAATAAATACTTTTTGTTCAAAGACGTACTGTATTCCTCATATATAATACGAATAAATATTTAAAAGATCCTCATGCTGGAACTATCAAGCTATCTCACGATGAACAGCTACACTGCAGTTTTATATCTCAAAAGCTCGACGACTGCATCTTAAGTACCTCAAGTGGTGGCAGTTAACACCATTCCTTGTGGAAAAGCAGAAAAGTAGCTTCATCATATCAAATGCTTGAAATGGGTGTTTCCACCTTCAATCTCAAGTAGAAAATTAATATATCACATCTTTCAAAGGCCCATTTGTCTAATAACTCTCCAAGTCAAGGGCTCAGCATTCAATAGTTGCACTTCAGTACCTCAAGAAATGTTTTCACGTATATAAAAATGTACAAACAGAAATCCAATCAAGATTCAAAGATACCTTCATGTTTCTTCAGCAGCTTATATCCTTCACAGTATCTGCCTCTTGTTGCGGTCATTCTGGCAGTATTGACATAGGAATACGTGGCGGCAAAATCAAACTCTTTCTCGCCATCCCACCAGCCTCTGCTTCTAGCATAATCCTTTATTTCTGGATGGCCGCGATCAACCCTGGTTATGGACAGCTGATTGGAAATGTTCCGCACTCCCTCTGGATTTTAAAACAGACACAAACTGTGAAAATAGGTCTCTTCACTGGACGCCTTACAACTTTCTGTGCAAACCTGACCCAATTAATTTCATGGGGTTTTTTGCATTTAGACTCCTGAAGGATACCAGCAGATTCTATTACGCAAGCTAAATCCCAGAACAGAAAATTGATTGGCAACACTCATGCCTGCCACTCATGTCTTCTCCCCAAATCTCCCTCTGGCCTGCTCAAAGTCAGCTCACAAAATCAAAACTGCACAAAAGCATGATAACAAATCCATGTCAAGACCGTTTTGAAACAAACAGAAGGATTTCGTAATGTCGTCGTCATGATGGGCACACTGAGAGTGGATTTTGGCCCTTTCCTCCACTGCTAATAGAAGATACGGTTCCATGGACAGAAAGTGCATCTGACAAACAAAAATCGGCTTCTGCTCTCCCCCTCCAGTTGTGGCCCACATGCATCCATGTGGCATCCTGCTTGCTATTCAACACTTTTGCTGTGTGTCTGTACAGCCTCGCATCCAGATTCCCAGTGTTCCACTCCATTGCGAGCTTCATATTATCTGTTGCAACTCTTTATGCAAAACGTGGTTCCTCTTCTCTCCCAGTTTGTTCCTATAACGTTAAGCCTCAGCGGCTTGGACAAGAGGGATGTAATCCAGAGTTGCTTCACTGTATGAGTTTTACTTGATGAATCAGTTGATGAACAGTGCGTATATCGACATACGGATAAGAACATCCATTATGTGTTCTGGGCTTGCTCTTGATCAAGCCATGCTGGTATCATGCAAGCCTCCTTTGTCAGCATGAACCTCCATGCTCAAGTAGTAGAAGGTGGGCACTTTCAAGTCACTTATTCATAATCTACTCAGAGAACACAGAAACAAATTTGGGCATAGATCGAATGACGATCAAATGGAACAGAGCTTGAAGAACATGGCTTTCCTTCCTCCCCCTTCCTGCCTCCTGCACCCTTGAAAAGCCACTCCCAAGAGTAATGGGACCTGCCTGATGTCTCAGGGAGACCTTCTCAGTTGAGCAAAAGTGTTAAATCTATTAATTAGACTAATTAATTCACTAAAATTGTTCGGGGCTGGGCCTGGTAGACCAAAAAAGCTGTACAGCCATATTGGTCTATGCAAAATCCCCTAAACAGGAACAAGATCCATGTAATACAGCAATAGTGTAAAGATCATGGCCTAGGAGATCTGCTTTCCACCCTTCAGTCTTTTTGAATCTTCTAACATTAAGCCTGACAAGAAGTCCTGGTGGCCTTGAAAGAGCAGGTTACACGCCAGGGCAGGTTTCAAGCTATACTTGCTCTGATTTTAGACACCATGTCATCTTAGAAGTCATAGTCTCTCATTTCCTGCAGTTTTCAAATGCACTGTTTCATACACAAACTTGTTTGTTAGTTGGGGGGTATGCAATCGAACAAGGTATTTTAGTCAATAAATATAACCAATTAACAAATCAATTGTGCAGCGAAAAAGAATTTCATCTGCAAACAGATCTGGGCCCGCTCTTACTTATTTACTTACTTAATTTATACCCCATCTTTATTTACTTACTTAATTTATACCCCATCTTTCTTCCCAAAGAGGATCCAAGATGGCTTAGATTCTTCTCCTCTCCTCCATTTTTTCCTCACAACAACCCTGTGAGGTAGGTTAGACTGAGAGTATGTGAAAGGCCCGAAATCACTCAGGAAGCTTTCATGGCAGGAATTCAAACCCGGGTCTTCCAGATCCTCATCTAACACCCTACCTAGCTGCCACATCACACTTGCTCTTGACAAAGCCATTCTGGTATCATTCACACCACCAATGCCAGCGTACACATCCATGCTCAAGCAGTATATGGAAGAAGAGCACTTGCAAGTCATACATTTATAATAGTCTTAAGAGGTCACGGAAACGGTTATGAATGTTATTCGTACCTTTCACATTCTCTGCTGCCCAGTGCTTTTCGGAGGTTTCCAGCACCCACGCTTCCTTTCTGTCTGCTATCAGGAAACTATTGTGGTAGGTAAACGCCATGTGGCTTTCCATACAGTTTCCACCCTGGCCATGCTTTTCTAACAATTCAGTGATGATGTGGACAGCTTTCTCAGCACTGTCAGCTCTTTCAAGTCCAAGTCTAAAAAAAAAGAGGAAGCAATCACTTTTTGTAAGAAGTTGATCTTCATGACTCCTAACAGCAATTTTATTGCAGGTGGGTGCCTGGCCTGTTACTCTACTGAGAGGTTCCAGTAAGGGTTTTTTTTGGTTAAATCTGCTGATACTGGTTCATGGAAGTGTCAGCTGTTTGTCCCCTAGTACAGGAGTCCCCAATGTGGTGCCCATGGGCTCCGACAACTTTCCTGGTGCCTGTTTTTTTAAAAAGTGGGCAGGGCCAGATGTGTTTTTTGGCCGGCAGGACTTCTGTTTGGCCTGACTGGGTGTGCAGAATTTTTAAAATCTTGTTTGGTAGCAGCTGCCACTGCAGCACAAGGATCTTCACTGCATGACTGAAGGTACGCAAAGATGTGTGCATACAAGAAAATATTTTGAAGCAATGTGCTCATTTTTAAAAGCATCCTGTTAAATAGCGCTTCTGCCTGAAATGTTAAAGAGTTACTATTAGAGTTAAGCATAACCTCACTCCCCAATATTGTTCAGTTGGCTCTGCCTCTTTTGGCAGCCATTTTGTGGTTGAGCCCAGTGTTCCCTCTAAGCTGTGCAGGTGAGCGGCCGCTCATTAACACAGGAAGAAGAGGAGGAGGAGGAGACTGGATTTATACCCCAACCTTCACTACCCGAAGGAGTCTCTGAGCGGCTTACAATCTCCTTTCTTTTCACCTCCCCACAACAGACACCCTGTGAGGTAAGTGGGACTGAGAGAGCTCTTTCAAGAACTGCTTGTGAGAACAGCTCTGAAAGAACTGGTGACTGACCCAAGGTTACCCAGCAGGTTTCATGTGGAGGAGGAGTGGGGAATCAAACCCAGTTCTCCCAAATTACAGTCCGCGCTCCTAACCACTACACCAAACTGGCAAGCTTCACTCATGTTGCCTACATTGCCACGTTGTATATTTAACTGTTGGGAGCCACCCTGAGCCCTGCTTGGCGGGGAAAGGAGTGGGATGGAAGCTGAATGAATGAATGAATGAATGAATACAAACCTGACAAGATCCATGCCCAGGAGCGCTTCATCATCACCGATTTCTTCTCTCCCCCACACGGCTTCATTCCCAATGCAGATCCCATGCTCATTAGCCCCCATTTCAGCACCCCACAGCCATGATGGGCGACTCAGGACAACGGCAAACGTTTCTGGCACTTGATCAATTTCTATATAGGTGCACTGCAATATTTAAAAAATTTCAATAAAAAGTGTAATGAGAACCTATAAAACATTTTCTGAATTGCACAGTATTTTCCGTTCTGATATTTTTAAAAGGAAGTATTTGCTCACTCTACAACGAATTAACTCTTAACCATAACTGATTTCAGAGGTCATTTTGGGGGGGATCGCGGGGGATCGCAGTCAGGAGGAGGCAGGAGAAGAGGGGGGGTAAGTTGCTTCCTCCCTGCCTCTCCCCACCCCTGCCTGCCTGGGGCCAGGGAGGGCCTTCGCGGGGCTTTCTTGCACTCCCGCCGGCCTTGCAGGTCCACCGCCGGGCCCCTCATGGGGCTCGGCAGTGGAGCTGCAAGGCTGGTGGCGGCGGCCGGGAGCGTTTGGGGGCGGTGTGTGTGGCCTTATGACACACTTCCGGTGATGTCAGGGGGTGTGGCATATGCTAATGAGTTATGCTAATGAGTTCCCCTAGCTCTTGCCTGATTTTCAGGCAATGGCTTCTACTGAAGCACCAGTGTGCAAATTTAATATGGAAATGACTATTTGTTGCAGTTTTATTTTGAAAATGACTATTTCTTTTGCTGTTTTGCTCTTGAAGCTGTAAAGAAAAATAAAAGTTCTAATTCTCTTTGCAGCCGCTTTGTTCTTACCTCCACCTTTTCTCCTGGCTTATGCTGGGAAGGAGGGAAATATACAATCTCCTGGACTTCATCAGAGGGCCGATCTGAGTTTTTACCAAAAATTATCCTGTTGCCGAGCGTGGTTGGGGGCAGAGCCACAAAAGTATCACAGGAGGAGGGTTCCATCATCCTGGAAAATAACACAACTGTCAGATAAACAGCTACCCTTTCCCCCTTGTGCTGTACAAATGATCAATAGCTGTCTTGATAGCCACTGAAAGGGCGAAAACATACAATGTACACACCATGTCAGATAAAGAGCTAGCAAAAAGTTTCTTATGAAAGATACAGTGGGACTCCTTGGCAAGACATGCAACCCAGCTTGAGGATTCCTCAGATCTTTATGCTATGCATAAACATAATTAAGCCATACAATGTAAACAGATTGTGTGATTCATACAGGAGAGATGCGTGTGTATTATACTGATGAACTTGCAAACATTTGTGACTATGTATATCACTAAGAGAGGCCGCAGTGGCTCAGAGGTTAAGAAGCTGAGCTGCAGACTGGAAGGTCTGTAGTTCGGCATTTGAGACCCTGGTGCCGCATGATGGCGTGAGCTCCCATCTCTGGCCCCAGCTCCTGCCAGCCTAGCAGCCTAGCAGTTCAAAAGCAAGAAGCTGCAAGTAGATAAATAGGTACCGCTTCGGTGGGAAGGTAACAGCGTTCTGTGCGCCTTGACATTTAGTCATGCTGGCCACATTACCACGGAGAAGTCTTTGGACAGCGCTGGCTCTTCGGCTCGGAAACGGAGATGAGCACCGCTCCCTAGAGTTGAATTTGACTGGCTTTCGAGCAAGGGAAATCTTTACCTTTTTTCATATCACCGAGAGACTGAATTGTGTTTTAGAATTCCAGTTATAAAGAGAGAAGCGATTTTTAATTTGGTAAGGTTCCCATCTTCAGAGGTCAAGAAAAATGTGTGTTAGAATGTCATGAGAGGAGAGAGCGCCTAATCTAAGGAATAAACTAGGCTTGGGTTCTTCATGACCTCTGAATGCAGTGACACACACACTTGAAGCCGCCTTATGAGTTAGATAAACTGGTTCATCAAGGCCAGGATTGTCTATTCTGACTGGTAGCACCTCCCCACAGTTTCAAGCAGAGGTCTTTCACATCATCTACTACCTGATTCTTTTAACTGGACATGCTGGGGATTGAACCTGGGACCTCCTGCACATGAAGTAGCTGGTCTACTACTGAGCCATGGTCCCACCCACCTCCAATATAACAGAAGCCTTTGGGAAACTGTTCATCAGTTCAGTGAAAACCAGGATGTGTGAAAATTAGTACCCCTTCTAGTTGAGTGCAGTTTCATATGTCCTTCCCCAATGTGCATGTCATTGGCATTAACTGATCTCGCAATTCTGACTTCCTGCCCTGAAGGTCATTTCTTCTGGGGGTCAGGTACTTCTCTCCCCAAAAAACACTTGTTGGTGTAGGTGTGCATGGGGGGAGGTACTACAAAGTGTGGTCATACATGAGAAACAGTACAGTGTGGATCAGAAAAATAAATGCATTGCAGCATTTATGTGTGTGCACAGAAGGGTTAACTATAATATTATAATTTCCCCCCTTATTAGTTAATTTGGAATAACTACCACCCTTCTCTCTTAATTGTCATTGAGATTACAGACCACACTTCATCCATAAGGATGGATTAAAACGATGAAGAAAAACCATACGCTTTCAGCATTGCAGGATCTGACCAAAACTGCTACTAGAGAGCACAGTGCTGTCTCATATGTACGTTATCTAACACTGCTGTATGGAACACCAGTCACGTTGTGTTACTGCAGCATTTTTATTTACTTTTTCTACTGGCTTAGCAGCTGCTTTTATTATGTAATCTTTTTAGTTTGCTGGTAAGTGAGTGGCGGTGTCTTGTCAGAACCCACCTTCAACATTTGAGAAGAACAGCATAGTATACACATCCCTAGGGTTGCTAACTCCGAGCCTGGAAATTCCTAAAGATTTAAGAATAAAGATTGAGGCCTGAAGATGATGGGGCTTGGGGAGGGACCTCGTAGAATTTGCCCTTCAAAGCAGCCGTTTTCTCCTGGAGGAGAACAGATCTCTGTACTTTTGGAGGCGTTATCATTCCAGATCTCCAGAAACCACCTGGAGGTTGGCAACCCTCCACACTCCCCTATAATTCTCTGAGGTGTGCATGTGTGTAACACAACAGGCCAAGCCACCGGTGAGTGAGTCACTCCAGTCGAAGCCGCTCGAAATCAACGGGCTTCGGTTGAAGCAACTCCGCGCAGGGGCGGCGGGGCAAACGGAGAGGGCGCGGGGCGTCTGCCTACCCGGTTCCGGGCGGCGTCAGCACAGACCTCTCGCTCTTCCTTCCTTCCTTCCTTCAGGCTGTAGCGTTTGTCAGCGAGCGCTCCCGCCTCCGCGCCCTTGCAGGCCTCGCCTGTGGTAGAAAAGCAGGCCGCAAGCTAACGGGGAGGCGTCCCGTTCTCCGTCCGCCTTCTCCTTCAGGAAATGCCGCTTGCCCCGGAAGCCCCGAGTCGGAGGAGGAACTCGGCTGGGGCGACGACGTAAACCGAAATAGAGACGACGGCTTGCCCTCTCCGCCGGCACAAACAGAAGCGCTCCAATGCGTTCATTCCTCTGATCCACACGGTTGTGTTTCTCGTGTTCATTCATGACCACACTCAGGGCCGGCCCGAGGTTGTCCTGCGCTCTAGGTGAGCGCAGATGCCAACCTCCCGGCGGGGCCTGGAGACGAAAAAGGCTGGGCCGGACTTTGTATTGCCCTCCCTCCCAATGCACACCTACATCAGCAGAGGCGTTTTGGGAGGGAAGTGCCTGATCCCTAGAAGAAATGACCTCCAGGGCAGGAAGTCAGAATTGTGAGATCCGTTTTTGTCACTCATTTGTCTCTATTGCTTTGGGTGTCGTCCCCCCCCCCCTTTCCCACATGTGTTTTGTTCCCTCTGGGACTACTAGAGAGAACATTGGGGACGGACGGACCCTGAAGCAATAGGGACACACAAGTGATGAAAATCAGAATGCGGAAGAGCTTGTTTGGTGTGGGGGGGAGAGGTAGGAAGACCCCAACTGGACGGGATTTCCCCCCATTCTTGATTTTATAACCTTAGACAATAATAAAACAGAGGGTCGGAATAACTGATAATGTCTGTGCAACAGAAGACCGGGATGGAAGGTCGTATCCATTGCCCATTTCAGTCCAAACAGATGGAGAAGCATGAAGATCTGGGGGGGAGGGGTGTCTTCTTTGACCCAAATGAGCAGTGAATGAGATCTTCTTCCAATCTCTCCTGCTCTTACAAAGATAAAGCAACTGGACTGGCTATTAAAGTATGCCCCTCAACAGGTTATCAGGAACATGTTATAAACTCAAGAACAGGATGTAATAAAAAAGATTGCACGGCTTCTCCCTGGAAGTTTGAACATCTGAAGAGCGCTGCTGTATCAGATCTGTGTGGTCCATCTAGTCCAGCTTCGTATTTCACGTGGCTAACCACCACCCACTCCGGAGGGCCAACAGATTGGGAAGAGAAGCCAAGGCCGTCCCCTGATGCTGCCTCCTGGCATTAGTATTCAGAAGTTTACTGCCTCTGAATGCAGAGGTTCCCCTTCGTTACTATGGATGGCAACTACTGATAGACCCATCCTCTGTTAATCTGTCCCTTTTCAAAGCTATCTGCACTTGAGGCCATATGCCCACTGGCAGGGAATCCCACAAATAAACTACTTGAGTAAAGAAGCTCTTATGTGTCCTGAACCTATTGCCAATCAACTTCATTGGGTGCCTCCCAAGAGGGAGAAAAGGACCTGCTTTCTCCATCCCATGCATAATTTTATAAATCCTTATCATGGCCCCGTTAATTATCTTTTTTCTAAACTGAGAAGTCCAAGTCTAGCTCTCCCTCATAGGAAAGGTGCTCCAGCTCATGGGATGGCAAACTATATGCTTCTGGGAGACACTTAATTTTTCTTCCTAAGAGACTTGGGAGCTAAGAGTCACAAAATACCCCGAAAATTTTATTGGTCTTTAAGGTGCTACTGGACTTGAAGCTAGCTCTTCTACTGCAGACTAATATGGGCTGTTCTGAGTCACCAGATTGTGGCTTAGTGGGCAGAGCTAATTGCAAAATGGCCGTTTGTACAGCATTTCAAAACAGGTCTGCAATGCTTGGGTTGGGAAACTCCTGCTGTTTCCCCAAAGCAATCCACCACCAATTTTACCCTGCGTCGTGGTGGTGGTGAGACTATAATTACCTCTGTTTCCCCTGAAAGAGGCAAACAGCAGCTTTGATGCAGGGAGGGAATATCAATAGCATGCCCCTTTCCTGTAGTGTAGTAAAGAACACTGGACTGAGTTTGATTCCCCACTCCTCTACATGTAGCCAGCTGGGTGCCCTTGGGTCAGTCACAGTTCTCTCAGAGGTCTCTCAGTCCCACCTACCCCACAGGGCACCCGTTGTGGGGAGAGGAAGGGAAGGAGATTGTAAGCTGCTCTGAGACTCCAAGTGAAGGGTGGGGTATAAATCCAACTCTTCTTCTGTTCAAAGCCAGGGTATGCATGCGTAAAGGAGGAGGAGAGGTAGACAGAAAACGGTGCTGGTGCTGTTTCCCCATCCACAAAAGAAAAAGAGGAAACAAGCTGTTGCAGTGGCTCTAAAGAGAATAAGAAAGTAATTACAACAGTACTGAAGGAGGAGTAGGGTGCTGCTTTTATTAGCTTGGAGAGTGACTGGTCAATCCCAAAGGACCTTCTGGCCATGCCTACTCCAACTGCTTAATCATCTTGGTTGCCCAGTTCTGCACTTTTCCCCAGTTCTGCAGTATCCTTTTTCCGATATGGCAACCAGCATGGTACACAGTATTCCAAATAAGACCACACAGTGGTTGTATACAAGGACATTAAAATATTGGCAGTTTTATTTTCCTTTCCTAATATCACCAGCATGGAGTTTGTTTTTCTCGCAGCTGCTGCCACACAATGAGTTGACAAGTTCACAGAGCTATCCAGTACAATCCCAAGATCTCTTTCAGTCTCAGTCTTAGCCAATTTAGCATATATTTAGAGTTATGATTTTCTGGTCCAGCATGCATGTACCATCACTGAATTTCATTTCCCACACTGTTGCCCACTCACCCAGTTTAGAGATATCCTGCAGCTCTTTCCAATCTGCCTTGGTTTTCACCATCCTGAATAATTTTGGCTACTACACTGCTCACCCCCAATTCCAGATCATTTATGAACAAATTCAATAGCACCATTCCCAATACCAATCCTTCTGCGACCTCACCCCTCATTCCCCTCCATTACAAGAACTATCTATTTATTCCTACTCTCTGCTTCCTGTTTTTTTCACCAGTCCATGACTACTAAGTTCATTCACAAATCATTGATGGAGGACCTTGTCAAAAGCCTTTTGAGTCCAGGAACATAATATTTATGAACTCACCTGTTTTCCCTATGTACTAAGCAAGCTGTTTGCATAGCTCTCACATCACCTGTCTGCTCCTGTGTAAGAGCTGCAGAGAGGAAGGTCACTGGTTAAATGCATCTTGTGGCTTGCCCTCTATTGCATCTGCCTGGCTGGAAGCTATAGCTCTTAAAGGGTAGAACTGGCTACAGAGAACTCTAGAGGTGGCAAAAGGATACCTTTGTACTCCCTTCAGATACCACTTGCATTTCTTCCTCTCCTTTTCTCTTCTTCACAAAGTAATGAATATCTAAATTTTGCATTCTGTTTGTCTTTTCTGTGTGCATGTAAACCTCCAGTCACTTTTAGATAAACAAATAGATAAATAAATGAATTCTTAATGGCAAAATCCTACCTTTCTGTTCTTAGAGGAGACAGTGAAATTGTCTGTGTTATATTGCTTTATCAGTACTCTTGCAAATCCATTTAAACACTAACAGCCCAACACTAGGCATTTTCTTTCTGAAGTCCTGGTCTATTCAATGGGACTTGCTTCCAAGTAAAGGGTTTATAGGATTATGTTCCAGTATTGTCCATATTCTCGGCAGTCATTTAGGGGCACATCCAGTGGTCTTGTAACAACAGGGTTGCCAACTCTGATATGGGAAATTTCTGGAGATTTGGAGTGGGGCCTAGGGAGGGTTGAGTTTGGGGAAGGAAGGGAGCTCACTGGGAGTTTGAGGTACTCTAGAACTTCCGTTTTCCTAGATTTTATGACATACCAGAGTCCAATCTCCAAAGCAGCCATTTTCTCCATGGGAACTAACCTCTGTCATCTGGAGATGTTGTAATTAATTCCAGGGGATCTCCAGGCTCCACCTGGAGGTTGGCAATCCTAACACATGGAACCCGTGTCTTGCACCCCAGGCTAATGAACGTGCAAAAGAGTAACATCTAGAGAAAATATATAGGGAACGGGGATGGTCATACACAGGTGTAAGATAGAAGTATGGTAAAAAAAAACACCCTGGAATGTCATTTATTAAAAATATCTATGTATATCCCACTGTGTCTCAGACTCAAGGCAGCTAACACAGAAAGCACACTGGAACAAATGGTCAAAAAGATTAAAAGCAGCACAGCCAAATCTCCCACAAACATTTTACCTTCCACCAAACACCCTTGGAAGCAAGATTGTTCTTACAAGCTTTCTTCTGTAGTGGAATTTGTTCTTCAGTTTCTATTGCCACCTTGTGGCTGGAAACAGAATAATCCTGATCTTGTTTTTTTTCATTTTTATTTATTTTATAGTTGTAGAAGGCTGTTTTCCCCAAGGGAATTTTCTCCCACATGTGCTTGGGAAAGCCCCTTCAGTGGACCTGTCTGTGTGGACATGACTTGTCTTGCACCTCCACCCCCCACCCCCACCCCCACCCCCCCGAGCTGTAGAAAATAAAAACCATATTTGCTCTGGTTTAAAGAGGAAATTATAGGACAGCTGCAGGAGAAATGTTCACAGTTTTCTGACAAATGGTGCCTACCCACTTCCTGTCTTGCAGGAAACTGGGGGAAAGTTTTAGGGTGGGGAAAGCTTAAGGCTGACCACTACGTGGTCTTCAATAATACCTCTTCCAGATTCAAGTGCCGTTTCCCATTGCTGGGCAAAGCCACCATCAGGAGAGAAAGGCCAGGCTGAATGGGCAGTGTCACTAGAAAATGTCAAAGGAACAGGGATGAGTGAAAGGTACCAGCCCTACCTAGAACATGGAGGTAGATCAGGCTGCAGATCTCTGGGAACTAGCATTTAGTTGCTTGCACTCTCCTGCGGGGTGGGGGAGGCAGGTCCTTTCAAAAACAGCTGCAGCTACCAATAGAGAGGCAGAGAGGAAGGGCTGGAGGACTAAATGTATTGTGACCAGAGACCAGCCACTGCAGTTAGAAGGGGTCTCCGCTCCGGTTGTGCCGGCTTTTCTTGCGCTTCGTCTTGGTTAAAGGAACAGAGAAGTCCAAGGATTCGAGGCGGAAGGGGCGCGGCTGGGGCATCTCTGCAGTCTGGGTCGGGGAAATGGGTCCCGTGCTGGAGGACGGAGGATGGGAGGGAGCGTTATGGGAAGCTGCAATTGAAAGAGAAAAAGAGGTGAAGTTCAGGTGTCTCACTGCATCCCCAAAACCTTTCCTGCCTGTGCTGGGCTCCCTAGCAGGAACCTGGATTAAAACTCTGCAGTGGGTCAATAGCTTTGCCAAAAGAGGTACCCATCCAGACTACGGCACATCCTCAAACGGATGAACATCTGAAGTGTTCTCCAGCGGCACGATGTTGAAGAGGGGCAGGTCTCCCCAGAGGCAAGGATCAGGAGGCACTGGGGTTACCACCTCCACAGAACGGCTTCCCTGCAGCAGCACCGGAGTCTGGATCAGGTTTGCTAATCCAGAAGGCAAACGGTGGATAGTCACACTTGGCCAGCAGGAAGTGGTGGCATGACCAAGGCTCCCGGGTAGGACTGATGCTGAGGAGGAAGCAGCCCCAACTACTTCCAAGTGTTGTTTCTGGAGGCCTCGTCCTGGAAGGGATTTATTGGGCCAGGATCCTGCAAGGAGCCATATACACAGAGGGCAACAGTCTGGCTCAACAGCAGGCACACAGGTTTGCAAGTGGGGCCCTTCTCCTGTGCAGAGCCATGTCCTCACAGGCTGGCCATTTCTGATGATCCTAACACATTGAGGGGGGGCCCACTGCCGGCTGACCTTAGGGCTGAAGGGTCAAAGGAATCCTCTGTTGGGGTGGCTTCCAAGGCAGGTTCCTGTGGCAAGGCCTCTGGGTCTAGGGGCCTGGGGCCTGAGGGAGTCCTGGAGCCATCAGGGGGATCCTGAGCCAACAGGTCTTCCTAAGAGAAGTCAGCTCCCAGATCCTCCCACTCTCCTTCATGTGGCAAGCCAGAGCTAGGGTCCAGGCCCTGACAGACACTGCTCTATAGTAAAGTCAGATCATCAATCCAAATTGGCAGTGGGTATCCAGGATATCATACAGAGCTGGCCCATAGCCACAATGGGGCTATTAGGGGCCCTGCCCCCTTCCTTAAAGTCCCCCCTCCACTTCTTAAAGGCCCTCCCTTCTTCCCAAAAGCATTTAAAGGGATCCTTTACATGCTTTTGAGAAGAAGCAGGAGGGTGGCACACTCCCCTCTCCCTCCCCTCCTGCAAGATTTAAAGGGACCTTCAGCTGATCGACAGGGAGCACGTGGCCCACCGATCAGATGGAGGGCCCTTTAAATCTTTTCTAGGAGGGAGGGAGAGGGGTGTGCACCACCACCACCCCGCTTCTTCTCAAAAGGGATCCTTTAAATGCTTTTGGGGAGAAGCCGGAGGGGGGGGGCACACACTCCAAGCCACAAATAATGGCAGCCCCATCAGAAAAACTTTTGCCCCACAAGCCACAAAATCCTGGCTACAGGCCTAATGCAGAGAAAGTTGTCTTTGCCTCCTGGTCCTTTAAGGGATCCCTTGGGGGTGGGGAGACTGACCTTGGTGGAGTCACATCGGACAACAATAATAAGACTACCAATATGGACATCCAGGAAGAAAACCAAAGAATGGCTAAGAAGATTTACCCAGACTCTTCACAGGGTCTCCACTGAGAAGCTGGCTTGCTCGCTTTGAGCGGAAATAACTGCTTGCAATATTCTCGCTGTCACTCTTGCTCAACATCGTTTTGTAGCGGTCTTCTTCCTGCTGGAGACACAAGCACATGGTCACCAATTTATCAATATTTAACCCACATGGTTTACTCACTGTTATTCTCCTTTGAACTGAATGAAGTTGAGTCCACAGAAATTTGAAATTTCTGTTCCAGTTTCCACCACTTGAACTGCTGGATTACACAAGTTCTTTGTCCGTACCCTCCTGTCCCAGAAATTTAAAAAGCTGCAAACAGAAACAAGGCTGCTAACAGGCCCAGAGGAAAAAATGTCATGTTCCTTTAACAGAGGTGTAAAGCAATATTATTTACCTGACAATGTTACCTATCTCCATGCCAAGAAAATCTTCACATGCCCGTTTCCATACATTAAGCCTCTGTTAAGGGGACAGGAAATTTTTTTGCCAGGCTGTAGACAACCCTAGACGGAAAGTATAATCTAAAGGCAGGATTCCAGCAGCCAGAAGTGAGCATCTTCAAGTCACACTGATTTGAAGTGTTCACGCCCAGGTCCCTTCATTTCTGCCACTCCTTATCATCTTCTAGTGATCAAAACAAGAGGTAGCGTGACTATACCAAGTTCCACACATTCCCTCACTACGAAGGTAACATGAAAATTGGCCCTCTGAGCTGTGTAGCAGAATCCTCCCAAGTTCATTTTTAAGATGAGGAAGTTTCACATTCTCACATTAAGCAGATATTCAACCATTCCTGGATGGAGCAGATTGTTTGGATCCTTTCCAATCTCCTTTCCAGCCTGGTTATGGGACTGAAACAGCCTTGGTTGCCCTGGTGAATGACCTGAGCCCAAAAATAAACTGAGGGAGTGCGACTCTGTTGATTCTCCTGGACCTCTCTGTGGCTATCAGTGCCATCAGTCATGGGATACATCTGGGCTGGGACTGGAAGGCACTGTGTTGTGGTGGTTCTGGAGGGTAGGTTTACATTTGACTATCGCGTAAATTAGTTTTTTAGATGACTTCCATAACATTGTAAAAATGTCAGAAGTCTTTTAAATTATATGTAAACTATATCTTAAGAATAATTTAAACATTATAAGAGAAAACAAAATTGTCAACTTTCACCCACACATTTCCACTATATCGATAGACCTGTCCTCCAGAGAACAGGGCTACCAACCCCAGTTCACTATATCGGTAGACCTGTCCTCCAGAGAACAGGTCTACCCACCCCTTTCCACTATACTGGTAGACCTGTCCTCCAGAGAACACGTCTACCCACCCCAATCCACTATATCAGTAAATCTGTCCTCCAGAGAACAGGTCTACCCACCCCAGTCCACTATATCGGTAGACCTGTCCTCCAGAGAACAGGGCTACCAACCCCAGTTCACTATATCGGTAGACCTGTCCTCCAGAGAACAGGTCTACCCACCCCAGTCCACTATATCGGTAGACCTGTCCTCCAGAGAACAGGTCTACCCACCCCTTTCCACGATATCGGTAGACCTGTCCCCAGAGAACAGGGCTACCCACCCTCTTCCACTAAATTGGTAGATCTGTCCTCCAGATAATAGGTCTACCCACTCCAGTCCACTATATTGGTAGACCTGGCCTCCAGAGAATAGGTCTACCCAACCTTTTCCACTATATTGGTAGACCTGGCCTCCAGAGAACAGGTCTACCCACCCCAGTCCACTATATTAGTAGACCTGGCCTTGAAATGTTGCCTTGTGCTGAGCCTTAGAAAACATACCAGCACTTAGGGGGTGGGGGAACTCTTGCAACCAACTTGGTTTTTTTTAGTGAAATATGACAACCAGCATTACAGGTCAAGTATAACACAGGTGGAACAATCACGGTCAAAACCCTGCCTAACCTAACAAACAGGAAGTTGCTTTAACGTTATCAACCTGCCCAAACTACTTATTTATTCCAATATTTATATCCCATTTTTCCCTGTGACTCAAGTCAGCTTACAAATCATTACTGAAAAGCATAATAGGGGTGTGCAAAAAATATATATCATTTTTTTCAGCTCCACTGTAGCCTATGGGGACCATTATAGTCAATAGGCCCCATAGGCTATAATGGGGAATCGATCTGGGGGGGCTGTTTTTTAGTTAGAGGCACCAAATTTGCAGTGCAACTGCTGGTGCCTCTCCTTGACCCACCCCCACCCCCATTTCAAAAAGATTGGACCAGGGGGTCCAATTCTACGGAACTCGGAAGGAGGTGCCCCCATCCATTGTTTCCAATGGAGGGGGGAAATACCTTGTGAGCAGAAGCAGAAACCCCTGCCCTGACTGTTAAAGTTTTATGTGTCAGCACTCCCTAGTGTAGCTTAGCAGAAACTATGGGGTTTGCTGCTTAGCCCTTTGGGGTCCCTCAGGGCTCCATCTTGTTCCCTGTGCTTTTCAACATCTACATGAAACCGTTGGGTGAAGTCATCTGGAGATCTGGACTGGGTTGTCTCCAATATGTGGATGACACACTTCCAGCAGATCCCAGGGAGGCTGCAGAAAGCCTGAACTGATGGCCTGGAGAGAGTTTTGGAGTAGATGTGAGCCAATAAACTGACGCTTAATCCTGACAAGAAAGAAATGCTACTGGTGAGCAGAAGCAGCACTGGGTGAGCATGCACCCCCCCCCCCCAAGGAACGGGTCTGTAATCTGGAGATGATCTTGGACCCGGGCCGACTGCTGGAGAAGCAGATGAAAGCTATGGCAAGGAATGCTTTTTACTAGCTTTGACTGGTTATCCACCTGACTCTTTCCTGGGCAGAAAAGATCTGGCCGTTGTGATGCACACCCTAATTTGAAAAAATGTTTGGAAACGTGAAGAATGCATTTGGAAACTTCAGAATGCTGCAGAATGTCGAGTGGAGTGGATCATAGCGACCATATCACTCCATTCTTGGCACATCTGCACTCTCTTACAGTGTGTCTTTGGGCACAATTCAAGTTTCTAGTATTGACCTGTAAAGTCCTATATTGCTTGGGACCCACATACCTGAAGGAGAGCCTACTTCCTTACAAACCTACCCAGCCGCTTCAGTCATCTTCTGAGGCCCTGCTTCAGGTGCCCCTGCCTTCCAAGATTACACAGGTGACAACCTGGAACAGGGCCTTCTTGGTCCTGGCACCAACATTCTGCAACTCTCTCCCCTGGGAGATTCATCTGTCTCCTTCTGTTGCCATCTCCTGCCAGCAGCTGAAGTCTTGTTTTGTTTGTTGCTCTCTCAGTGATCCCTCCTTCCTGTCCTATTTGATTATTGCTTCTATGTTTTTGTATGTGTATTTTATCTTTGGTTTTAATGATGTGTTTTTGTTTGGTTTTAATGGTTTTTAAGATGTGTTTTTATAACGCTTATTTCACCTGTTAGCTCCCTTGGTGGCCCTGATGAGGGCAGAAAGTCTGGGTATAACTGGTGTAAATAAGTAAAGTTGTGCTAGGAAAATGCTTGTAGCGAAGAAGCACATTTGAATAATTTATTATGTACGTGCTGCCTAACTTGTACTTTATTACTGTTATTATGTTATTATTGTTACTATTATGATTTTACTGTTTTATTGGATTTTATGCATGGGCTTTCGCCCCTTGTAAGCCGCCCTGAGCCCGTTTGCGGGGAGGGCGGGGTAAAAATGCCTAAATAAATAAATAAATAAATTTGTCCTTAGCACTTAGATACAGCCTCCTCAGACGGAAGTCCCGCTTACCTCTGTCGACGTTTCCCTGTGCTCCATCACAGAGCCCTTCTTGCCCGCTTTTGTCTGAGAGGATGATGAAACTACTATGAGAAAAAACAAAAAGAATGGCTGAGATTTTCACTCTCTTCCCTTGCACCGTTTCCTACTGTCTGTTATTATGCCATCTGGGGCCAGTGCACAGACACTGTATCCAGCACATGAACAGTTTTAGTGAGCAATGTTGCCACTTGCCAACAGGCCTGGAGGGGGAAAAATGTCCTGCCCTTTTAACAGAGACTAAATGTGGGCAATTGGGCAGCTGAAGCTTGGCACTGAGATAAACTACATCCAATTGAGCCTTTATTAAAGGGACAGGACATCTTTTTTCATCAGGCAGTTGGCAGTCCTATAAGAGAGGCTTGGGGCTGCCTACAGCTGGATTTCTGAAATAATTCTAAGCAGGGCTGCAAAAGCCTGCCTTGGGAAATTAATCGGTTGAACCTGAAGTAGATGAACTGGTGAGGGCAACTTTGAATCAACAAGGGCAAGTTTTAACCAGCAGGTCAAGGAGAGATCTTGCATTCAAACCAACACAGGATCTCTCAGTTGGGACAGTACACAGTGAAGGGAGAAAGGAAGCAGTCATGACAGCCTGAGCCTTAGATATTTCAGGGTTTTATTCTCCTCCTCAATATCTACAGGATAAGAGCCAAAAGTAAAGGGACAAGCCATTTTCGTTCAGGCCCGTTTCCAGGATTCACTCACCATTCAAAAATTTTAAATCACCTCCTTTTCTAGCACATTCTTTCAATTCTAACAACTTTTCCTCACTTTCTGTGAGGTTGGTTCCAGAAAAGAGCATAAAACAGAGCATCCACAAACATCCCATTACCACACGGCTCACCTGTGCCCTCTGTGTTAGAGCACACAGGCATGGCAAAAACTTTGTCGGGACCCTTGTGGCACAAAACCACTTCCCTTTTCCCTGCCATCCTGCAGTTCTCCTTTTAAATCAAAGAAAAACAGGTTTAGCTTTTCCTCTGCATCCAAGGGAACTGCTCGCAATGAGCATCTCTTTATGTGGACGTTCCCAAGCAGTTTGGGGGCTTCCTGTGTTCCATGCAGGAAAATATCCCCCAGAGAGACATGGACACAGGCATACTTGAAGATGTACAGGAAAGAGGGCTATAATTCTGCACTAAAGATAAGAAGCTTAAGATCTTGGAAACATCTCCAGATGCCTCCAGGGTTTGGCTTATGCGGCAACAAGTCCCCTCCCTGAGCTCCCGAGGCCTCCTCCGAGTGCCAGAGCCTGAGTGCCAAACTGGGTATGCACTGGGCAGTCTGTGTTTGAAACGTTCAGTTAATTTTTAACACTTAATTTTCAGGTGTGAAATAGCAGCTCCCTGGGATCATTTCAGATTGGGAAATGGGTGGAGGGGCTTAACTCCCCCTGCACTGCAATCTTCATATCAACCACTCCTCTGAGAGTTTTTAAATCACTGCAACTTCCAAACTCACAATGCACATCTATTCCGGCCTTGCTTCTCATGAGGAAGTGTGCAAGCCAAGAGCGTGCTCCCCATTTCCCAGTCAATATAGGTGAGAATGGCATCATTTTAACAGGCCCCTATAGCAGGACGGACCTTGAAGAAAATAGGGAGCCAAGCTGAAACACAGCCTCAAATTTTAGAGTCTCCTTCCTATGAACTTGTAGGAGACCCGTGGCACTGGAGTCGGGGTCCCCCTAGGAAGGTTCTGCTTTGGGGTTCCACAAACCATTGAAATATGTCTGTGTGAATTCTAGCAAACACCCTTTTTGGCACATCCTAGGCAGCTGGAGCCATTCTTCGCTTTGTTCACTTCATTTATCCCCCATTTTTCTCCCCAATGGGGACCCAAATATGACTTATGACATTCTCCCCTTCTTCCCTTTGATCCTAACAACAACCCTATGAGGTAGGTGAGGCTTGGAGGCTTCCACAGCACAGGAAGGATTTAGACCTGGTCTCCCAGATCTTAGTCCAACACTCTAACCACAACACCGGGCTGCCATCCAGATGGCAACAAGGGCAAATCTGTCTCCTCACCAGGGAGGCTGGTCTTTTCTGTGATGGGCTCTGGGATTTTCCAGCAACCTGAGTCTTCGTCCCACGTGGACTCGCTCTTGATCTTATCAAAGTTTCTGTAGTTGCAATCCCGCCGTACGAGAGGCTGCACCTGCTCCAGAATCTGTTGATGGAGCAGGAGTTCCCGCTCCTGGCGGCGGATGGTGGCCAAGTAATCGATCTTCTCCAATTCAAATTCAGACTGAAGGTCTCTGATTTCTGCCTCAGCTGCCCGCAGCTGAGAAGAGAACCAGCCAAGAGAGTCAGAGCTAAACAAAATGACATATTAATAGCCATCCCCCTCGTAACTGATACTTCATGAGAGGGTTCCCCGACGAGGTGCCCTGGCGCCCACTGAGCTTTTCAGAAAGTGGATGAGGCCAATGTAAGTCAGGACTTGTTACTGGCTTCCCTCATTCAAATTAAAGAGTTTTTCACTGGAGGATGAGGAGGATTGGTAAGCAACTGTACTTTCCTTCGTCAGCATGTGGGTCCATTCCCTTTTCGGGATTTTCTCCTTCTCAGGAGTCGTGTGGAAGGAGGTATTACATTTGGCTTCGCTTCCTGAGGCAGCCAGTTGTGGTATGGCTCTGCCTCCCGTGGAAGCCATCTTGGGGTGGCCCTCACCACCCCCTCTCAAAATTCCAAAAGTGCTCACAGCCTCAAAATGGTTGGGGACCCCTGCTTTATGACGTAATGTGAACCAGACTGTTGGGAAGAAATGCTGAGATCCACTTCTGAGATCATCATCGGACTGGAGCACACACGCATTTAAAAAAAAAAGTCATCTGATTACCTTACAGTCGGTAAGAGGCGTCTGAAGATGCAAACTATTGAAAATCATTGTGTTTGAGAAGATGTCCTACCACAGGCATTTCCTGTCTATGATTTCCACATGCTAGTTACCATTTGACGCTGCAGTTATGAAGTGAGGAACGTCCACAGGAAAGCTGATCCTCAAGTTATGTGGAATTCTAGTTTCTCAGTGAATAGCTCACTACCCCCCACCTTCTGTGGCTCTGTCCAGTGTTCCCTCTAAGCCATGCACATGGGCAGCTGCTCATTAACCCAGGAAGCCCCCGCCCAGCAGCAATCTGGAGCCACGCAGGGCAGTGGCCCATTACTCATTTTAAGATTACAGCAGTTATTATTCTGCTCAGGATGTGAACTGCTCCACTCAGTGGAGGGGGGGGGGAATCAGAGGGAACATTGGTTCTGCCTATGCCCAACCCCCATTACAATATCCATAGCAATTTCCTTAGTGCATTCTTTTCACAGCTAAGGGAAGAAACTAATCTGCACCCTCACCATTCATTAAAAAAGCCGCCAAAGTCTCTATACTGCCCACTGATATTATAGCCCAGAAAGTGAATTAGATTATTAGATGTTTGATTTGAGTCCAGTAGCACCTTAGAGACCAGCAAGAGTTGTAAAATATAAGCTTGCAAGAGTCAAAGCTCCCTTCATTAGACACAGCAAAGCAGAGATCCAAGTCCTTTCATCCTAGTCAGAAAGTGTGGGAGGGGAAGTTAAAGAATGCTTGTAAAGGATGCAAAGCGTTATCTTCCTCCATCAGTGCCACCAGTTACATGAGTGGGAGCTTATTACAGAAGCAGGCAAACCCATGCAGGTAGAAGAGGGAAGCATCTCCACGGCCATGCCGAGCCCTGATCGTGAACCAATTTTCAGCAGCAACCTTGCTACTTACCCAAATGTTCAAATCGATTGTGAGTCAGAGGCCGGGCTGGGTGCATGAGGATTGGTCAGGAAGTATCCCCTGAATCTTCTCACATAAGAATCGGCAGTTTGGTAGAGATTACCCATGCACAAGGATGTGTGAGTACATTGTTTGCCCAGAGAAGTCTTCAGCCTTTTGTAATCCAGAAATCACATTTAACCACAGTTTGCAACATCTGCCCCCTCTTTTATTAAATGTGGCTCTTTGGCAAGAGCAGCTGGTCAAGCAGTCCTTCCTGTATTCTACACAACTGCTAAAAGTCCCGTGTCATCTTCTGCATTTGGTCTCTCTCCCCTCCTCCTCGTGGAAAAATAAAATAAAGCACAAAAAGGAAAGCAAAGAAAACAATGGCAGTGCCCCCAGTGCAGCCCACGCCAGACTGAGATACAGCTAACTGGAGGGTTTGGAACTGAAAAGCAAAGCTTTACAAAGTTGCAGAAGGTGCAGCCCATTCCATTCTCGGTCACTCTGCTTTCATATATTTCAAGAAAGGAGTCACCAACCTTTTCTTTAATGAGTTACTTCTGAGTAACAAAAAATATCCTGAGCTACTTATCCCACTTCCCAGCAGGTCATCAAGTTTTGTTCTGATATAAACACAGAACAGAGACTAGGAAAAGCCATGAAACTATCAGCTAAGCAGCACAGAGAAAAATCCTATGAAATAAAAGGATTTTTTTTAAAAAAAGTCTAGAGTAGATATTTTCATTTTCTTTTCCTGGGTCTTCTAGAGAACGCACAAGATAATCTACAGCAGCCAGTGAGCCACCAGTAGCTCAAGAGCTATCTTTTCTGAGACCCATGTTTCATAGGGACAAATGGCAAATAACGCATCCGTGAATTAAGATTACGGGCAACTGATGTGATGCAGGCTTAATCTGGTGCAGGGGAAGGTGTTCCTGCCATGCACTGTACAAAGCGGGAGTATTTGAAGGGGGGGGGGGAGACTCACCTTCTCCTTCATCTTCTCCAGCAGTTTGCTTTTTGCTCGCACTTCTTCCTGGATGGAGTCGTAGACGCTGAGCAGGACCCAGTCGCTGCTATCCTCGTCTGACCCCTGCAGAGCCTCCAAGAGCTGCTGCTTCCGCTCATCCGCCAGCCTTTTCCGCCGCTGATGCTTTTCCTTCAGAGCTTTGTTCTTGGCTTGCTCTCCTCCAACCACTTGTTGCTCCAGCAGCTGCAGCCTAAGGAGGGTCCAATACAGACCTTAGCTCTAAGACTGGCTTTCAAACTTTCTGCACTGAGGGCCATCCCAAAAGAGATGGCGGGAGTTCTTCTAGATATTCATCTAGATATCTAGTTCATCTAGATATTCATACCCCATCAGGGGAACCTGAAACAGTTTACAAGACCATTCTCCTCTCCTCCATTTTAGGAGAGAGAAGAGACTGGATTTATACCCTGCCCTTCACTCAGAGTGGCTTACAAACTCTTTTCCCTTCCCCTCCCCCACAACAGACACCCTGTGAGGTAGGTGGGGCTCAGAGAGCTCTTTCAAGAACTGCCCTTTCAAGGACAGCTCTGACAGAACTATGGCTTGCCCAAGGTCATCCAGCAGCTGCAAGTGGAGGAGTGGGGAATCAAACCTGGTTCTCCCAGATTAGAGTCCACGCACTTAACCACTACATGAAACTTCACAACCACCACCCTGTGAGGCAGGTTAGACTGAGAAAGACAGTGTGTGGCCCAAGATCACCCAGCAAGCTTCCATGGCAGTGTGGGGATTCGAACCTGGGTCACACAGACCATAGTCTGACATAGTCTGGCATTCGAACCATTACACCACACTGGTTTATGGAGTGCAACGGAAGGGGCGGGATTAAGTTATCCCCTCTGTGACATTTTTACATTCTGAAACAGGCCCCAGAAGCTGTTATTTGCCCCACTGGAACAAAAATACACATGTACCTGCAACCAGTATGCATATGTTTCCCTAACAGGGCAAACAGTAGCACCTGGGAACCATTTTAAGTTGGTAAAAGGCACAGAGAGGACTTAAACGTCCCCCATGCTGCAGTCCCAATCCAAATGGAGGGTCCATGCGAGACCTGTTAAAAACTGTGGGAGCTTGGAACACAGAAATCCCAGTGTCTTCTCAGGTTCGGCCCCATTCTGCATAAACTCTTCTTCCAAGGAGACTAGAATGCCTGTGACTGATCTTCCTGAGGAACCTTGTCCTCCCTTGGGGTCTCAAGTCATATTTTCCACATTTCCTCAATTGTCCCTACGATTCCTTCCTTGTCAGAAGTAACAAATTCAAATGCAGCAGGCTCGATAGGCACTTGTCAGCAATTCACAACCTTTGATGTTCCTGAGCTGAACAGGGTGTTGGACTAGATGGCCTAAACATTTTCTTCTAGCTCTAGGACTCACTCCATGTATCTGGACATCATCCTCGCCACCACTGACCTGGCAAGTACTTGCTGCTGGTCCACAGCTGCAGGTATTTCTTCAGGCATGTCAGTCCCAGGAACAGGAGGCTCTCTTGAGCTGAACTCCTAGGTGCAAGAAAAAATTGGAGGCTGCTATTCTGAATATACATGAGATCTGAAAGATGGTAGGCTGGTTTGCAAAGACCTTCCCAAATTGTAAAACAGTGTGTTTTTAGTAAAGGAAAAAGGTCTGGCCCACCCAGTGGACATGATCAAAGCCAGATATAGAGCGTTATGTACCCAGCAGGCAGATGTTTTCACTGCTGCTGCCATATTTCAGTCCCAACCAACCAGCAGTTCTGCAGGTTCTGTGAGTGGAAAGGGTGAGCAAATAAACTGTAGCTGCCAAGCAACCTCAGGGCATGCTAAACTAGAGTGCAAAACAGTTCGGATGGATGGATGGATGGAAAGATAGATATCTACACACACATATAATGTATAATGTGATCATGCAGAAACATAGCTGCTGATTTCACAGTGGCCACATAAATTCTGTATAAAATTAAGATTGTCTTCAAAGATGTGGGACCACTCTTACTCCCTACAATCTGTGCATGACATACATATTTCCCCCTCCAAATGTCCTGTTCAAACCTAGTATTATTTCTGATTATACCATTTTCTAACACATACAGTCCAAGTCAATTGCAATAAACCATTTGGGATTTAAAGCAATATCATAATCTGGTTTTCAGATATGTTATAACCTGGGGGAGAACTATCAATTTCAAATAAACAAGAAGAAGAAAAGTTGGTCTTTATACCCCGCTCTTCTCTACCCTAAGGAATCTCAAAGCGGTTTATAATTGTTTTCTTTTCCTCTCCCCACAACAGTCACCTTGTGAGGTGGATGGGGCTGAGGGAGTTCTTAAAAACTGTGACTGGCCCAAGGTCACCCAGCAGGCTTCATGTGGAGGTCTGGGGAATCAAACCCGGTTCTCCAGATTACAGTCCGCCGCTCTTAACCAATACACCATGCTGCTCTTGCAAGGAATACTACAAGGTAGGTAGGGGGAGCAGAACTCCCTCTCCCCACACCATGATTCCGAAGATGAATCAGGCCCGAGGTCCTTTAAAAACCAGAGCCCCACAGTTGCTGTATGGGTGTGGGGAAAGTGCTAAAAAGTCTAACATGTAGTTTGGCCCAAAGTAAGGGCCTTAAAAACACATGGAACTATTCCCAGCTCTTGGGAGATTCCTATGCCTTCAATTCATTCAGATTGCTTTCATAACCAATATTGTTTTTGGATGATGAATTCCAACAGACGGAAGCAGGTGCAGCAGCACAGGCAAACGAAGCGGCACTAAGGCTTCACCTGATTGGGATCCCATGAAACTCATCCTTCTGCGTGACTCTAAATGGCACATATCGTGTACCAAGCGCAACTTCTTGATAAGGAGGCAAAGTTCCCACCCATTCCATGTCACTTTGCAGCTTTTAGAAAAGGGTTTGTGTGTAACACAAAAGGTATTTCATCTTCGGAAAGAAACTCATCCCCTGGGATACCTTGACTGGCATTTCTGTTTCTGAAGCAGGGCCTTGGGGAACGGGCTCGGGAAAAGCTTCAACTGGCTGTGTGATTCCTAGAGAAACGGAAGGGAAAAAGTGAGGAAACAGGAAGTTTTAAGTCAGGATCTCTGTAAGGCTAGAGACAGACAATAGCTTTTAGCAAAGATGGAAATGGCTTGAGCATGTGTTTGCTTCCCGTGGTGTCAACATCAGTGTCTTCTTTTGTTCCACTGTCACCCTTGGTTAAATCTGTTTACCAAGTTTGGCTAGGAGCTTTAAAAACGTGCATTTTCCATACACAAGGTGTGCAAATATACTTTGACAGTGATCTTTCCAATAAGATCATATCAAATCAAGAAAAGATCAAAGCAAAAGCAGGAGAAAACCTGGGAAGTGAATGATTAGGGAACACCATGGTATGAATGGCCCCCCTACCAACCAACCCCCCCACTCTAATGTGGCTACAAAATCATAACAAAACCTCCCCAATCACGGTGTTCGCAAAAAAAAATACATTTTTTCCACCCAAGTTCAGAAAATACCAAGACTAGTCTTGCACTAGATCAGGTACTGAGCTGGGTGCTGAGAACCAGCCTCAAACTTTTACTCACCCCAAATATTTGGGGCTCCTTTTGACTGTTTAAGACAAGAATGTTCGATTATATTCAATGGAATTTTGATTTGTTCTATTCGGTCCCCTTCTACAATGGGGCTGTGAATTCTGTGCTGAGAATTCAATTCACAGGCACACAGGAGTGCAAGGGTTATGCCCTACATCCAACAAAGCAGAAGAACGTGCATTGGATGTTGCAGATTTGTAACCTGCAGTCCATGTTGCACAATTATACTGTCCACGTACAAAGAATCTGTCCCTGGTATGTATCAGAGCTGTGTATATTCTCTGTTTTAAAAGGTTTTTTTTAAAAAAGCTGCAGCAAAATAACCCATATCCTGCCCCCTCCCCCTGAACACTCAGGTCTGTGACCAGTATAAATTGTACAACTCAAGTTGTTCCTCTTAGGAGTAAAGGGCCAGCAGCTCTTCTAGCCTGAGATTTCTTAAGGTTTGGATTGCTTCACCCATACCTGCGTCCTCCTTCCTCTCTTCCAAAGCAGTCAACTGGCGATCATAAGCAATCCTCAAAGCACTGATGTCCCCCTCAAGCTGGACACGAGACTTCTGCTCAGCTTCATAATCAGCTTTCAGCCTGTCCAGTTTCTCCTCATACTCCTGAAAAAGCCCTAATAATCAGCTGAAGGGACTTGGGAGTAGGCACATTCCCAACCATACCATACCTGCCTGTTGTGTAGCTTGATATGCTTTAGCAGCACAGATTTTGTACACAAGACAAATACTTAAGGGTGGGGTTTCGTTTTATTTTTTAAGTACCTCTAACCTCAGGTGAATCAGAAAAAGATGGAGCCACTCTCAGTGAAAAAGGTATAACCAAGGGGGCTTCCAAGCACAGGTTAAAGTATTGCCACACAGGCAACACAGACCAATGACCACATAAGACCAATGTACAAAATTTTTTTAATGGGCCAGAACAGCTTGGGATGCACACTTTAGGAAGAACTTCCATCTCCATTTTTAGAGTGATTTAGCTGGAAGAAAGTTCCATGGATTTCATTAGAGCTTCTTTCCTTCTAACAAAGGTAGCTTTGACTCTCGACATTTTATACCCTATTGGAGGCTTTTAAGCAGAGGCTTAGATGGCCATCTGACAGCAATGCTGATTCTGTGAACTTAGGCAGATTCTCAAGGCCTTTTCTTACACACCCAGGGAAATGCCGATCGCCATTTTGGAGTCAGGAAGCAGTTTTCTCCAGGCCATTTTGGCCAGGGATCCTAGCGGGTTGGGGTTTTTTTTTGCCATCTTCTGGGCATGAAGCAGGGGTCACTGGGGGTGTGGGGGGGTAGTTGTGAATTTCCTGCATTGTGCAGGGGTTGGACTAGATGACCCTGGAGGTCCCTTCCATCTCTATGATTCTGTCCTGGAAATCTTGCTGGTTTCTAAGGAACTACTGGACTTGAATCTTGTCCTTCTACTACAGACCAGCATGGCTACCCACCTATGAAACTGTGTTATATGCAGATGTCTTAAGGGACCTTTTTTTTTTTGTTACTTGAAAAGCCATTTCTGGAGAAAGTAATCAGGCACAGAAACGTATGGGGAGAGGAAATTTGTTCTTGCCTACAGGTTTTCCTTTTCCCAAATGTTCCCGCAAGTGGCTTTTAAGGAAAAACAAAAATAGGACTGTTGTTAGGCTATGGTAACCAAGCCACAGGGTCCGATCTGAGCTGTAAGTGTTCCAACCTCCTTCTCAAGGCATGGTTTACGTGTCTGCTCTGTGTCCTGTCAGACACGTGCTAGGAGTTGGGTTGAAACTTAATTCCCAGGCATGTGAGGGCCCAGCAGGGACTGGAACCAAAATGCGCAGGGAAGGAAGGCCTTAAGCCTTCTCCCCCCACTTCCAGTGCTGTTTCCCTGACTGGAAATGGCCTCAGGGAGCTGCTATCTGCCCACTGGCAAATACTGATACAACTTCCCATGGGCTACACAGTTTTTCCCCAGTGGGGAAAACAGCTGCTACATGAGGCTGCTTCATGTCAGGAAAATGATGAGGCAAGGAGATGTAAGCCCCCAGTACACCTCTAAACAGGGTAACATGTAGTCAGACCCTCAGCTAAAAGGGTAAAATCTCAATGAGGGAAGCAGGAGGACGGGGCAGGCTATTCTTCACAGGGCTGCTCTGTTGTAAAATAGTCAAAAGTATTTAAAATACTCAGAGTATCAATGGATCTTGCTCTATTGGAAAGAGATTTCTTTGCATTTAAAAACCTTTATTTCTAAGGGTAAAAGGTATACAGGAAACCTACAAAATAACAAACTCCTAAGAGCTACATTTCTAAGCTGCTTACAGTTCAAATCATAGTTACACACTACACACAGATAATGGAGAATCTGTCCTTTTTCTGGACCCCTAGAAAGGAAGTCACCTGAAACAAACAACCAATCTGTATCACAATGTAAGTTACTCCCCCCCAATACTCCATTGGCTCTGTGCCAGGTTTCCCTTCCAGATCAGTCTAAACAATAACAATACTAGGTAAACAAGTCAAGATTGTCAGACCTTGTAAACACATACATTTCCAACATGCTCCTCCCCGCCTCTCCCATTATAAAGTTTATACTCTTATTTTTCCTACATGTTCTGCAAAACTTCCTCTGTTTCTGTGGGAGAGACTGAGAGGTGGACACCAATATGGTGATGTAAAGTACCTTCGTCACAACCTACTTTTGGTGATCTCGTAAGATTTTCAAGGCAAGAGACCAACAGAGGTAGTTTGCCATGACCTGCCTCTGCATGGCAACCCTGGACTTCCATGGTGGTCTCCCATCCACGTACTAACCCGGGCTGACTCTGCTTAGCTTCCGAGATCTGATGAGGACATCCAGGGCAGGGCAGACACCAAAGTGGTAGAATAAATATATATATTGAACAATAATTCCACACTGAAATTCTAACAGGCTAGACATTTTTTTAAAAAACCCATGTATGTGGTATGTATATCCAGGGCTATTTTGGGGCAGGAACGCACAGGAACGGAGTTCCGGCTGGCTCCCGAATTGGCCACGCCCAGCAGGAACTCATTAGCATAATAGGCCACACCCAACAGCAGAAACTCATTCGGATTGGCTACATTAAGGATGTGTGGCCTAACATGCAAAGGAGTTCCTGCTACAAAAAAAGCCCTGGGTTTTGACAACAAACAAGGTAAACAGAATAAGCAGCAAAAGGTGGGTGTGGCTGGATGTCCAGACTTCTGGTAACACGGGGTGTGTGACCTAATATGCTAATGAGCGGTGCTATCAGGGGTGTGGCCTAATATGCTAATGAGTTTCTGCTGTTGGGTGTGGCCTATTATGCTAATGAGTTCCTGCTGGGCTTTTTCTACAAAAAGAGCCCTGCGTATATCCATAAGGGAAGCAGAGAAGATGCTTCATATAGAATACATTTCACAGCCAAGCAGGATGTACTACGAACCTCAGCGAGCCATCTGCCCTGGGCAGGAGAGACTCACTGTTCAGCTATCCAACCGGATTGTCCTGCAATTATTTGATAGATGAGCCTGTGCCAGGAAAATTGTAAAGGACTCCTGGTGGCAGAGGTCTGGGCCAACTTACTTCTCGGATTAGCTCCTTCTCTTTCTCGGTATTTGTCTGGAATTCAGGAGGGAGTTCTGGTTTCCCCTCATGTTGAGCAGCCTCAGAAGGTAACAGGCGAGGCACCTCCACTAAGGAAAGAGAGAGAAGGCATAGCTGAAAAAAATGGTTCCCAACAACTCAGTATACAATGACCCACAAGTCCAAATTTACTCAGTATGATGACACATTGAAGGCTAGCCCAAGGTTTTCTGGTGCCCCAGGCAAACTATGACCTTAGCACCCATCTAGTTCAGCATTCCATTTTCGACAGTGGCTGAGAAACTAACAAATGTTACACAAAGCCGTCCCTACTATGAGCCCTAAAGCAAGTGTCATTCTGACATACACGGTCTTTGCATATGGAGGGATACATTCCAAACTCTGACCACCCTCTCATCCTCCGTTCTCTCGTTCTCCCTCTAATCCCACCTAAGATTCTCGTTCTCCCTCTAATCCCACCTAAGATTCTAAGAAGCTCACTCTAGTAATCATCGGGACGTATTTTACTTGATCAACACGTATATGCAGTGACAAAAAGTATCAGCTAATGTATGTTGTAGAAAATACTGTTTTTTGGTTTCCAAAATATAAGACAGAACAATAGAAAGGTCCAAGGCGGACATTAGGGAGGGCTGGCTCACAACCCACTTTCAGAAGCTTCGCAACCTGCTTTTGGGCCCTGACCCACAAGTTGGGAAACACTGGCTCAGAAGACTGCAGTCCTCAGGTGGCTTAGGAGACAGCAAGAAAGCTGCACAACTAACCCTTTCCGAATGGATCACATTTAAATTATTTGGATCCAATACACCAGAAAGCTTTACCAAATAAAACTATTTCTTGACCCACAGGGAAAGTGTATGGGTGATTCAGTTCTTGTAAGAAGAAGATATTCTTCCCAGTTTGCACACACGCAGTGTGCAAGGAGTTCTTGTAAGAAGCAGATGCTCTCCCAGTCTGCACACACATGGTGAGGAAACCACCATTTCTTCTAGCAACTCAAGCTACAGTATTGCATTGCAGGGGAAACGCCGTACCAAACTATGGCTTGATTTGTGGTATAGGCTATAGATCCTTAGTACAGCATCTGCTTGGTAGGCTGAAGGTCCCATGTTCAGTCCTTGGCATAGAATCATAGAGGTTGAAGGGACCTCCAGGGTCATCTAGTCCAACCCCCCCGCACAATGCAGGAAATTCACAAATCCCTCCCCCACCCACACAAGCCCTGCTCTGTGCCCAGAAGATGGCAAAAAACCTCCAGGATCACTGGCCAGACTGGCTTGGAGACAAACTGCTGCCTGACTAGTGACCAGCATTTCCCTGGGCATGTAAGAAAGGGCCGCGAGAACAAAGCACTGATGTAACTCTTCTTGCCTAAGTTCACAGGATCTCCAATTAAAAGGATCAGGTAGCCAAAAACTCTATGGTGACCGGGTGATGTCATGGTGCCAGGCATGTCGGGCGCCACAGAGCTCTTTAGGGGCGGGACGCCACCTGCCAGCCAGCTTGGGGGGGGGGGGGATGGCAACCCTAGTCTGTTACCATTGTCACCAAGGCCCAGGTCTGCTGAGGGGACTGCACTACGCTTTCTGCTAAATTATGCTGCTAATTGCCAGTCTACTGGTTGGGAAAGGGACAGCTCCCCCAGCTCATTGGGGAAAAAAGGCGACCAGCTTTTGTCAAGTACTATACTGACAAAGTCTTTCTCCAGAAAGTGACTGGTTTGTGGATTGTTTATTGACTCGTTTCATTATTGTACTCCTTCCACCCCAGAGTTTTTAGTTGAGAGGTGGAGCTGAAATCATAAAAAGAGGGAAAGAAATAATTCCACCTCTTCCTGCAGTAAGTGGCTGTCGGAAGGGATCCTACCGTGCAACGGACACGTGTTGCTCTGCTGAGCCAAAATGGCCTTCAGTTTCCTGATCTCCTCCTGGTATTCCCGCAGCAGAGCATCCTTAGGATCCTCGTTGATGCAGGGCTTGTTCTGGATGTTCTTCGCTCGGTGGGCGTAGCGCAAGGTGCTGAGGGTTTCGTCGTAATTGCTGTCTGCGGGAGACAGGCACGCCACCATGAGGGTCTTGGTGTTGCCTCCCAGAGAGGCCTGCAGCACTCGGGTAAGTTTAGAGTCCCGGTAAGGGATGTGCGTACACCTGGCATCTGCCAGGGCGGAGATGACATTGCTGAGAGCGGAGAGAGACAAGTTGATTTTGGTGGCCTCTTTGAGACGTTCTCCGACAGCTCCTGTTTTGGACTGCCTCTCGCTTCCAGCCAAGTCCACCAAGTTGAGCTTGGCGGCCCGCAGGTGATCTTGTCCTCTCTGGTCTGCAAGAGAAGAGTCTGTGTTGAGCTCTGTCCTTGAAAGAGGAGTAAGCTCCGGAATCAACTTGGCACAGATAATGTGGCACCCAGGGGAGCCGTGGCTCTTGCCAGTGCATTTCTTGGCACCTGCTTACTTTCAGGGGATACACCATCCAAAGGGGGAGGGGGAAGCTTGGGGACAGGGCTTTTCTTAAGGAAAACTGGAACTGCACAGTGATATGGTGTAATTTCAGCACATGCGGCTATAATACACTCTCTTACATGGAGAGGAAGGAAATCTTCAGAAATGGAGCTGTGAGACAGCACAAATGCTGCAGAGTGTTATATTCAACTAACGTAATACAAGTTTTCCATGACTTGAATTTCTGAATGGCACAAATGTTCTTTTAAAACTCCACACTCCCCTTGCCACCACCACCCCAACTTCATATTTTACACATTTTGAAAGGGCTCCCTTTGGGGGAGAGGGGAGGGTTTAGATCGGGGAAACGGCGCAGGAGAGCAAAATCAGATCTCACCATCCCACCCCTGCACACAGCTGTTGAAAGAGGGGGGGGGACTGGATGTCTGATCACAGATCACCACTGCCCTGTCTGTTTCAGAGCCAAGCGCTACTATCGGGCTCTTGCCAGTGCCCGAGATCTGCAAATACCTGGCCTTGCAGACCCAATTTTCTTTCCCCAGTGTTTACCCGTGACACACACAGGAGTTTGCTTTGTGCTCTAACCCCCTCCCCACCACCACAGGCCCCATCTGGCTCAGTTGAGCTACATTCCAGCACCTACCTACAGTGTAGATCTCCATGGTGATGGTGAAGATGGAGTGGGAGCGGGAAGAGTCCTTGTTCATCAGGGTGAAGCCCACGGCACGGTTTTTCAAGCCAGTTTCCATAATGCGCTCACACTGGGCCATGTTGTGCACTGTATGCAGAGAGAGGCCCTTCACATAGACTCCTTTCTCCGGGTGCTCCTTCAGCTACAAGGAGAACCATCGTGACAGGAGTTACCATAAAAACACACCCCCCAAAAAAATATCTGAGGTACAAAACTAACAGAAACTCGAGGGATGCACTACAGTGTTGGATTAGGATCTGGAAAACCCAAGTTTAAACTCCCCACCAGTGTTCCCTCCAAGCTGAGTTAGTGTGAGCTAGCTCACAGTTTTTTAGCCTCCGGCTCACACATTTTTGTCTTAGCTCAGGAGGATGGCTCCAGAGCAAGCTATTTTATGCAGTAGCCCAATCACCTGCTCACAACTTTAATGCCAGTAGCTCACAAAGTAGAATTTTTGCTCGCAGGAATCCACAGCTTAGAGGGAACATTGCTCCCCACTCTGCCATGAAAGCTCACTGGGTGACCTTGGGCCAGTCACTCACTCTCTCTCTCAGCCTAGCCTACCTCACAGGGCTGCTGTTATAAGGATAAAATGGAGAAGGGGTAATGCTGTAAGCCTCCCTGCATCCTCATTGGGGAGAAAAGGTGGGGGGAGGATAAATACCTATATTAATAAATAAGAATGCCCTCATGCACAGACTGTGACTGCAGCATCAACATCACGTTCTGATACTGAGCAACCCAAAAGGATAAATCCTGCATTTGGCTGAGGACAGTGACGTTTACACCATGGCTGGCACCCTACCCTCCCTGAACCTCCTATCCTTTGCGAGTTATTCCCTCCCCGTGCCTACGAAACACTCACAGACCCGAATGGGAGGGAACTACAAAACACAAACTCTGCCACTTGTTTTAACTGTGTATAATATGTTGGATGTGGTTTTATGGTTTTAGAAGAAGAAGAGGAGGAGGAGATTGGATTTATACCCCGCCCTTCACTTGGAGTCTCAGAGCGGCTTACAAACTCCTTCCCCTCCCCACAACAGACACCCTGTGAGGTGGGTGGGGCTGAGAACTCTGACACAAACTGCTCTATCAGGAACAGCTGTGCCAGAGCTTGTGACTGACCCAAGGTCTCATCAGCAGGTGCAAGTGGAGGAGTGGGGAATCAAACCGGGTTCCCCCAGATTAGAGTCCACATACTTAACCACTACACTAAATTTGTTCATCCTCGAGAGCCCCACATTTGTGTGGATTAGGCAATTCATAAATGTAATGAAATAAATAAGATATCCAAGAGGATCAATCCTGCAGATAAGCCTTGCTGGCTTCCTCAATCTCTCCTCATCAGCAGCCATCATAGAAGGCAATATACTCTCTGCCCCTCTCGGTGAGATGTATTTTTGTGGCTTCCCCAAAGCAATTGCATCAGCAGTTACTTGGGTGGCATCTTTTCGAACAAGAATTCATCCACCACTAGAAAGTTTCACTAGAAACAGCAGCTGTTAAGTTCTCCTGTCCCAAATATGATGGGTATGGAGGAGGGCTGTCACTCTTATGGCCCGTGGACAGGAAAGGTGATTTTTCTGATGCTAAGAAGGGATGCAGTGGGATACGAAGGACTGGATTTTGCATGTTACTTTATTCTGCCAGATCTTTTGCAATAGGCCTCTAGTTAAACTTCCTTTGCACAATGCACTTCCATTGCGAGTTGTCAGAATTCTGATTTATTTATTTTTTTACTTACTTCAAATTAAGGTCCTTCCCAGCTAGTCCTCACCTCTAATTTTTGTTTGGCATCCGAACCAAGGAGGTCTCTGATGTCTTCGTTATAGATCTCCAGATAAGAAGCCCTTACCAAGAACTTAGTGTTTTCTGCACACTGTACAAAATCAAAAATCAGACTTCTTAGAATGGCAGGCTCAGTTATAACTGCTAGGCATGTTTGGACTCTGTTTCCTACATCAGAGGCTCCCATGTGCCAAGTTCTCATTAAGGTAGGCAACCTGGGTTGCATCCCACAGATCTGTTTTGCTACTGGAGGCACATGCCACAGTGGACTGTGCCTTCCCATGACACAATCTTATGCCAGGGGATGGTTTCTTCTACTAGAGCAGTGGTGGCGAACCTATGGCACGGGTGCCAGAGGTGGCACTCAGAGCCCTCTCTGTGGGCACGTGTGCCATCGCCCCAGCCAGGCCCAGACCATCATTAAAGTATTCTCTGCCAAATAATTTTAAGTAAATGAAAGCATTTGGGATTGCTTTCCTTACTTTGTTTGGATCATCTTAAATTAATGTATGGGTTGTTAACCTCAGTATTCAGGTTAAATTGCCGTGTTGGCACTTTGCGATAAATAAGTGGGTTTTGGGTCGCAGTTTGGGCACTCGGTCTCTAAAAGGTTCGCCATCACTGTACTAGAGAAAAGAATCTTGACTAGTGGAATGCCTCCACAGCATTCAGCCCTTTCCTTGTGTCTAGGCTGCACTGCTTCAGATCACTGGTAGAGGTTCACACGATTGGAAACATCGTAACCATAAACGGGGTGGGGGGAATCTATTCACATAGAAAATTAGCTTGTCAGGAAAAAGGATTCTCCCTGGTATGCTGGTTTCCCATTTAGGTGTTTTTTTTAAATGAAGGGAATTATTCTCTTTTTTCTTTAAATAATTATTTAACTAGCAAAACTGGCAAATTTCTACTTGCAACTTTACTTAGGAACAATATTTGATAGGAAAAAAAGAATATTCTTTCAACATAGGCAGCAATTAAGTCAAATCCGGCTCTTTTATAATAGAAACTTGCTTGTTACATATGATGTGAATGGATTTCAAAGTACCATGCCCTATTATATGATCTTTGATGTTACTGGTTTAAAAAAAGGAACGAAACCTCACACTTTTTGCAACTATTCAGATTCTGCTGGGACTGTTTGAATCCTTCACTGCCTTGTCTAAGTGAACAGTCCTATCGTCAGAAGTGGAACAGCCCAGACACAGATTCACCATCTAAGTCACTACAGGTAGGTTTTTTAATTAAACCTTGCTTGGAGTGAACCTTCATGCAAGGTCATCCCAAGAAAATCCAAGTCTAAATGAAGAATTGAAGAATTCATGGGGCATACTAGACAAGAGTGTTGGATGTGGACCACAGAGACTCTAATGCCATACCCAGTCACAAAGTACATTGGCCTGACATTGTCTCTCCACTCACTGGGCTGCTGTGAGAATAAAATGGGATCATGTCATGTCTATAATCCACAGCTCCTCCAGAGAAGTTTACTGGCACGTGTGATAATAATGTGATACAGGGCTCCTCCCATGAACTAAAGCAGGCCAAATCCGCCCACACAATCAGAAGCCACCATGGTCTCCTGGAGGCAAGTATGTAAGCAAACAGAAAATGGATGCAGTCTAGCAGTTCTTTAAATCATGGTTTGCACACAATATGTTTGGAGGTTCAAACGATGGTTTGGGTTCTCAGCTATAGTTAGCACTAGCCATGGTTTGTTATGATGTCTGAATTGAGCCCGCAGCATTGGAATGGAGTTCAGGGAGAGATAATGCAAGTAATTGTGCAGAAAATATATTAGCCAGAGGATCACTTGTGTAATTCGTATCACTGCATACCTGCACACTCTCAAACAAGTGTTCAAAGGCTCTGGGAATTATGCCCTTCTGTGAAGGGGGATCCAGAATCCCCTGCATCGTAAAAGACTTCCCACTGCCTGTCTGCCCATAGGCAAAGATGGTACCATTATAGCCTTCGGTAACACCCTGGAAAACAAAAGGGGGGAAATACAGAATATTGATCTCCTTGGACTTAGCTCAGTTTCTATCCTGTCTCAAAACATCATGGCCTGGATCCAAAGTTGTCAGCGTAGAAAGTCTGTGGAAGTAATCTTTCATTGGCATCCCCCCAGCCACAGCATCCTTCTCAAATGCCACTGCTGAAGGTAGAGACCCTTAAAAAAAAAAAGGATTCTGTGTGGTGTGGCACAGGAGCAAAGGAGCTGGCGAGTCTGTGTAATCTGCCTCGAGTTCAAGTGAGAAAGACGGAATATAAATAACATAAATAAATTCCTGCCAAGACATGATCCTCTCTGCAGCTTCCTGTGCTACATGGCTTCCTGTTCCGGAGGGTCCCGATAAGTGTTCCCTCTAAGCTGAGTTAGTGGGAGCTAGCTCACAGTTTTTTAGCCTCTGGCTCACACATTTTTGCCTTGGCTCAGGAAGGATGGCTCCAGAGCAAACTAATGTATGCAGCAGCCAAATCGCTTGCTCACAACTTTCATGCCGGTAGCTCACAAAGTAGAATGTTTGCTCACAATACTCCACAACTTAGCGGGAACATTGGTCCCGACAAGTGTTCCCTCTAAGCTGAGTTAGTGGGAGCTAGCTCACAGTTTTTTAGCCTCTGGCTCACCCATTTTTGTCTTCGCTCAGGAAGGCTGGCTCCAGAGCACTCATTTATGCAGCGGTCAAATCGCTCGCTCACAACTTTAATGCCAGCAGCTCACAAAGTAGAAATTTTTTTTCACTGGACTCCACAGCTTAGAGGGAGCACTGGTCCCGACCCTTAGCAGTGGCCTTGTGTAGGCCACAGGTGGCTCCTGGGGAGGGGAAAGCTGATAAAATGTGTTTACTTGAATTTTTTACATGGATGTAAAAGCTTGGATCCAACCCTCTTTTTTCCAGGCAAACCACAAGCACCCAGATTTCAGATACTTGTGCTATGTTCCGCTCAAACATTTCGTTACAACAAGCAAGCAGGCCAGATATGCCAATGCAATAGTTTGAGGAGAACAGAGATCTAAGCATTACCAAATTTAGGAGCAACATACTTGTTCCATGCAAATCTTGCAAGTGATCAGCAGGTTCCATGAATTGCAAACTAATGCAATTCCATGATTGCAACCAGTGTTCCCTCTAAGCTGAGTTAGTGTTGGCTAGCTTATAGTTTTTTAGCCTCTGGCTCACAGATTTTCGTTTTAGCTCAGGAAGGATGACTCCAGAGCAAACTAATTTATGCAGTGGCCATATCGCTCACTCACAACTTTAATGCCAGTAGCTCACAAAGTAGAATTTTCGTTCAGAAGACTCCACAGCTTAGACGGAGCATTGATTGCAACCCAAGCTAAAATGAACTGTACCAGTACTGCCACAATAATCTTGTAGAGAAAGAGGGGAAAACACTGAAGGGGGTGGTGGAAAAAGGAACAGAGGTAGTAAAAAAAACCGATAAGGGCCTCGGCCACACGGGCAGGAAAATGCCTGGGGGGGGGAGGCGCGACTGCATCGGGTTGAGGTCCCGTCCAGCTCCCGTGGTTAGGGGGGAGGTGCCGATCAGACAATGCGGCAAAGAAGCGGAGCGGCGCGCCAAACGGGATTGTGTTTTGTTTTTAAAACTGAAATGTGCGCATGCTCCGTTGGGTGCTTGTGCGCATCCGTGGAGACTTGGGGGGAAAAAACCTTTTTGCGAGGGGACATGGGCGGGCGCCGGAACTACCACCGGAAACGCGATCAGACGCCTGCCCTTGCCCCGCGGTTTCCGGAAACTAGTACCTCCAAAGTACTAGTTTTTTACCCCGCATCTTCGGCGGGAAACCTCAGGTGCGCCACGGGAGCGCTACGCTTCCCAGATGTGGCGGTGAGATCACACCTGGAAAATCCGCCTATCTTCCGTCTCTCTAGCGTGCCTAATGCTCCGTGTGACCGGGGCCATAGACAGGCAGAAGTGTATAGTAAACAGAGAAACACAAGACTCAATGTTTAAAAAATGGATGCATTGTTGCAGGTCACTGTGCCATGTGGGCCATGACTCTCTGAAGAGGTTGAAAGCACAACTGTATCTATTTCTGCCTCAAAGCTCTTACAGCTTTTACAAACAGTGGGTGTAAACCTGTTTTAAGCCAAACCATACTGGAACTTCCAGTGTCTTTCTAATGCAGTTATCAGGTGTGCAGGACCTCATTTCTAATGAGGAACACAATGTGGAGGGGAGAGAAGAACTTACATCTTCTCCCTGCACCATTTTTCTAAACTGTAATGGTCCTAGATAGCTGCTTTTTGCCCCACTAGGGACACATACATGCACCCATTTTTGCTTCCCCAGTGGGGTAAACCGCAGTTCCCAAATTACTGCTTTGAAAACGTAATGGCTAGCCCCTCTAATCATGAAACTCTTCGTGTCTCATCAGGTTTAGCCTTCAGTTAGCCACTTGCCTGGGGCAAGTCCCCTTTGCTCTAAACCAGCAGCTTAGAAGATGCACTCCTCAAGTCATGCTGCAATATTTCTTTCTTTCACGGCTGGTCTGCAGAACTTCTGTAGCTGCACTCACCTCGACGAGCGGATAGGCGATTTCATTATAGATCTGCTCTGTGGTGTGGTCCATGTAATATGCCCCATCGAAGGTGAACTGTTTTGGTGGGTCCTCTATGGCTGCTGGGTTCTGGATGAAACACTGCCTCCGGCCACTGTCCACAGTGAGCACTATCTTGGATCTGAGCTGCTTTTCACGGTCATTTAGAGGGCGGCAGCGCACAATCACCTTCACTGTTTCCGAAGCCATGGTCAAAACATGTCAGTGCTTTTACTTGGAGGCTAGGTGGGTGGGGAGTGTAGGGAGATAACCTACAAATAAGATATTTATCATTGTTTTGGTGTGTTTTTTAAGCCAATTAATAAAAAAAAGATATGCTGGCTAAGTTAAAAGGTTTATTCTCTGTAACACAGATGACCAAGTAAGAGTGCACACTGAGTTACCACAGGACATCAGAAAGATAAAATCTCACAGCAGAATTTGCCATTACCTAAAACATGAGATAATTAAGCCTAATAAACTTTGTACTACATCAATGTTAGTCTGGTATGAAAAAATATACAGATGTGTGCTAGATGCCCACAGAACAGTACAAAAACAAAAGAGACTAGATTAAAGCCATAACATCATTTAGTGTCTGGTAATAAAAAAACAACCACTTATTCCTTCATAGAAAAAATACAAAGGTGGATAAAACTTCACATAGCAGTCTGCTCAGACTCTCTCAATCTATATCCCTCTAGCAGTCTTGTATTTTTATCCAAATTCCCAAAAGCAGTCTGCTTCAAATTCAATCAATCTGTGTCTCTCTTTCAACACTTTTTCTAGATATCTAAGTGTTTCAGACCTCTGGTCTTTCCTCAGGAACAAATCTATAAACAAAGAATTCCAGTGATATTACAGTGAAATTACATTATATTATACTGGCTTATCAGTCTCTAGAAAACAAAGTGAGTACAGAAATTGATAAGTAAATCCATCTTACCCTATATAGGAATCTTCCATTAAAGTTGACACTTTCATTGATTCTGAAAATACATTAATAGTCACTATAACATTAATATTACATTAACTGTTGGACCAACACTTATTTAGGATTTCCCCTGTAATATACATACAGCAGCAGCAGCACACTTGGAAATAAGTGAGGAGACCTTGCCCAAATAAATTAACAGAAAAGTAGTATATTACAGGGGAAATCCTAAATAAGTGTTGGTCCAACAATTAATGGATTTGGAGCAGACTGCTTTTGGGAATTTGGATAAGAATACGAGCCTGTTAGAGGGATATAGATTGAGAGAATCTGAGCAGACTGCTATGTGAAGTTTTATCCACCTTTGTATTTTTTCTATGAAAGAATAAGTGGTTGGGAAGGTGCTGAAAGGACAGTGAAGGGGAGGAAAGTGAACATAACCTGAGGAAGTCCAAGGAATGGAGAGATTTCCCACACATGAGTTCTCATAGATGCAGGGTTTCAAATGTCTTTAAGAGAGCCAGTTTGGTGTAGTGGTTAAATGCACAGAATCTAATCTGGGAGAACCGGATTTGATTCCCCACTCCTTCACTTGCACCTGGCTAGATGACCTTGGGCAAGCCAAAGTTCTGATAAGAGCTGTTCTTGAAAAAAGAGCAGTTTCTGTCAGAGCTCTCTAAGCCCCACCTACCTCACAGGGTGTCTGTTGTGGGGAGGGGAAGGAGTTTGTAAGCCACTCTGATCAACCTTTGGGTAGTGAAGGGCAGGCTATAAATCCAATCTCTTCTTCTTCTTCACATCCCGCATGTTTTAAAATATACTTAATTAAATTGCTGGGGCTGTTCTTTTCTGACGGTCATACCATCCCAAAACTGATCTTGAACTTTACAGAATCACTGACTAATTAACTAACATAGTTGAGGAGTGTCTCTATATGCAAAAGCATTAACTGTTAGTCTCTTGGTCTGAATTTTGGGGAAGCTGGGCTCTTTAATTGCAAAAGGTTGCAGAGCCCTGCATGGGGGTATGCACTGAAGGTTCAGTCCACCTCCGAAGAAAATGCCAGGAAAGCTTATACTAGAATTTTTTTTAAAAAATTGTGAGTACCACAAGACTCCTCAAGATGGGTAGCCATGTTAGTCTGTCTGTAGCAGCAGAAAAAAGCAAGAGTCCAGTAGCACCTTAAAGACGAACGAAATATGTGGCAGGGTAGGAGCTTTCCTTCATTTGTTCAGTTGTACAGTTGAGACTCGAGTCTGACTCTTCATGACCCCATGGACCACATCACGCCAGGCCCACCTATCCTCTGGTGTTTGCTTAATTTCATGTTCATTGCCTCGATAACACTGTCTAACCATCTCATCCTTTGCCATCCCCGTCTTCTTTGACCTTCAGTCTTTCCCAGCATCAGGGTCTTCTCCAGTGAGTGCTCCCTTCTTATTTGGGGGCCAAAGAATTTGAGCTTCAGCTTCAGTATCTGGCCTTCTAAGGAACAGTCAAGGTTGCTTTCCTTTAGGACTGAGTGATCAAGGGACTCTCAAGAATCTTCTTCAGCACCATAATTTAACATTGCTTCGATTGTCAGGCTTCTGTCTCCATTAATTCTTTGTCGAAGGGCCTGTATCTTCTAGCTGCATCCGAGAAAAAGTGAGCAGCGACTCACGAAAGCTCCTGCCCTGCCACATATTTTGTTCGTCCTTAAGGTGCTCCTGGACTCTGGCTCTACTGCTACAAGACTCCTGCGTCTGTCCCTGAGGCCCTCAGGCGTGTAACCGCGCGATCCTAGCAAACCAGCTGAATTCAATGGGCTTCAAATACGCGAGTGAACCCCAGGTAGGGCTGCATTATAAGTGAAGAGGGCGCGAGAGGGGGCCGCTGGGGAGCCTACCCGGTGCTTGGCGGCGCCTCACAGAGAATGTCCGGGCGGGCGCGGCCTCTTGACGACGGGGCCGGCCGGCGGCGCTTGTAGGCCTCGCTGAGCAGGCGGCCCTTTCGCGCCCTTCCCAGGGCTCGGCGTGGCCTGAGAAGAAAAGGCGGGCCAGCCCCAACGGGGAGGAGTCCCGTTCCCCGTCCGCCTTCTCCCCGCAGGAAACGCCGCCGTCGACTGCCCCGGAAGCCCCGCGTCGAAGGAGGAACTCGGCTGTGTGGCGATGTAAACAGAAGCGGGCTCCGAGGGAATTGCCTGCGGAGTCCGCGGGGGGTGAGGAGAAGGAGACAGGGCCTCGTTCCCGGCTGCCGCCTCCGCTGCCGCCATCATGGGGAAGTCGTTCGCCAACTTCATGTGCAAGAAAGACTTTCATCCGGCCTCCAAGTCTAACATCAAAAAGGCAAGTCTTGGTTTTCTCCTGATCCCCCCCCCCACACACATCCCCGCAAAATTGGCCCGCCCTCCTTCTTCGGCCTACGGGGGATCTTTTCAAGTCTTTCCTCCCGCTCCCTACCTGCCTCCCACCGCAGATTTCCCCCAGTCGTTTTGCTCCCGCGAGAAAAATATTACTTCTCCCGTATTCATGTATACGCAGAAAAGGCACCTTCCTGGTCTTTCAAAATAATGTTTCCTGGAGCTTTTCCTTGATGGCTTATTCCGAATATTGCTCGTTGTTGTGTAGCGATTTGATTATATTGTTTCTGCTTTGCTCACCGGGCTCCGGAGAGAAGCATCTACGTTTTCCAAAATAAACAGTTCCTCCCCACAGTGTTCGGGTATGGTGTGTGTGTGCAAATATGCCCTTTAGCACCGCCTTTCATTTTAGCCATTTTGTTTATAGGGAGGAGAGAAGACTAAGCAATTTCATTAACATCGGTTTATCTTTCTATCTTGCCTCTTTCCTTCTCCTCTAACTCAGTTGCCTCTCCTGTGGTATAGCCCCTTGCTGAAAGATCTCTATTGGTTACTTTATAAGTTTTTACCTTACTTAGGTTTTTACTGGCTCATAACCAGCTAGGATAGTATCGGGAATTTTTCTATTTGTCTTTTAAGTTATGTACTGGTCGAAGACAGTAATAATAAACTGACTAATTATTGGTTACCTATGTTTCTGGGCACTGTTCAATGTACTGGTCCTCATTTTTAAAGCCCTGTATACCCTAGGGCCTCCTGCCAACCTAGCAGTTCGAAAGCAAGAAATTGCAAGCAGATAAATAGGTACCACTTCAGTGGGAAGGTAACAGTGTTCCGTGCACCTTGGTGTTTAGTCATGCCGGCCACATGACCACGGAAATGTCTTTGGACAGCGCTGGCTCTTCGGCTTTGAAACGGAGATGAGCACCACAACCCTAGAGTCGGATTCGACTGGCTTTCGAGCAAGAGAACCTTTACCTTTCCATTTTACACCCTAGAGCCAGGATACCTGAAAGGCCATCTCTTCCCATACTATCCAGCCAGCTCCTTACAACAGACCTCTGTGTGCCCTGCCTTCAAAGGTGAGGGTGATGGGTGTCTAGAGACAGGGCATTTTCGGTGGTGCCACGCCACCTAGCCATTGGAATGTCCTCCTCCTTGAGGTTTGTCTGGCACTTTATTTTAGGTGCCAGGCCAAAAGGCATCTTTACACCCAAGCTTTTAATTAGGGGATTTGTCTTACCAGCTTTTTAAATGGAGTGTTTCTGTTGTATGGATAGTGTTTTTTGCAGGTGATGTCTAATGGCTTGTTCTTTTATAATGTAGATTTAAATTGTACTGTGAAAAGATGGCACAGAAATATTCTATATAAATAAATATTCCCAACCTGTATGATAAAAAGAAATAAAAAATATATAACATATTTTAAAAATGAGCCAGAATTAAAGCCAATCTAAAATACAGATGACTTTTTTATATAATTACATTGTAAAAGTCCTTTTAAACATGTACCCGCACAGCCATGCTCTCAGATCCTTAGGTAAGGGCAGCTGCAAGCTTTATTCAGCAGGTATAAGTACTCTGGGTACACCAGTGTTTCTCTTACTGGAAAAAAGTAAATTTGCACATCATATGTGCAAATTCTTATGTCCTAACGGACATATCTCCCAAACATGTGTACACAGCTGTTTAAAGACATGGGTATGTCATACCCCTTTTCCATGTGTAGCCCCAGTATGCTTATAGCAATTCTGTATGCTGAATAAAGGATGGAAGGGGTAAAGTATTTGCGTATAGTGCAGTCTTAGGCAGAGTTACACCCTTCTGAGTTACAACAGTGGGCTAAGGAGGGTGTAACTCTGCTTAGGATGACACTGTAAGCGCGATACAGTTTGATAATCCGTATACCACCCATTGTCGTTTCATGAACCAGCC